TTGATTTACGATTGTTTCCATCGTATTAATACTGTTATAGGATAGATAATTGAGTTTTACGCCTATTGAATTATTTATGTATCCTTAGTACGAAATTAATTTTCAACTTACCAACAGTTTAAAAGTAATTTAATTTAATATTTAAATTAATTTAAATATATAAACATCCGTAAAAGTAAGTTAATCGCTAATGATGAGGTCATTTATAAATATTGATGATGGAGAGTGATTTATCTTTACATTTTAAAACGAAGAAAGCTTTGATTGATACTAAAATCCTACATATATACATATGTGTGTGTGTGTGTGTGCGTATGTGTGTGTGTGTGTGTGTATAATAGATAGTTATGCAACACAGAAGATACCCAAATATAATTAATCTCTCGCAAACAGATTAGTATGAGATAAAGATTGCTCTAGGTGTAGTAATAGTATCGTGCAATGATAAAATATTTAATGTCTATAAATATAATAAATAACTGAGTATCAATCTTATCAGTGGCTCGTTTTATCTGATAAAACTTTTATCATACTTTTACAGCCAATGTTATGTTCTTTATAAGTATATAATATTAGTAAATAATAACAGTACTAGCAGTTTGTTAAGCTTAACCTCTTCTCAATATATTTCTTATTTATACTTAAAGCTAATATACAATATGAAAAAATGTGTCGTTTAAAAGTATGAATAGCGTTTGTTTTTATTTTTTTAAATTTAATATGAATTGTAGCTACAAATATAAAACTAGCTAGTATATTCTTAGTACCACCTACAAGAAATCTATTAGTAGTACATTAGCGTTAACGAAAACCTACTTACATATATAAACGCTTGTGAAATAACATGTATATATTTATTTATAGTATTTATATTTATTTATTTATTAATAACACATTTATTTATAGTATTTTAATACATCTAGAATATGTATATCAAGATTAAATATTACATTAAGCTCCGATTTATCAAGATATAAAGAAATTTATTTTATAAAGCCTGGGTTTAATTTTGTTATAACATAGATATAGTAAATTATTTGAATTTTGTTACAAAAGTCAACATATATTTTTATTTTATTGGATAGAATCAAATTAATATTATTAGTACTAGTCATTTATCAATGCTTTGATATATAAATAAACAATTCAATAGTTATTTATATTTACCAATGAGAGACTTTAACAATATAATATTCATATAAGGATAATAATAAATAAAAAATATATAAATAAATCAAAAAGTGTTTTCCCGTACCGGGAATCGAACCCGAGCCTCCTGGGTGAAAGCCAGGTATCCTAGCCACTAGACCATACGGGATACATTAGATAAGCCAAAATTTGTAAACATATAAAATATCTTACTTTTTTATCAACATGCATAAATTAGAATGCTATAATTATATATTGTAAGTTCTAGAATTTAAATTTCGTTATTTTATTATGAAGCAATAAAAAAAGTACCGTTCTAGATTTTTATATGTACATCTAAAAAGCCGTACACAGGTGTATGTTTCCATATAAAGACTAATCGACATCGTAATAGTCATTGCTTCATTAGTAATTCTCTCTCACGGTACATAGGTACTATGAAAATTCGCAACGCAACTAATATTGTGTAATAAACTAAGTTTTCCTTACAATGCCTCCTTAGTTTAGAATAACGGACCTATATTCCGTCACGTTCGAGGGACACTTGAGTTTTAAGAGCGGCTCAGCGGGAAACAGAAAGGGTGAAATATAGGTAAAAATATATTATACCTATAGTCTTTGCTATAGGGTTGTCAAAAACTTTGTTGTTTTTTTAGTTTCCCCTTGCAATTAGGGTTACAAATGATGTATATTTATGTATAAAGCAAGCTAACACTTTACATTGCTATTATAATCGTTGAAAAAAAACACGATAAAATGATAGTTAATTGGCTATAAATTAATTTATTACACTGCATATAACTATTATATGTAGATATTATTACTTTGTAACTATAAGTACAGAATATTTTACCTATTTCGTAATTCATATTTTAATAATACTTTATATAGAAGTATATAAAGATAATTTGAGGCAATCTTTATTAATGTAAGGGAATCAAAGATTTTTTTGTTTTTTTTTTTATTATTCCTAAGATAATGAATATATGTATTAGTTGAATAATTACTTATTATAACATGGCTTTATGTAAATAACAACAAAATACATTTTTATTTTTATCATACGACACGATACTGATAATGAGATAATTGTAGTGAAAACATTTGAATTTCGATTTAAAATTATATAAAAAATAGAAAGCATAGTGTAAAAGTAAAAAGGTTACGAGAAACAACTTTTAGGTTTTATGTATTAACTTAGAGATAAAAGAAAGATATATGTATTCTATAGGTATATATTGTTAGTATAACTTCACAATTTAAAAAAATATCATTTTTATATAGTTCATCATATACATAAAATGTAAATAACCTCTTTTATATGTAATTTAAAAAAACATTTACACAATTTCGTAATAATACGAGTAATTTGAGAAAATTCTATGTCAGCTCTACCCTCAACACATTTTGATATGAAACCGGCTTTTCAGGTTTCAGTGTAATATATACATAAAGTGTATTACCTGTGTTATGTTTGTCCGTTTGTTTCTTATCCTCCTGCTGATTGCTTACATCTGCCATTTTTGATATCACAAATACTGTAAAATGAGAAAAAAATGCTTATAATTCACTATTCAGCCTAATAATGTTTAATTCATACGTTTTGTTCGCAATTTGTAATAAAAATAGGGATTTTTTTATCTTTTCTCATGATAAGTATGAATTATGATACGAAAGAAAACAATAATGTATGTACATATGTGTTATGACAATAACTTATTTGTAAATAATCTATTTTGATTTTTGGCTCATCTATGTTTTTGCCAAGTCCTTTGTTCTCATTACTAGGCGTCATTTTATAAGTTAGTTTTCGTATCGTATGAATTGTCTAGAAGTATTATACTCACTTTATTATGTTTCAGTCGACTTGTAATCGTTATCACTGTAATCACTCACTTAACACGCATACGAGACTCGCTCGCCGACGAAATTTGAATACTGCGCCGTCAAATGATTTCACAGCTATAGAACTGGACTGGAGCCGGAAAGCGTCAGTGTTGCCAGTGTATATATTTTTAATTTGCCCTTCTAAATAGTTTTTATTATTGAGGTCTAAATATTTTATTTATTATATTTATCTACAATAAATGGTTTATACTTATATTTGTACGAATTCCTTTTCGTTATTTTTATGCAATAAGTGTTAATTGCTCTAATATAATTTCTTTTCGAAATCTTATAACAGATCATTTAATACGTAGGCGAGAAGTGGACAGTTATTCGAAAGGTTGGGAAAGCCCATATGTTACGCTTGGTATTGCCGGTGTCCATAGCCTACGGTGGCTTATCATCAGACGATCAATATGTTTGTTCGCTCTTGTTTTGGTATAAAAAGAAATATCCTATGCCAGAAAAAAATATTTTCGTGCTTTAATTTATATCTGATTTTAGTTTTTACCAAATCTCTTAAATAACAGGTAATTTCATACTACTGGTCACACTTTTACACAGCATCACGCCGAACAACTTTCCGACCGCACCCGAACATTCCCGATCAGTCTATTGATGCCGCCAAATTACTTTCCGCGCCATTTTCCTTCTCTTAAAAGCAACCACTGTTTCGGTGAAGTTAGGAGGGTGATTTTGGTTTTATGTATTTTATTTTCAAACGTTTAAATACTTAATAGGACATTTTGAACTACAATGATCATCGTTTTGGATTTTTTTCTCGTTAAACCTCAGACTGAATTTTTATAAAAATATTTTGTTTGAATATTTAAAGTTAGTCACTTGTGGCTAATCAAATGACATACCAATATCTTTCTCCCGCTTTTCCATTGTCTTATAAACTACACACGTAGCGTTAAGAGTTTTTCGTTCAAGAATTTTAACACATACTATGATCGTAGGTTATCCAACGAGAAACGGGAAACGCTTCGTATGTAGTGACAAACCAAGTTGTGTTAAGCATACAGATTTTGGTTTCAATGTTATCTTATCTTAGTCGGCTTACTTTGTAATAAGTAATAAACGTCCAGGATTAGACAGTTACTGTGATGAAAACTCCTTGTAAATCTCATGATATTTGTATGACAAAACTATTTTTAAGCTTTAGGTTCATCCATCTTATTAAATTATAATTTAAATTCCTTGAAGCTTCATTAAGATGTCAGGAAATGACGTCACATAGAAGTAACAAAACAAAATCTTGAATGTATTCGAAATTCAAAAAATTAAAAGTAATCAATATGAACATCAGATCCGTACTATAAGTTAAAAAATAAATCAATATCTCAACTATCAAACCATTTTACGTATATAATACATATATATTAAAAAATATTCATTTTAAAATGCAGGTATTTCAATAGATGTTAATTGTTTTGTGATTCACATTTCAGTAAGTAAACCTTGGTCCAGTGTTACGTAATCGTCAATTGTATCGGCATTTTAAATTTATAGCGCAAACGTGAATCTAATTTACATTTTCCATTATAATAACTTGATATATTAATAATTGAAGGCATATCGAATATGTTAGGAATTTCAAATAAAATATTATAATTTCTAAACTCTCGATAATCTATGTGTAAGGCTGAGAGAGTAAGATCTTTGCCTGTTTAGGGTTGAAGGTGAAAAGATGTTCTTACAAAATTTATAATGTAATATAAATCCATATAATCAACATAACCCAAGTCGACCATCATAACACAATGTGATTTTAATGCTTTATTATAAAATAATTTACTGTTGTGTTGTTGTCATTATAAACTTATAAATAATAATAATAAATTTTTTAAAACACGTACAACGTGTCACAGTTCTCTCTTTAATTCAGAGTTATTAAGTACAGAATGAAAGTTTGGTATAAAAAAGAAATTTTATGTAAGATGTTAACAGTTGTTGATTGTCTAAGGCGCGGGCGCGGCTTCCGCCTTGGCGGCCGCTGGTTTGTCGCCCTGCCAACCCGCCACCATTTTTTTGAGAAAAGCTGCAAAATATAAATTAAATTGATTAATTACATTATTTGATTATGAATATATCTACCAGGACTTGAGCCTTCGAGAATATTATGGAATAAAATTATAGAAATTAGGCCACAATTAGGATTAAACAGTTACATTGTATACGTTAAATCTTTAAAGTTAATCCTTACAGTTCTACAAAAAAATGTTTGTAGAATTGTGGATTTATTCTCTTCTTGCCGTCTTTAAACTATTTATTATGAATGAAAATCATGATGAAAAAAATATTATAACGTAACTATTTAAATCTTAACATTGAACAAAACTATTGACATTAAGCATTTGACTGACGTTTAAAAAATTGCTGACGTTGACACAATAAAGCACAGATTATTATAAAAAAAGCTGCAGAATATTTGACGTTGACGTTGACACAAAGAAACAAATTGTTGTAAAAAAAGCTGCGAGTGAAGACAGGAAGCGACACGAAGCTTAACTTTGCCATTATTAATCACTTACGATCTTACAACTAAAGATATGAGGACAAGTGCTGCCATCTACGCCATCACCTTCTTCAGGAATGCTGGAAATGTATAAAATGTCAATCATAGTACATGCAACAGAACACAGGATATATTAACTAGCAATTGTCTCAACAATGCTTGTGGGGTTGACTATTGAGAAGTACTTTTTTGGGAAAATGCAGGCATTTTTGAAGTATATAAAAATAAAAACTCACTTGATTCAAAACAGGATATTCAAAATAGGAACTGGGTATAACATTACGGGGTAGATAATGTGCATAATGCATCTACTGTTTGATGAGCTAATGACTAAGTTCTATTTTCACTGCGTTATTCTGAGTGAGTATCGGGAAGGAACTAATGTAAAACGCATAGTATAATGCAATATTCTTTGATACTTCCATTGGAATACTTCACAACAATTCATGTTCACTATAATACTTCATTTCATTCTACGTATAATACTTACATGCGTATGGGATCATGCCATCATCATCTTCGGGGTCCATGCAGTCCTTTGTAACCTCTGCGACTTCATTGTCGTCAAGTTTCTCGCCTGTATTCACAATATTATTAATTAGAAACATCTTAATTAATCAATAAATGTTCTAAAACGTCCTAGTTAAATAGTTGGCGGCTAAAACCACAGATAATAAAAAAATCATATCCGTATCTACCACAGACTATATAATTCGATTATTTTGAGAATAATATGCAAATAAATCGTTTTTAGCTTTGTCATTAATTCATTGCCAGTAATAGTTGCTTGCATATTAACTTCATGTATTCCTATATAAGTTAAATATCGATATTATTCATGTTTTATCTTATTATGTCGCTTCATCAATTACCTAATGCCAATAGGGTGTGTGTCAATTCAGCGCCAAGCATGAGACCGTTCTCATTCTTGTCGTACAGCTTCAGACATTCAAGGAAGTCCTCGTAGCATCCCTGGTCTTTGTCTTTCTTGCATTGGCTGTAGATGGGAAGGAACTCTTCCAGCTATAAAGATATACATGTCTTATTATAAAGTTATTATTGGTGTATGACGCTAATAGGAAACAAAGTCAATTACAAAATACGTATTGTGTTTCTCTATATAAGCTATTACTAGTTTATATTTAAATATATAATATGTATGTTATTAATTGAGAATTCTTAGTGAAAAATACGATCTTTCATATCATAGAATGGTTGTAAAATATATATGAGATAATTACAGAGAGCTGTTTCTCGCCCTTCTTCTTGGTGCCTCCGAGTTTCTCGATGGTGGCGAGTGTGGGGTTTGAGTTGAGTGCCCTCAGGATGTCACCGACATTGAAGGCATCGATCTTGCCGCTACCGTCGAAGTCGTAGATGGAGAAGGCGAAGGATGCCCCTATACAAAATATCGATCATTTATATAATATCCAAAAGCTAGAATGGCTAAGACTAGAACCATTCCTTCGATGTTTTATCTTTAACTGATATATATTATCCTCAATAGTATCAAAGTTATATAACCTTGACAATAAACATTAATAACGATTATGGAATAATGATAAAACTTTCTTCCACTTCAACACGTTTCAGGTGTCGCGAGCTAACGTGGGCGAATTCTTAGCACCTACGCGATTACATTTATTCAAAGTAGAAAAGTGAATCATCGTTCTATTTATAACTTAATTTGAATGTCCCGATTCTAAAAAAAAAACTTTAAACCATCCATAAAATTTATTGAAATACCCAATAATTATCTGTAACTAACTTCTATAAGGCTTGGCAGATAAAAAAATAATTGACAGTCATGTCAAAAGCTTATCAGTATAATAAAATTTTATATAAAAATAGTAGTTTAATTTTCTTATATATTTAAATATGGTCGCAAAGTTTTTAATGAAATTTGAGCGTCGTTTCTCTGTTTGGGCGGGCGGCTACGTGTATCACGTGACCCGACGAGTTATATTTAGAACGCTGCGCTCGCGCATAGCCGCATTACTGTTACCATCGGCAATACACAACACGAGCCTTTTATGACAAACGTTCTATACTTAGAATACAAATGTTTTACGTCATAACGTATAATGTAACTGTTTTTATTGTACTCATAAATCTCCTATAAATACTCTACGAGAAACTAATTCCTATTTTATGGAATTTTTCGGTGGAACATGATTTAGAGATGTAAAATACGAAAGAACCTTAACTCTATTAAAGATAAAAAATACTCACTTTCAATTTCGTTCTTGCTGAGGTCGCTCTGAAAATTATAGAAAAATATTTCGTTACTTTCATCATATCATTTTATATATTATGTTAATTGCTCATTCGTGTGGTGTTATGTCATAGCACTCTGTACGTTCAATTTATAAAGATTAAAGTCGTACATAATTCAACATTCAATGATGGCACACCATTTAGAGCACAACACGTATTCTGTGCCCAAACGATATTCCTCCGGTCAGCGGAATCTGCCACATTGCTTCTCATCACTTGTATCACTGTATCCCTTTTCACATCACTGGCATTACATTAAACTCACCATTTTGTGTGGTGTTAGTCGGTTCCCTCCCGGTCTTCACTGGCAGACGTTCAGACAAGAAGTGGGGCTCGGAAACTTTTCACCGGACTGTTTTAACTGACTCAGATGGCGCTCCAATGGATATTTGAGATTTAGCCCAGGAATCTGCGAATGTTCTATTTTCAGCGGACTTGATCCGTGCCGGCTAGAGTCACAGACACCTCGTGTTAGCGAGGAGAGAGCGAGATGACAACAGTCACTCAGCATCCCAAGCCCGAGTATCATGCACCCGTAAGTTCGATGACGAATATACATATACAATTTACTATTTCGATCCGATCACTGTAACATATACAATGCTATTTGTTCACCCATCATGTGGTCAACGGTGTGACAAACGGAAAATAAAGTCTCATTTCAAATTAATTAAAAATATATATATGTTTAAAATATTAAAAATTAAAATGTTATAAATTTTTAACGCTGGAGGTCGATATCAAAATTCATCATTTTCGTTCAAGCTCATCTTGAGGCCGAAATCTTTCCAACGGGACGAATGAACTAGGGCTTCGTTGACGGTGTTGAATTTCCAAAAAACTGATCTAGATGGCGAAGGCGTGCGGAGGTTTCTTTGGTCGAGAAGACTTGCGGCTCGACGTCGAGCGTCAGGCGACAAGGGACAGAAGCCACGAATAGACCCCGGCCCACGACATTCCTAGACAAAAAATCTATTCACATTCTCATTTAATTTACTACGATAAAGATTGGCTAACATTATAGTAACAGTACCTTCCTCCTACCAAGAAGCTTGCGTTTCCACCACAAACCCCTAAGACACGACAGTAACTTTGCACCCTGAACGCGACATCTCCTCACAAGATTACTCTTCCGCGAACCTTGCGTAGAGACTCCGGAAGTTGCTGCCAATGTTTTTTGATCCTGAACATTATACATATTTAGAATACAATAATGATCGAAATGTTTCAGCTCTCATTTGTCTTTACTACTGTAATAAAATATGGTATTTTTAGTTTTTTATGAAAGCTATTCACTTAGATTTGACTACCCAATAGATAATAAAATATATCAATTTCTATGAATTCTAAAAGTATCGTTTTCATATAGCAATTATATCACAGACCTACTATATATGGTTATTAGTCGAATACAAAAACGTAAATATAAAAAGTATATTATATTAGGAACAATTATATATAATTAACTTTAATTATCTACAGAATTGTTGTTTAGTTTAATATTCAGACCTGTTCAGGAGAAATATTATCGGTTGAGGTGACAGCGGTTAGTAATTCAATTTCTTGCATCATCATCGACTTGGGATCACGTAAGACTGGTTCATCATCGTCATCGGATACATCATAGTCACCTATAGAAAAAAATAGCTATTGTTATACTATATTTTATAATCATTATAATTTTTTACTTACGGTTTAAAGTTAAGAAAGCGTTTTCATATGCAGCAATATCCTTATTGTTTTGTTCTGATTGACTCACTTGTTCAACCTGTTAAATTTTAATTAAAGAAATATTCATTAATTTAAAATATTTACAATAAATATAATTAGTAATAAGCATTTACTTCATGTTTTTCAACTGTTTCCTTATCAACATTATTATTTCCTTCCGCCACATTACTTGTAAGATCGTCCATATAAAATCCTACATCTTGAGCAATATCAGAGCCAAAAGCGCCAGCTAGATCCGAATTGCTTCCAGAACCTTCTCGTGAAGAACTTGAATTTGACGCTTTGTCTTCATCTCTTCCAAATACAGCATCAATCACATCATTGAGATAGGAATCAATAGTTTTAAGTATATCATCGTTTTGTGCGTCACTTGATTCAATATCGTTTTGTATTTCTGTATCAGGCTCGTCACAAACAAAGGGCTGGACATCACTCATATTGAATAAGTTATTTATAAACATTGATGTGGAGTTTCGTAATCTGTAGTTTCTCTGAAATGTTGAATTCATCGAAGACTAAATGTACAAGGTAACACGCAAAATTATGAGAGCAGTTGTGATTTAAAAATGTATGTATTTTTGTGGTCCAATATAATTTTAGTATCATTTATATTAGTTACTAATGAATGGTTTAAATGATTGAAAATTAAGTCCTCATGGTTAATTACAATAGAAAAATTATCGCAATTGTAGGGGTATAAGTATAATATACTTAGCTAACCACTTCAAAATTTTCATCTCCTTGACCTATAAAGCTAGCTTCATTCTGGTCTTTGGCGAAGTTTCCTGAGAATCGCAAATAAATTAGAAACACGTAACAAATAACTAAAATACCTATGTTGTTAGTGTATTTCTATATTGTACATATGTAAAGGGATATTATAATGGCACCTTTTTGCGGCGTTGACGTAACAACCTCATTATCAATATTATTCCCTTCAACATATTTATAATCATCCTTTGATACTGTGAATGTCATGTCGTCCTCATAAGTGTCGTCTAGACGTGAAATCCTTAGTTTTCTTAAGCTTGATATATAATTCCATGGTTCGCCTAAATAAAAATGAACATTATCATGTAATTCTTCTTCTAATTGCATTCTAGAGTTTACTAACCGGATTCTTTCGCTGCGTTTGCTATAACATAAGCCTCGTCCAGCACTTGACTGACCAAATGAACAGCTAGTAACGCTGCATCACGAGGGTCACACGAATCGTGGTCATCTTAAATTAGTTCATAATACTTATACAATAAATTCCACAATTAGAATACAATTACATCGCAGATACGTACCTAAATTAGTCATTTTATAATATTTTAACGTAAACGATGAAAAATATACTACAATAAAATGAGTATTATAATTCCGATGACAGGTATGTTCAGTGTGAACAAATGTTTTAATTTCTTTCGGCCAGTAATAATGAGGCCTTCTAGTTTTAGCAATGTAAACTTTGTATTAGGTTAAGATTGAAAAGTATTTCAATATATTGTGTATTTGTTTCTTTCTAATGATATTTTTTTATAATATAACCTATAATAATAACTAGCAAAAAAGCGTTATCCATTCAAAACAGTGCTGCTATTTCTGTCCCGCCCAGCCAATCGCCATAGTATTTTTCAGCCTCGAACTATTTTAGCCAGTTTCTCGATCACCGTGGAAACCTATAGAACGCTTCACAATGTAAGAAGGTTATTTATGATTGTGCGAGAATATTTTAAAACATGCAAAATTATACAAAAGAAATCTTTTATATTACCTAAATTATAAATAAAACCTGCATTCATCTGACTTCTTAAGTCTTACGATTTAAAACTATCAGTCAATTAACTGAGTCAAATTAATCAATCACTCAACTCTAACGAACATGAATATTTCAAATTAATAATGAGATGCTGTTCAGACTAGACATAATGAATATGACTTTGGGCTTAACGAATTGAAATTAACTTTTAATAGTTCGTAAAATATAATATGCTCATTAAATCAACGATCATTAAAATTTAGTAAAGAGATTATTATACTGACTGAAAAAATAGATATCTTGATTTAAAATTATCACAAATAAATGTCAGTATATAACGGATAGAAGCTCTAGGAAATAGCAATAATCTATAAAGTAGAAAAAGTAAGTGCCGGCGCTCCCTATTAGAATCTATTTGTTAAGTGACAGTCACTCTGTGAACATAAAGCGACAATGACACTATTATATATGGGTACTGGTCAGTTACAACCAATTAACAAAATTAACTATAGCAAAATATATTTAAAAAAAAGAATTCACCAACACGTTCTGGTATTCATATATTTTTGTTAAACGCGTAAATTACTCACATAGTTTAGTAATAAATAAAATATGAGAGATTATTTATTTAATACTAGCTATTTTAAAGATAAAGTAAATAATTAAAGAGCGTTCATGTGGTCCAGATCAGCTGCCATGTTGTTTCTATGACAACGGGAGGCTGCTTCGCGACTATCTTCGCGCACAAATCAATGGAATCTTTTTAGGGTTGACACTGCTCATTAATTCTTTTTGAATTCCTATAATACCATAATTACTAATTACCTTATTAGGTATGTAACACGTTTATATAGGTAGTGAAATTAATTATCATAATTTACAAGTTAATTATCATAACCCTTTCATAATGACGTCATTCAATTAGGTCCTATAAAAAAACACTTGCGAATAATAAATGACATTAAATAACTATTTTAAGCTATGCTTAATATCTATGGAAGCTTAAAAGTGATATCAAAGAACTTATTTTACTTTTGACCTAGTAATATAAGTAAGTATATCCAAGAAAATATAATTCAATGAAGTGTAAACCCTACATTCTGGTCTCAGCGAGTGCGCACTCGGCACTCTCAGTCGAGCCACCCTCGACGACATCACTCCTCCCCGTCTACCTTAGCGTTCCAACTCCTGAAATGTAAACAATTATAGTTCCTACGGTGTTATATTTATATATATGGCAACTGTGTTATGAAAAAATAATAAATGAACGTGTTTAAATCATGGTGAGTAATGTTATCAGAGTTATGTTACAGAGTATATGGACATTCACTACTTTCTTGTCTTTAATGATAACAGACTTTTGCTTTATTTCTTTTTTTTTCTGGTCTTCTAGCATATTTCAGCTTTTATATATTTTTATATGTCTATCAACAATAATAGTTAAAATCAAGATGTACCATTACTATTTCAGTCTGAATCTTGACAATATGAATTCAAAAAATAATAACGATGAGGACCCCAATACTGATGATCATATACCCATCGCTGTCCAAATATTCCTATGGAGGCAAACAACACCCTTTATGCGACCGAGATTCGGAAAAGTACACGATTCTACGTGCATGGTTAGTACATTATTTTCTATTGTCATTGACGTAGAATGAAAATTGTAAATATTTCACAACCCCGACTTTACCTGCATATACAAAAATATATGTATGTGTGCCAAGTAATTTTGTTTACACATTACATTGTGGCTTTATAGTAACCTGCGCATTTTTAAAAAATACCTTAAAATATTGCAATAAAATAAATGTTTATATCTATTTAAATATATTTTATGTACAACCTCCTGCGTAAACAATTTATAATTTTGCGAAACATAACGCTGAGTTTAAATGTTCCCTTAAAATATTGTAACAACGATTACAATTTGATGTTTATTTTTTGTTTCGTTGTAAACACGCAGTTCTGTCAACGAGCTCCAGGACATCACGTAAGTCTTTAGATAATGTGGATGAGCATTGTATTTAGTGCCGCATGGGTGGTTGAAACACTATTGCTTTCTATAGTTTTGTATAACGTAACAACTTAAACTTCTACAATAATCATTATTTATTTATAAGTATACCTGTCTATTTATAAAAATAATGTTTTGATTTGTTTTCTTGTAATGTAACTATCATTTTTATAATTATGATGTAAATTAAACTCCTCATTTCTGGCTTTTCTCCTTCTTGAGAGATTTGGAATGTTCAGTATAGACAGTGACATTTAAATTTTGACAGTTCATTCTTAACATTTGACATTTCTTTGTATACAAACATTTACTTTTTATTAAAATTCTGAAAATACATAATTAATGAAGTAGATTAAGGTAGTTCGAAATAATTTTTAAATAAAGACATTGTCAACATGAATAAGTGACTGAATTAATGCAATGTTTAATAATTTTCATGCATCTTTTCGAAGGAATTAAAAGAAGCTTGTAAGGTATGATATGATTGCATTATCAAACTATTTTTTTAATATTTTTTATTTTATGTGATAAAAATATGTATTAAATAAAATTATGAGTGACTGTTATACTAGTAATTCAAAAGGATATTCGTGATTCTACTTCCAGTCATTTGAAAAAGTGTTAGTACAAAATCTTCGTTTTGGTCTAACTCCAAGTCTCACTGAAGCAATTGAAACTATACCAAGATGGAGATTGATACAAGCTTCATTACCACATGTGATGCATGCACTGGCTGGTCTTCTTCATACCAGGTTAATTACTAATTCTAGTAGTATGATTATATTTTTCTGAGTGTTATTAGCTATATATATCTAATGTTAACAGCCTAATGATGCTTTAAATAAAAACTGTTTTAAACGAGCAATATTTTTAAATTTAGAATATTTTTACTATTACTTTTAACATTTTTTAAATTAACTTTTTTTCCTGTCTACTGCTGTAGTAAATGTATATTTGTTTTAACTTTCCTTTAAATATCAAGTATTTCCGTTGTATTGTTGTTAAAATACAATCAATACATGTAATGAGGTTTTAATATTGCATAACTGAGAAAATATTATTTTTACAGAGTAAAAGACAATATGCAAACCCTAGGAAATGTGGAGACCAAACTTCTTTATACCTTACACTGGATCTTACTTGATGCATCAGATGAGTGTGCCGATAATGATTATGAAAATGAAAAATTTTATACCGACCCCTTCCATTACTTATTTTCTATACCAGCCATGACAGTGAGTAATTATGTAAATGTTTTCTACTGAAAATACTTGTAAGATATTTGTGTGAATATCTATATTAAGATCATGATTTTTTTTTAAGAACTTCCTTAACATTTTATTTTTCAAATTCGTTGTACTATTGATATAATAACTATTTTCGTTATATTGCAGCTGTTTGTCTTCCTATTTGCTCCTTTATCCCATCACCTAAAAGAGTCGGATTTCACAAATAACTACCGTTTGGAAAATGGTCTTAAGTTGTGGCAGGCCATGTGGGAATTCCGACATCCAGATGCACCATGCTTCACTATGTTGGTGAAACCAAAGCCTCAACCATTCGGTGGACAGTTTTTTAGACGAAATCAACATGGAGATGTCTTTATGGGTCGTAAGTACAAAGTTAATTTGTATAGATGAATGTATGTGTTCTTCTGTTCTGTTAGTTCCTATTTTGCAATAAATATAATTAATGTTTTTTTATGAAATGTAACATTAATATAGGTGATAGACCAAAAATCCACTTAATGATTTATATAAACATTTCACCTAATTCCCATGGGTAAAGGCATAAGAATTGAAATTAGAAAAAAAAACACTTGACACAGAATATAAATAATGGCGTATTTGGGGCTTTTTTTAGGATTTAGCCACGGATCCAGGCGGATGAAGCCCAAATTGATATGCCCTTATCCTACCTGAAAATATACACAATACTGATATTTTTCATTTACAGCTCTGATATAAAATTTAATTTTTCCTTGTTTGACAAATAACCAATATAGTTTATATTAATATTTAGGGAAGTTTTCCAAGGAGGAGAGTATAGTGAATGGCAGCCCTCCGAGTCAGCATATTTCCATAGTACACTCAGAGGCTCCATCCAAGCAGGCAAGCACTGAAGATGAGCCGTGGCTGTCTTCACCAAAGGACACGATCTTCCCTGAAACTATACCCGAGGAAAGCTCAAGTACTGAAGAAGAACATGTGGTAATGTAATATATATGTATATATAAATTCTTCACAGACTAAAACTAAATAAAGAAAGGTCTTAAATATTGAGTGCATCTGATTCACTCAAAAAAAATTTCCCCCTTTTAGACTCTATTTTAATAACATATTTTATATGCCCATAAATGTTTAAACGTAGTATTATCTAGAACAATTTTGTTCCTAATCTAGTTTATATACCGTCTTCCCTCGGAACAAAACTTCGGTGGTAGCAACAAGGGCTCCTACACAGTGTACGCCGCTGATCCAAGCATATTCCAACGGAAACCCGATACTAGCAAACCAACGCTACCCGGCATCAAACCTTTACCGCAGATAACTAAAATGAGGTAACAAATCATATATAACAATTTTTTTTTAATATCTAATAGATGTCCTTCTCAATGATATGACGGTAAATATGTATATATATAGCACTGTTGAGTAAGGATACAAGGGCTTAAATGGAATCCCCACAAAAAGTTAAAATACATACATCAAGAAGTTCGCAGGTTTTAATCGAAGAATGAATTTTCATTCTATATTTTTTATACCAATGATGTATGTTAATATTAGAAAAGAACATGTTGTGCCGACCCTATATAAAGTGGGACCAGGGCATGAAGAAGAAGATGTATGTTAATATAATTATAATTATTAACATGTCAATTAATAATCTTTTAATTTTTAGTTCATCAGACAAAGATTCTCTTACGGATAGCGGTGGCCCGTGTATCAAACCTTTCCCCAGTACTTCAGAAAAACCAACATGCAGTAAACAAATACAACACGTAAGTACTCTATTACAATATATGTTTTCATATACATACTTTCGTTAATTTGACACTATGAAATTTTCCAGGTCGCTTCTGCGACGTTTTTGGACGTAGCGACCTTGCGTTGTCTGTTTGCATCACAATGGCAAGAAGAGGGAGTGTATTGGGCGTTACATTATCTCTATAATCGGTTAGTAAGATTTGAAAAGTATTTTTGGACATATACATATTCCTGTGGAGGCAAACGAGAATATATGTATATACTCAGGTATAGAAGTACTTTTAAATTTTCAGTTTACGAGATATTTGTGATGACATGTCCAAACAAGTTCAGCCGAGGAAGAGAAGCAACTCCTTACCGATACCCAAAATAGAAGTATCGATCTATCAAAGCCCGGAAATAAAGGAAAGAGATTCCTTGAAAAATTTCATAGAAATACCAGAAGTCAAGGATATATCTGTTGTGACGGAAGTACAAATAGTAAATTTACCTAAAATCGAGGAAGACGGCCTGATGACTAGAAGAGCTAGCGAGAAAGTGAAACGCAAAATGAAAATGGCTGATCTAAAAGCCTTTGTTGAGACAAAGTTGTTGTCCAAATCCGAGAAAGCCTTGGAAAAGATTGGTCAAGACGACCATAAATTTAGTTTTCATACTGCAGTAAGAATGATATCTGTAGTTATTTTTTCTATATCTTAATTATTTATAATGATTAGTCTCCTTTGTTAAATATGAGTACTATTTAAGGAATACCATCGTAGTTTGGACAACGCCGATGATAGGCCTAATTCAGCTCTGGCCAGTAATTTTTCGCCTTTGGCTCCAAGATTTACTGGAGAATTACTACCCTGCAATCTTATTAAAGGAAAAAGTATGCCAAGTCTTAGGTGAGCTAATACATATAATTAAAACTAATTTATTTTCCCTCTCCTTATATTTTATTTGTAGTCTTAGTTGGATATATAACAGTGTAACTATATGAAAGAACAACGTTTTAGGAAATATAAATAAAATTAGGTCTTCAGATGTTTTGTAGATATTATCTTTTAAAAACATTGCTTTTAAAATTAACGCACATTTCTTTGATTTATACTCCTTATATATTTCACGGCACAGCATGCATTAAATAGGATACTTTATTCTCTGGATTTTCTATTTAAATTGTATTTTTCTCTTTCTCCCGTGATTTTTGCGCTTAATCTATTATATCGGATCACATGGCTAGCTGTTTGATAGACGAACTAGCGTCAAATGGGTAAGTTATTGTTATGAAAGAGTAGAGCTTTTTTATTTGGCGTCAGAGACAATTAGTGGTATATTGAACATAGCTAGGCTTTTTTATATTATAAGCTTAGCGAATAAGTTTTCTAATTAAAATTGCACTGATGAGGTAAAAGCTTAGCTTATCATTAGAAAAAAATCATAAAGAACATGAGGTATATTCATTTCAAAGATTGTTTTGATGAATTGAAATAAAGTATGGTGTTCAAATGACCACTAGTATACATAATCACAGCCATTATACAAGCATGTCCCAAGATCCTCGCCTGCCATTTTTCGGCTTATTTATCTCTCAAGTAAAATGATCAGACTATTGAGTTACATACAAACTGTCGTAAAGCCCATGCCTAAACCATTAGTTAGTGGAATTTTTCGAGTTCGCACAGTAGATCGAATGCGCTATAACAGTGACCAATAACAAAACAGAGAATTAATATTTTTAGATACATCGGTGAGATTAAAACGGAACGAGCTAGAGGTGCTTCAACCTCGAAGCCAACGAACATACAGAAAAAGAAGAATCCAATCATAACAGTGACTGAACACACGCCAACGCCATCTCCCGATTATCTTTCTAAAACCGGACAAGTATGTCTTAGTATTCTTTTTTTATTAACATTAAATTAGCATGAAGTCTTCAATTACTATTTTACTTATTATTCATTTTCTAGATAACTATATAGTTAGTATTTTTTTTTGTGAGTTTTACTAATCATTGATTTACAGGGTTCTATTGAATCGCAAATAGATTCAATCAGTATACAAGGTTCACAACACATCCCTACACCGGAGCGAAAACCGAGTCTCACTCGATCGCAAACTGATTCGAATATCACGTACATAGTAGAGGACGTCCAGGAAGCAGCGGGTTCTACGCATTACATTACCAAGGAAGGAGATATTAACTTCCAAGTTGTGCTTAAAGTAATATCGATAAATCAAACAATTTAATTTTATAATATCAATCGATATTTATATTGAAATTTTTTTGTAGGCGGTATATTCAGTATCGACCATGGATAGTTTCTACATAACCATAAGAGTGATGGAAGTCATGTTAAATCTGGTCGATACTTTAATTGAAATTGAAGTCCACAAAAATTGGAAAACGAATCCAGAACAATCTCAACCGGAGATGGTAGATCCAATCGCTGAATTTCACAAAGAAAAGGAGGGCAAGGTATTATTATTTAATAAGTTTAAGCAAAATTTTCAATAAAATCTTCCATTTTTACATATGATATAACATTTCCTTTTAGGAACGAGATTCAGGCATTCCTCCAGCCCAGAGTCAAGAATCAACGAATATTGATGCTGAGAGTAAGGAAAAGATAAAGAGAGATGATAATTATGACTGCCCTTACTATATGATTATGTATATTCTTCTAAGGTACAAAATCTTATATCATCCCTACTAATATTATAAATGCGAAAGTAACTCTGCCTGTCTGTCTGTTACGCTTTCACGCCTAAACCACTGAACAGATTTTAAAAAAATTTGTACAGAGATAGAGTAGACCTTGAAAAAGAACATAGGATAGTTTTTATCCCAGAATTTTAAAAGGTTCTCTTGGAAACGCGATATAACCGAACAACACGCGGGCGAAGCTACGGGCGGAAAGCTAGTATTTTCATAACTTTGCTTGATAAAAGATAGCTGTTAATGGTGATTTTAACGTCAAATTATCTATGTAGGAGTTCTTTCATCTTCACAATAATATGCGATATTATTTCCAGATTATTACGTCAGCTAGGCTGTTCTCATGGTTGTACGTCAGCACTAAGAGGTCCTCAAGCAGAATGTCTTCGGGTACAAGCACGGAACTCATTGAAACAGCTAAGAACGGCATCGGTTACTAAGTTCACGCTTAGACTAAAAGAAATGACGAAGTTCGCTCCCATTAGAGAAGTATTGGACAACCTCCACGCGACCTTAGGCTACTGTGTTGAACCGGCCAATATGGTTTCTCCCATGAGTAAGTGAGAGGACGTTATTTGCTGATTCTTGTGAATCCTACTAATATTATAATTGCGAAAGTTTGTGAGTGTGTGTGTATGTTTGTTACTTCTTCACGCTCAAACGGCTGAACCGATTTGATAAAATTTTGTATAAAGGAAGCTTACGTCCAGGAATAACACATAGGCTACTTTATATCCCGGAAATCCGGGGGTAACACCGCGGGGCGCAGCTAGTATTACTATATATTGACATGCTATGTGAATATTTTTTAGATCAACAGAAAAGAAACTTCGTTAAATCCCCGGATATAAGTCATTTACAAGCCGGTTATGCCACGAATTTCGGTGCTGGCCACGGTTCTAACGCTAATCGATCTATTGAGAATTTTATAGTGGAGTCTACGTTCAGGGTTCTTGTGACTAGATTTGCATTGATGCATAAGGATTTGAAACTCTTGGACAATTCGGTAAGTTATTTTATCTGAGTTAAAGTAATTCGCATTTTATTTGAAAACACTAATTTTTGTTTCTTCCCTTTAAAATCAAGAAATTTTTCATCTTTCCTAAATTTTCCTACTATCTAAAAATATATAATTTCTTTGTTTATTCTGAAAATAATTATTTACGTAAAAAATTACAAAGTTATGAAGAATAAGTTATATTATATTTTCTCATTGTGTCACTATTTTTGTAATTTGAATACAGAATCTATACGCAGAAGTCCGTCTATTACTAAGTTATGTAAGGGAAGCTCACGGAGGTCAATTTCGATTGGTGGCGTTCAGCGGGTTGTTGGATACTGCTGAGAAACCGGGTACACAACCAAAGGAAACCAATATGCAAACAACCAGGGTTATCAGGTCTAGATAATAAATTTATAAAGTGATTTGAGATATTTCTTAAGAATCTCTTAATTTCCAATACTCTCGTAAATCTATAATTTTTTAATAATAAATATGTACATCATATACCATAGGACTTTAACGTCCACATAAATGCAATGAAAAATTCTTTAATCCGTGGTGTTAATAGTAATAATTAAAAACAGATTACGAAATCTCTCTGTAATTAGTTTTAAAGAAGATTTATTTTTGGACATTGCTATTTGCTTATATGTTATATTGTAATATTAGAATTATCCCCAGCTTTGTCCATGAATTCAACTAATATCACACAAACAAACATATGTTTTCCATAAATTTTTTTGTATATTATATATCTGTATGTATTCAGACATGTCCCTCGTGCTGATGAAGAACGACCAGCTGAACCTGAGCCCGTATACACAGAAGACAAATCTCACAAGAAGTTCACATTCAAGAAACGTAGTACTTCATCGACTGGAGCCCATGTTAGGACTTTATATCTATTACTAGAGTCTTCGGTAACATTCGGTTTTACCTCACATGGTTTCCCCTTAGCAAAAAATTAACTAATTAAGACTCGCATCTATACTATATACATTACAATACGTTATTAAGAAATATTTTATTTATATTAGCTCTCATGTATTCTTCAATCTTCTTGTTTATTTCCAGAGTCTTCTAGAAACAGAAGGAGGCGAAGAATCTTCTAGTCAAAGTCCGCTATCAGTTCGAACTAGAAGATATCAGCTGACTCCTAGACAGTCTGAACGGACGATACCATCTGCCTCCTCCACCGATATCACCCCCCACCACAAAATAACACACTCCAAGTCATTAAACTCCAAATTTCATATTAGCGGCATTGGTAAAGAAATTCTATTAAGAACATTTTCCTAAATACTTGTTTTTAAGCTTGAATAACATCAGTTACGCAGAAATCTATTTTGGGTATCAGTTTACGAATTTTAATAACATTTGAACTTCTACATGGCCCAATAAAAATAATTATTGTTTTCCAACCAAAAAAAAACAGTAACTAATTTCTGCCAAAATCTTCTTTTACCTGGCAATTTCCCAGCTTTAGCCATTGTCTGCCAAATGACTAATAACTAATTTCTACCAATGTTTCAGTGAAATGGTTCCGTCAGAAGCCCCATCCTCAACCATTGGTTCGTAACGGCGCGGGGTCAGGAGAGTCGCTGCCTATATCTGGTAGTATGGCGTCGTTAGCGCGACATCACGCGCAGCCTGTATCACGACCGGTTCATGTTAAACGAAGAGTCGGATATACACTTAATAGGTATGAATAAATATTTACTTAGCCCATGAGATACATATTGTATGGACTATGGATGTAAGTCAAAATTATTTTTGAATTCTGTACAAAAACTCTTGTTTATCCTTACAAAAAATCGTTCTGAAACTGGGACTTTAAAAAAAATCATTAATTGCTAATTAATATGGTCTGATGTCGATGTTGATAAAATAAAAATATAGCACTAATATGTAACACATTTTTTTTTCTTTGAGCACTAAATCATATATTTACAAAAATCTCTATTTGTAAAAAAAACGCATAAAATTGTTCATTAAATTGAATATCTACAACAATTTTTAAACATTAAAGTGTGAATATCATACACTTTTTATGATCTTGTCTTTGTTATAGATTATTTATACAGTTTCACCTGACTTAAGTATGATGAAATATACATTCGTTTCAGGGCGAGAAAACGAGTAGAGGACAGATTAAATAGATTCGGTCTGAGGAAAATGGGCAAGAAAAGAGACGGTAGTATAGAAGAGACCAGCGGTGGATGTAAGTACTTATCCTGCTTAGTGAGATAAAGTCACAACACTACCTGGTAATAATGCCACATTTTTTATCGTTCATTATTTACGAACATCACATATAAAATTAACAACTCACTACCATAAAAATCATAACACTATTAAAATAATACAACACTATTATAAATTTGAATGTTTCGATTAATATACATTTATCTTCTTCTACCTGGCAATGTCCCAGCTTTAGCCAGGGTCTGCCTTACATGTTGTGAATAGTTTTTGGCTAATTGTTTTTACGGCCGCCTCCCTGACATCAACCCTCTTTGGGAATGCAGTAATCAGTGATGTCTTGATACTCTTAGAAAGTATATATGATTCGGAAAAATCACATTGGTACTTGCCAGGTTTGAACCCGCGCCCTCGGCAACGAGAGGCGGACTCTTTAACCACTAGGCCACCACTGACTCTATTAATTATGATACGAACATCACTAATTACTATTTTCAACACACTACCATACAAATCATAACACAAGTAAAATAATACAACACTATTATAAATTCGAACGTTTCGATTAATATACATTTATCACTACTTATAATGTACCGAATAAGATACATATCTATGTTTGTCATATTTGAAACCATTAATTGGACGTAACCAATATAACAAGAGCTCCTCATGTATTCCAGACATGTCCCGTCGCGGTTCAGCCGAAGGTGGTTCAGGTGGCGGTGAATCCGAAGTGGTTGTATTAAAGCGTCGTCGCCTTGTATCAGCGGCTCCACTATACGCTGGTCTTGCGAGATTTAGTTTTATGTTGGACGCCACTCAACCGGGAAATACCCCTGATGCTTTGTTCATGGCAGCGCTATTGGATCTTGTAAGAGATTTTTTGTTATGTTATGATATATACTATCTATCGGTAAGAGAACGTTCTATGTATTTTTTTAGTTTAATTGTCTTTTCTAAATATGACAAAGGTATAGAAAAAAAGATATATTTAGGGGGTGATGTGAAAGAAAACTAGGAACTCGGTGACTCTCTATCGCTACTTAAATTGGCGCAGTTGTAATTATCATTACTTCACATATTAAACAAAATATTAGAGCAGTGTTTTCCCCTTAACACCTAAGAAAAAAAGCTGTGAGTTCTACTTCCTTTAAATGACACTCACAAATAAGATGTCAGTTTTCTAAAAAAATACTAAACAGAATTGAACGAAATTATAATAGTAGACCTCTCGTTCATTACATCCTGACCCAGTTTAAATTTTAATCTTTTTCTGCTAAAGAAAATACCAGTATTGAATCTGAAAAGCCATAATATTTGAACAGAAATTAATATAATATTTAAGTTTATTATGTAATTGTAAATAAAAAGAGTGCTATTATAATAGGAATGGTAATCATTGACAAATTATTATTTAATATTTCATTTATTTTTCCAGCCACACACAGTCGTCGTCGGTCGAGCGGCCATATTACTGGAATGCGCACATTTAGTTCATAATTGCAATAAAGGCCAGTGGCCCTATTGGCTTAAATCAAATATGGCTAAGAATCCATGTATGTTTCTTCACATTTTACTAGTGTTTTAAGATAATGCAATGTTATACATATTAAGTGTTTACTGTAGTGTCCTCAGGTCCGCTACAACTGAGACGACAACGTTTAGCTGGAAAACTATTCTATCAATGGGCAGAGGTAAGAACACTTTCTAAATTGGGGAAAAAGCGCAAAGAAAGCACATAAAAACATCGATTTAAACTGACTAACCAATATTAAGTTACAGTATATTTTTTCTCCTAACATAACTCATCAGAAGATTTAAAAAATATATATGATGTTATTAAAGAATATAGAAATTAAAATTGATCCCACTTCATTAATACAAAACAAACATTATAAATAACCTAATTACATTCAGTTTTTGTCTGATAAGTGATAATGTACTAACTTAAGACACACTTCAGAAGTTTATTTTTGTTGAAGATCAATAGTTTTGAAGATTTTTTTCTTAACAGGCTATAGGCAATAGACTTGATGATATGCTGAATGAGGATAAGAAACACATAGAGACGGTTGTTAACTTAGTGAACGACCCTGACGGCCAGCGGGAACTGTTACAACAGGATGAAGAGGAAGACTTCTTGGATGAGGGTATTGAAAACTGATTACAATAGAGAGAATTCGATAGTCGATAGTACTTCCTTGCTTCCTCTCCCGCCCAAAGCATATTCATAAGGCCCTTGTAAATAAGAATGGCACAAATAACATTTTTACAGACGTTTTATATAGTTTAGGAGTATAAATCTCCCAAATCTGAAAATTCTTATATTTTTAAAGGCACATTCTTATACAATCTCACAAAATCCAAGGAATTATTAAAAGTTATCTGACGGTTTCTGCTCCCTAATTTTTCTTTGAGCTGTATTAAAGTTTGTTCCGAAAACGCTCAAATAAATAAGAAAATAAAACTTTTACATAGATATTACTGTTATTCGTTAAAATTTGCTAAATATATTAATATGAACCCAAAAATCTAGTATCAATATGCAGTAAAAGTATGAAAGCCATTACATTAAACAAAAATAGAATTTAATAAAATATATGTATTTATAATTCCAGCCAGTATCCGTCTTCCCGGTAAAACGATTGGCGCGGAATGTCCTCGAGCTCTCAGAATAGTCGCTTGTATGTTACTGTTTGAAATCACCGCCTTCTTGAGGGAGACGTATCAAAACCTTCCAAAATCCTGTCGTTCATCGTTAAAGGAAAGGGGACCTTGGGACCGTGTCTACAGGTACGATTTCCGCATGACATGCAATCATATATTTTTGGTAAGTAGTTGCTATATATGGTAACGTTGTGTCAATGATTTTGTTATTATGTTTTGCGAAGGTGGATGCAAAAGCGGAGACGTTTATTGTGTAATAATAAGTGAGTTCATTATGTTACGTTATTTAGTAATGTATACGAATTACATATTGTGATAAAAACTTTTCATTTTAACAGGGCTCTTAGCAGTCAACACACATTAATGCCAGTCGAGTATGTTTATCAGATAATGCATGTTTTTGCGCAATATGTGCATGCACATAGTTTGTAAATACGAAATAAAACATCACATTAAAAACAATTTTAATGATAATAGACAAGGATAAAGATTGGTATGGAGTAGGTTACACTTATAAATAACATCAGCACATGGCTATGGGAATTGCTCTTATTTTTTAGTATAGCCATAGACCGTGAAGATTGAGAATTTGACGAAATAACTTATTTTTAATCGGCCACATATATTAAAAACAATATAAATGCATGGTGTTAAAATATATTTTTAATATTAAAAGGTAGGTATAAAATTCACAGATTGATTTGAAATTTTTTTGAAACACTTCCTAGTTTAGAAAAGATTAGCGCTTCATTGTATTGGCATGTAAAATTTTAATGAACACGAATATGTCAATGATGAAATAGAATACAAATAGATTGGTATAGTTTTGTTACGTACGTACAATATGTTACTAATTTCTCAATGTAAAATCCAGAGAGGCAAATCGTCGGTGGAGTATGGCTTTATCGAGTATGGGACATTCGCAAGCCTCAGCTCAAAGCTTACAGTCAATAGCCGGCGCTGAAACAGAGAGGAAAATATCATTCGTACTTCACGAACCAGAGAACGTATCCGGTGGTAGTAACGTTACGGTGAGAATAATATGAAAATACTCTAACATTGGATATAAGCTTCAAATTTTCGATTTTCTATTGTGTATTGTAAGGACTTCGTCTTTTCATAAGTTTTAAAGTTACACCAGATTGATTATAATTTTGTTCCCGTGACAAAAAAAAAGAAAATAAATTTTCTCAACTTTAATATATTTGGGAATATTGACATGTCCAAAGTATACCTTTATTAGAAAACACACACACCAGTGATTCTATTTTTTTAATACTTACTATTTACTTATACAGGGTGACTGGTGATTACTATCGATATTTGAGGACGTGATATTTGACGATCATATATGACAAAATAAAAATTAATATAACATAAATATTAATAAACTTCTAAGTAAAGTTAACCAAAAGTTATGTAATTAATTACGCATCGTATGAACACCCTACAGATTAGGTATTAAGTGCACTCGTGCGCTGAACCACCAATTCAAAAGATTTAAAAATTACATAATATTACTTCATCTTTATTGTTAAATTACCATTTTAATATTTACTTTTTAAACATATAAAACCGTATAAAAAATTAAAAATCCTAATTATGGTCAAAAAGTTTGAGCGCTTTACTAAACTCTCGTGCGCTTCGGCGAGTGCACGAGAACTGCTAATACATCTTGTATGAGATACGCATTAATACGCCTGGCGCGTGAAACAAAAGATAGTTCATAAATATGTACCGAGTAATGAGTCGGTTCTCGAGCGCCGCACGGCCGAAGATTACCGAGAGCACCCGATGTATGACGAATTGAGTCGGCCGGCCGCGGTATGATTGACATCTCGTTATGTTTTGTTGCATTTTCTAATTTTAATATTTTAGTAAAGTGCACCACCAGTTTGATTACCCACCAGCCGCCACTGCTTGGAACACTTGGAACGTGTACACACTTTATTTATTTATACGGAAATTTGGTCAAAAATTAAGTACCTATTTTTTTTACATAATTCGAATGAGAATCATGTACTGAGTATGCTCCTTAAATATTGATAGTAATTCACCAGTCACCCTGTATATAATTGTATCCTTATATATAAAAATTAAATTTTGTTAACTTTTCAGCTACCAGAAGTGATACCAAGCGCTGATGATAAGAAGTCCCGTCTTGGCTCACGGGCGAAGGGCATCGCTCGCCGGAACACACAGCAACACGCTGCGTACGGATCATTCAAACGAAGATCAATAAAACTGAGGCAGAAAGATTCCAGAGATGTTGATGAATGTAATTATTATACATAATGTATATCATCTCGTCGGGGATAGTGCAAAACCGCGTTACTAGCATTGGATAATTCCGAGTATTTAATAAATTAAATACTAAATAATTACTAATTGTGAAAAAATTACCTTAAAAATCGTTAATTTAAAAAATATGTCATCTTAAACTTTCTTCTGATAATTTTCTTCCAATACAGATACGCGGAATTATCCAATGCTAGTTACGCGGTTTTGCACTATCCCCGACGATATAAATATATAAATATTAATCGGGTTGTATATGAATTAATGGATTCTTAACGATGTTTCAGTCGTGACGCGAAGATCTGATTCAATACAGAGCAGAAGAAAGGTATCTTCTTTATCTGATAGGAGTGATACGTCTGAAATTTATCCAGGAACAGGTAAATTATGAACCAAATATCGTAATTTGTTCCCCAAAAAGATCTTAAAGTTTTTAAGTTCCCATTATTATGTTATCAATTTTTTCACTATGCAGAATTATAGTTAAAATATGATCAGTTATTTGACATATTTTTAATACCCTATTTTAGGAGGTACGGTAATAATGCCAAACGAAGTGGACAGTGGTGGTGAGGAGAGTCCAGGTGTATTATCAGACGACCACGACCATCCTCCTGACAGCCCTGACAGTAACTCCACAGATCCACCGTTAACTAACAAAGGCTTCCCGTGGCTCAAGGTATATTTTACTATAAAACTAGCATATTTTACTGTTCAGGGTTGTACATCCTTGAGTTAGTGGTTCTTTAATTTTTGCTATATGTATTATTCATAAGTTATTTTACAGCTCTAAATTAAACAAATATTTTTCGGACTGCTATACGTATTTTATTATTTTTACGTCTGCCTGTGATCATGTTTGGTGAAAAGTAACCGAATTTTCCAGAGGATATAGATTTTAAAATAATAAAATACGCGAAGTAATCCGAAAATATTAGTTTCATTTAAATGAATACTCGCGAAATTCTTAGATCTCATTGTCTTACAGGTCATTGTAAAGTTCCTGAATTCGTTCAACTACGTATGCTGCCATCAGAATTTCTGTCATCCTTATTGCTTCCGTCGCAACATGCGAGCCACAGTGAGACTTATGAAATCAGTGCAAAAGGTATAAGAAGAAATTCGTTTAAACGATTGTGTAATGTGAATATACAATAACTAATAATATTTCTAATAATAAAAATTTGTATATTATAGATTTATGGTGAAAAATTTGGTCCAGAAATGAATAGCACAAGTAACGAAGAAGGTTCAAGTGAAACGAGACGAGGTCGGAGAACAAGGAAGCCTTCGGATCATGCAAGCGACAGGTGAACTGGCTAGATTTATTTCGATGTTAAATGAGCCCAAAGCCGGTAGCACATACTTTTAAAGGGTCTTTGACCGTCTTTAGGGTTAATATCGAAGGACAATTACATATGTATCTTCTTCTTCTTCTACCTGGCAATTTCCCAGCTATACCCAGAGTCTGCCTTACATGTTGTGATAGTTTTGGCTAATTCTTTTTACGACCGGCCGCCTGCTTGACATCAACCCTCTTTTGGGAATTATAATAAGTAAAATATAGTTTAACGTTTATTGATATCAAATATTTATACATAATTAAAGAATATTTAAGTAGTAAATTACTATTAATATATCTAGAAGATGATTGTGGTGCAGCTATATATACTTTAAATATCGTTAATTTTCGTTAAGCATTAAAAATAGTAATAAATAATAACATATATTCAGAATCGACCGCTCAGTAATAGAGAGTGCTGGGTTAGCGTATCGAGCGGCGGGCGGAGAACACAACCTGCCTCACACGGAAGCGCCCCCTACCGCCGCGCCCGGGACTATACCTTACCCACCACTGGAGCCGCCACCTATACTCAAATATATCAAAACTCAGGTTAATTTAATACCTTATCGTATTATATTTCAAGTACACCAAAATCATTGAAGTCTCACTATCTATAAAGACTAGGAAATTATTTTATTAAAATAATCATAGTTTTGTATTCGATGCATTAATGTTTTCTCCAGTGCTACTAATCAATTGAAATATAAAAGTCCAATGAAATTTTCATAAATTTTACTTTATTACACATTATGGACAATAAACAGTTACAGTAAGAAAATGTATACATACTATACACTGACAATTATCTCAACAAAATTATTTTTTTATGTGAATTGGTTTGTTATTACCAGGTTCGTGAAGCATACCACGCGCCATTAGCGACGTTAGTAAAGGGCGCCACCACGTTATCTGAGGAGGTGTTCTCGGAAGCAGCTGGTGCCGCGTGGAGACTTCTTCTAGAACCAGACCGTGAGCTCAGTGCATGTGCTGCGGCTTTGTTCGCGTTAGCCGCTGTTAGAGCCCCCGCCGCTCCACAACACCTTATGCAAAGGGATCTTAAACATTCCGATCCTGCTGTTAGGTAAACCTTAGTATATACAGGGTGACTGGTGAATTACTATCAATATTTAAGGAGCATACTCGGTACATGATTCTCATTCGAATTATGTAAAAAAAATAGGTACTTAATTTTTTACCAAATTTCCGTATAAATAAATAAAATGTGTACACGTTCCAAATGTTCCAAGTGTGGACGCGTGCAGCGGCGTGCTGATACAACACCACGCCTCCGCGCGCGTATGTGTGAGTGTGTGTGTATACCTAATCTGTAGGGTGTTTATACGATGTGTAATTAATTACCTAACTTTTGGTTAACTTTACTTAGAAGTTTATTAATATTTATGTTATATTAATTTTTATTTTGTCATATATGATCGTCAAATATCACGTCCTCAAATATCGATAGTAATTCACCAGTCACCCTGTATAATTCACTTTCAGAAACAATAGGAGTAGAAAATCCAAGAAAAACGCAACTAGCGTTTTTAATTATGTTTAAAATATCGTGGCTTAATATAATATAATTAACTTACAGAATAAACGCAATTCTACGTTTTCAAGTCATGTGGAAATTGCGATATCAAGTGTGGCCTCGAATGGAGGAAGGTGCTTCTGTGACATTCAAAGTACCGCCGCCTGGCATCGAATTCACTTTGCCTTCACCTAAAATAGGTATTGAATCATTAGCGGTCGTTGACCCCCCATGGAGTCCGCAAGTTAAAGACAAGGATATGGAAATGACTTTGAACCAAGAAAGACATGTGAGTGATGTAATAATTACTTAAATTCACGTCATGCTACTTATGCTAAAACATTATGGTTTTTATTTATAGAGATCTCTCGTAACGGCAACAAAAACTCGCAAGAAACAGCAAACAGAGGCTATAAAGAAAGCGTTACAACAACGAGATGATAAGAAAAAAGCGGAAAGAGAGAGCTTTCTCATTACGACTATACCAATCACAAGACAAGCAGCGCGGGAACCGGCTTTAGATCACGCTGCTGATGATCATATTGAACGTAAGAACCAAGCATTATATTATATCCAAAGCAAAAAAAAGGATTCTTTTGCCAACTAATTTATATAAAAAAAAAACCTTTTATTTTCCTTAAGGAATGTTTTTTCTCATATAACATGATAGGTTAGGCCTATGCATGGTCCTTCATATAGTCACTAAAAACAAAACCAGTTATGTATTACAGCACAACTATTAAGCATCGAATTGATACTAAACAACTTTCCGCCAAATAAATCTCCAAATAATATCTAATAATAATAATATAATCAAATCAAATCTAATAATATCAAATAATCGCCAAATAAATCTCTCTATGTATTGTATAATAGCACCAGCTGATGAGGAGATAGCTGAAGGTGTTCGAGGTTCTCACCACACTCAGGTTGCGTCAGCTCTGTTTCCTTCAGTACTTTGCTCGGCTGTGGCGGAAATTATAGCGCTTTTAGATGACGCGGCGGTTTCTAGGGAAGGATGTTCTGTATATGAAGTCGCTTATCAGGTATCGACAACCCTAATAAATGTACTTGTACTTTATAGTAGTAATAACTTAACTAGTGAAAGCCTTAATTTGATAGTTGATATGTAAATTTCTGTAGCAATCTAAGTGGTTCCGGCTCTAAGTGGTTCTGTAGCAATCTGACTGGTCTTAGAAAAATATTAGCTGAATTTGACAGTAATGTCTTCCAACGTTTTAATTCCACTGAAATATTTTTAGGTTATTTGGGGTTGTCTAGTTGAAGACTCGGCCTTATTTCTCCGTCACGTCTTAGAACGACTCACGCGTGATCATCAAGACGAGATGTTCAAACTTCTTCGGCATTTAATTCGTTTCATACCGCGGTTACCTCAACAGGCGGCTTTCGCTCTATATAATTATATAATTGGATACGTCATGTTCTATGTACGAACGCCTCATGAAGATGGACAAAGGCTTATTGGGGCTGCCTTATCAATTCTATGGATGGTAAGTATATTAATTATTCGGAATATTTTTTGTGAGCTTTAGTGTTTGGTTTAATTTCTTTTCATAGGTGGTACATAGCGTCCACGGTATAATGTTCAAAGATCTCAAACAAATTCTTCGTAAAGAGCAATGTGATGCGTCCATTTTGCTCACTGCCAATGTTCCGGCCGCTAAGAAAATTATTGTACATGGTCCATGTAAGTTGTATTAGTATATTGTAATGCATAATTAACTTAAGGATATATTTTTATAAACATTTAACACCAATCTATTATTTCAGCTGATAACGAGGGTAGTATACCATCTCAGTTCCCAGTACAGGAAGATACACAATTCTGTCAAATTTTAAGAGAATCACTCGACTATTTTGGTATACCGGAAAAGATGCATGAGGAATATTTTCTAGTCGATTTTAAAACACGTAAGTTTAGATGAGACCTTAACTGATTCTACATAATTTGAAGCGAAATTTATTAAGCGACTTAAAAAGCCAACAAAGTATTCAATTTAATAAATGATTTACACGTATCCAGTACCGATTAACATTTTAAACATATAATTTATAATACCTTATAGATCTTATATAAATACAAAACATAATGGAGTTTTAAAAATAAGTTTTTTATGTATTTTCAAACTCTATCATCAATCTTATTTATTGTAAAAGAAAAATAAAAAACAAAATCAATTAATTATAAACAATTAATAATTGATGAAATAAAAATAAAAATCACGTGCCTATAAACGCGGTGTAATTGGTCACCATAATTGTGATGTCATAATTGTATAGATATTTAATAGCTGTAGGTACATAATATTTATTACTAGCTTTTGACCGCGACTCTCATAACTTTTGAATTAGTACGAAAAAGAATAAAAGCAGTTTTGTTATAAAACTTATATATGATCTTTCGATTTCTCAATAAAAAATCAAAAACTCAATTAATTTATTCAAATACATAAAACATCACTGATACTAGAATATTTCACTGAAGACTAACCTATTTAATCTTTATGTATTTATATAACTTCCAAGGTCAAATACACAATCCGTCATCATACGTTCGTGACCACTACTTCTTCAAGCGCTCCCAGTACCCTCAGCTGGGCCTGGTTCACATGCAGCCTGAAGAAGCCTTCGAGAGGCTCCAGAGACAGGAACTACTTATCAAATTCGTCGAGATAGGGAAGGTTCTACTGACTTGGGCCATACTCAAAAATGTTGATATGGTAAGGATATATTCATAAAGCTAATCCTACCATCGATTCTATGGTATTTTATTTTATTCCTGTATCTTATATGATACAAGTAATAGAACTTTATGTGCTATATAATTATACATATTTTGTTTGTTTGTTTTGTGTATTCGTAGATGAATTTAATAATTGATAGGGTATCTCTGTTTTTAGTTTTATTAAGTTCACTAATGGAAACAAAACGACATTAAATTATGTAATTAGTTAATAGAAACAGTATTAATCATTTTCTCTATAATGTTTATCTGAGTAATCATTATTGATTATATTCTTATAATACAGGTAGTTCAAAGGGTGGTGTTTCTTCACGACGAGCTGATGAAGCTACCCTCGTTTCCTCGGAAGGCTCTAGAGGCCGACCTCACTCTATACAGTCGTGGACCTCTCGGCTCGACGCTACTTGGCTTGGATGTTCTACATAAGTTCATGTAAGATATATTTGACATTATCCTAACTTGAATTACTAACTGAAAATATTTTTACCACCAGTATGCATATCCCAAGACTGCATCATCACACTAAATACTCATTCAATAATGTATGTTAACAATATAATCTGGAAAAAATTAAAATGCTAAACTGTTAACCATTTATATGTAGTATGGCATTGCCAACTTACAGAAAGTAAACGGAATCGGCAAAAGACCTTAATTTTCACAAATGTTAATACAGCAAGGTGTTTGATTTTTTACTTTTGATGGACTAAAGACGAAAATCAGTTTATCTGTCTTTTATTGCTTAACTTTTTAATTTTTAATTTAATATTTTTAATTTAAAATTCGAAGAAACGAATATTAGAAAATGTAATGTTAAAAAGTAAGTATTCTCACTAATAACAAGCAACATAATATAGTGTTTTGAGTTTTTTTTGCATAAGAAAACTAATTATAAAGATTGCTTTAAAGAATATGTATTTGTGAATTATATTTTATACATCGTATTACAGGTGGGTTCGTCTTATTTCTCGTATGTTTGAAGCTATGGCTGGTAACTTCACCTCGTCTCGTGATATACATCTGTTCCTGAACGTCCTAAATGGCGCCTTGATGCTTCACAGCGAGGACTGTCTCATACTACGCTACGTTATAGCCACATATGTTAACGCAGCGTTCAATTTTAAGAATATATTCTCAACTAATGGGTACGTTCAAATTATATAATCAAATAACCAAAAAAATACCTTTATTAATATATATAAAATATGTATTTTTTTAGATATCTCCTCATAATGCCAACGTTATTGCAAATATATTCAAACTTCCAAACTAACAAGTTAGTGACGACCACCATTGAATACGCCGTTAAGCAATTCTATTTGCTGAATAGGAAACCGTTTATATTACAAATGTTCGGTTCGGTATCCGCTATATTAGACACTGATGAAGAAGCTGCGTTCGGCGATGCTAGCAAAGTGAGTCTATTCTTTTATTTCTTAATATGTAAATAAATAACAAAATTATAAAACAAAATCCATGTCGAAATAATATCTTATGCAATAATCTCTATACTAGAAACTTAAAATGTTAAATTCTTAATATAACAAAATATTTTTTTCTTATTAAATAATATAAAATCATTTTTCACTAACAATTTCACTTAATGAACTTTATATTTTCAAATAGCAAGATCTACACATACTTCTATTCAAACTTTATAATTGCAATTAATTTGCAATTAATTTATCATAAACTCCTCAAATAAACCTGTGTTTAGTGTGACCCCTTAGAATTATTAGTTACAATGTTGATATAATTGGTTCCATATAAAGAATATTCTTTAAAAATGTACCTATAATTCCAGGTCCAATCCAGTTGTCTATTCAACCTGCTACTAAGCCTGGAAACTCCATCACCAGATCCATTGCACATCGCAGAGCTCATCAAAGAAGAGAAACCTCTCAAACCCATTGATTTCTGCTACAGGGATGAAGAGGAAATGGTCAATGTATTAGACTGCATCAGCCTGTGTGTTATGGTCGTGTCGTATAGCGCTGAAAGTATGCGGGGATATCAAATGCTTGTATGTAACTTCATAATAAAGTATAATTATATGCATGCATGCATGTGCATATTTATTTGTAGCTTTGACGGCGTTTATTTTAAATTCTGTTAAAAAAATGTCTGCTAAAAATAAAAAATATGTTAGCCACCTAGTAGCGACATCTGTCGTCTATAATTTGATTTCATATAAAATACTGTATATATCATGTTTTTGAGGAACTACATGGAATGAAAGTCTCAGTTGTAACATATATTTTATTCTTATACATGACTTATATTACTGTGAAGTCTCATTAAAATACATTTAGTAGTTTTTACTTGAAAGCGTAACAAACATGATAAAAAATATTCCTATATTAAGTAGTATAAATACTTTTTCCAGATAATATTGGAAGCGATTCTTCCCTGTTATGTGAAACAAATACAACTACCCACATATAACAGAGAGGGGAAAACTGAAAAGGAAATTATACAACAACTTGCGATAGCCATAAAAACACTAGTAAATAATTGTGAAGGGCTATCGAAGTGAGTAAAAATATACATATATTTAAATTTTTTCATTATCAAATGTTTTGCACTTATTATTTCATATGTACATATCTTTTCTTTATCTAGAAAAACAAGTCTACTTATTGAAAGGAAGTCAAAAGTAAATTCAAAAGAGTGAATTAAATGTGAAACATGTACCAATATATTGTTATTAAAATGTTTGCCCGTTTTTATGTTTATCTATTCCAAGTAATATTCAAAACGGCTGCAACGATTTAAAAAAACTCATGATAAAGCAGTTTGAGTAATATAATGTAGTATTTTAGCCAACTTTATTTAATGATAGGTACTAATTATTTTTATTAGTATATGTAACTCCTCCGGTCTAAGTAAGTCACCGCCAGTTAGGGTAAAATCCGGATAGTTGCCTCACTTTTTGAAAAAGCCTTATTATTTTTTATTATGAACTTGCTGAAAATTATTACGTATGTATCTCGAAACATAGGTCTTTTATCTTTCATATTTGCCTATTTTTGAATACGTAGTTAACAATAGTTTATCAGGTTATCTTATTATCTTCACCAGGTCGTACAACGGTCCTTACCGCACGTCTCCGGAGCACAAAGGTTCGTCTCAGCGTGGTTGTCGCGGCCCCACGGCCTTTCTACCACTGGACGCTCTCGATGACGAGTCTCACTCACGTTACGTCAGCGACCACTCGCGCCCGCCGCCCGCACCCGACTACGGCGCGGCCGAGGACTCCGAGGTATGTTACATAACAAATGAAAACTTATACTAATGGACATGCCTTAGATGGAGATGAGAATTGTGGTAGATGAGAATGATGGAGATGAGAATAGATTTAATGGAGATGAGAATTGTGGTACTCCGAAAGAAAGAGACGTAACGAAGTTTCAGTCTATCTTTATCTCTCTTAAAATAGTACCGTACCTACGAGGAAAGAGGTAGTCCTAGACCGAAAGCATAGGCAATCTCTCTCACTCTTTTCAAACCAAAAAATTACTGCAGATTATATGCGTAAGGCATGTCCATTAGTATAAGTCGATACCTAAAGTAATATGGCTGCTCACAGACTATAGATCGTACGATACGATACGATCGGAGTCTATGTTTCTGACACTTATTAAGTTTACATTACTAGTGACTTAGAATATATACTATGTAACGTTCTTTACTGCATTTATACGCATGTTAATTGAATTCATTATTGTTAATTTGTAAATATAATTATAAAATATTATTGTTGAAACTTTTTATTAGGTAAATTAAATCTATTTGAATTTGTCCATTAAATTTTGCCAGTTCACCCATAATTCGTTCAAACTTACATTGCCAATTCGATAACGACGGATGTGAATTCGACCAGACTGTAATAAATGAAACGTATATCATATTGTGTATACTATTTATTTTAATAGTACTAAATTAATTTCACCCAAAGAAATATTATATCAATTATCAGTCTTTCTCAATTGTCTATCAATTTTATCCTTATTCATATTTATATCATTTTGTACTATTTCCATTCCAATGCTTTTATTTATATATGAATATTTCTATCCAAGTTAATACGAGCGGAATACCGTCGTCCCAGAGACGTGTTACTATCTCTAGTGGGGGAATTCATCGGTACAGCCACAGCTCGTTTACTGGAACTGAACGGTTCCAAGGGTAGCGGCTCGGAAGGAAAACCTGTGGAATTACTGGATACTAAGTCACATGCTGTATGGAATGTTAGTATGAATAAAATAATAATATATTATCATACAATAAAACTAGTATTATTCGGACTACTACGCGTTTTTTTTATTATTTTACTCACGATGTTTCGGTAATTTTGGCAGCAAACGTGATCACGCGCAGAAGAGATGATAATCATGGGAGAATATAGTTTAAATTAATAGAAAACGCGTAATGAATTAAAAATATTAGTTTCATTTAAATGAATGCTCGCGAAAGTCTTAGATATCAATATTGGTTTTACTAATATAGACTATATGACACAAAAAATGTAACATAGAAAATGTATAGCCATATTTTTGTGGTAAACATTCAAATTTTTTTGGCAGTAATATACAACGTTAAATAATAAGTTTTCCTTATATTAAAGTAATTTCTATACTAATTGACCTTAGAGACTTGCGGAGATAGCCCATTCTCTACTGAAAGTATCACCCTATGACCCTGAATCTATGGGTTGTCGAGGTCTCCAGAGATACATGACCCTGGTACTACCAGCCGCGGACTGGTCCAACGACGCTATCAGACCAGCACTCATCACTATCCTGAGAAGATTGGATAAAGTCTTTCTGAAAATTGCCAAAAAACCAAGTATAAGGGTATGTATTAATTATTAAAGTTGACAGACTTCAATCTCAAGTATGAAGCACGACTTACAATCTTACGTCCTTATTAAGTCGATAAAATTTTGATTAGAAGATTAGTTTGCTATAAATTGCATTGTTAAGTGTTAATTGCATTGCATTGTTAATTTAGTAAGTTTCATAATACTGCAAATCAAATTCTTTGAAGTTGCAAATATACTGTTGTTGTTTTTTTGCAGTTCGTGAAATGTAATATAATAATATTTTCCAGCGAAACACAGACTGGGATGCTGCGGCGGGCTTACTGAAGGGAGTGTACGAAACAATGATCAGATGTCCTTACATCATGCATCTGCCGCAAGTTAAAACACTATTAAACACGGTTCAAGTAAGATACTCTATAAATTTATCGGGTATTACAAACTGAAGTATTAAATTTATTACTTTATATAAAGTTAAATAAAAAACTCATGGTAATTTCATATTTATAATTATGAATTAAGGCCATTTCTATGAAATTTACTTCTTCATATCAAAGTCTTTTATAGATATTAAATTATTGTATGTTTAATTGAATTTCAGTCACTAATAGTATCAGACAACAGTAGCGGTGAGAATCTCTCTTCAGCAACAGCCGCTTTAATGTCGCAGCCGCCGCCTTCACACTTCTGCAGCACAGTCGTTAGACTAATAGCTCTACAAGTGGTTAATGCTGGGGTGAGCTTACAATGTATGATTAATGTATGAATTTCATACAAGAATGTATATTAAACTATCGTTTTGTAAATCAGGACAGCTATTCCTTGGAGCAGATGTGCGGTGGTAGCGCTATATTTCAAACGGCGGAGAAAACTGAGAACATGCTCACTAATCTGTTCATGCCGTTGTGTTTACGTGTTGGAAGCGGAAGGAAGGGTAATAAACTTAAGAAATTACACAATTCGTTTAAATAATTAATAGTTCTTTACGGTCAGAAATTATTTATCTGTTATATGTCGCTTACAACATGCTAATCTTAAAAAAAAAGATATAAAAGTTTACTAATTAATGTTTAAAACACCACTATACAATTGACCTTCGACATATCTATTGCCGCTTTTATAAAAAAAAAAAAACAGAATTCTAATTATATAATGACATCATTAGATGTTCCGCCGTTGCGTCAGTCGGACGTGTCGTACCTGGTGTCGGCGGTGGTGGGTGCGTTGTGTCCCCCGGCGCCGGCTGCCCAAGCCGCGGCCGCCAACGCTAAATTAACGATGGATGCGCGCGCCAACTCGCTCACATTCACCGGCAGCAGAGACACCAGGAATACTACTAAGTTATCCAATCATTTGTATCGCGTCGCGTTTCTAGGTGAGTATTATCTCTATTTGAGATTATAATCATATTTCAAATATCGTTACTTCAATAAATTTTGATGTTTAGAAGAAATCCGTTCATTTCTTTTGTTTTTCTAAACTTTTCAATGATACTTATTGACGCATCCAGTGATGTACTCACGTGCTTTTTTAATTATTAGCACAAGATCGAAATTGTTAATTCAAAATACTGACTACCCTCACTCACAGTAATAATAAAACATGTATTATTTCCCATATAATTTGAACCGTGCTTAATTTATTTCACTCCCAGCCCTAAAGGTGCTGTGTGCTTGCTTCACAAGCGAGCTGTGTAGTGAGTGGGGTCGTATAGCTCGTGCCATGAGGGAGCTTGGCCGGCGGAACGAAGCTGCTCAGCATTTGTGGGACTTCCTGGAACACGTGGTCACTTACCGCACACCGCTATACGTGCTGCTACAACCGTTCATTGTTCATAAGGTATTGTCACACCCTTTGTTTAATATTTATATATTTATATTTATTTGTTAATATTGTCATCGTCATAATTGGTTCATCCGTTGTAGAGATTACCCGAAACAAACAGAAAGATACAAATACATTCTTCATCTTATGACTACATAATGCTATCTCTTCATGCATAACAACGCACCTATAACTTTAATTTCCCGACTAGCCACAAACAGTAAAAAATAGTAATAAATATAAATTTTGTCTTAATAGGTACTATCAAATAATAGTATATCCACTAGATTGAAAGTTTAGTCGTCCATTAACATAAAAAATATATAATATATTTACATATTAAATAAAAATGCTTTTACATTAAACTAATTGATGTCTCAAAAAAACATAATTATAACCAGTGGCGGCTGGTGGGTAATCGAACCGGTGGTGCACTTTACTAAAATATTAAAATTAGAAGATGCAACAAAACATAACGAGATGTCAATCGCGGCTCAATTCGTCATACATCGGGTGCTCTCGGTAATCTTCGGTTCGCGCGTGCGGCGCTCGAGAACCGACTCATTACTCGGTACATTTCTATGACCTATCTTTTGTTTCACGCGTCAGACATATTAATGCGTATCTCACACAAGATGTAGTAGGAGTCCTCTTGCACTCGCCGAAGCGCACGAGATATTAGTTTCGTAAAGCGCTCAAACTTTTTGACCATAATTGGGAAATTTAATGTTTTATACGTTTTTGTATGTTTAAAAAATAAATATTAAAATGTTAATTTAAAAATAAAGTTGAAGTAATATTTTGTAATTTTTAAATCTTTTGAATTGGTGGTTCAGCGCACGAGTGCACTTTCGGTACAGCCGCCACTGATCATAACCTTTTCTAAAATTAACCCCTTCATTTACTATTTTATAAACACAATAATACATAGTAATAGCATTATTTTGATTATCATTATCATCAGCCTATCAGAGCCCACTGCTGAGCAAAATCCTTATTCTCACATGGAGAAGGTTTGAGCATTAATCACCACGCTTGCTCAAGACGGGTTGGTGATTTCAAACTTATAACTGAAACTGAAACTGAAATTATAACTTCAGTTTTCCGCACGATGTTTTCCTTCACCGTATGTCAGTGGTATCTTAATACTCACAGAAGGTACATATGACTCCAAAAAATCACATTGGTACATACTTGCCAGGTTTGAAACCGCGCTCTCGGCAACGAGAGGCGGGCCCTTTAACCACTAGGCCACCACTGACTGATAATAATAATGAGTAATAATAATATAATATACTTTCAGCTATCCCAGCCCCCTATCGGTGACCACGAGCGTCACATGCAATTCATGGTACGTGAGCGAGTGAGAGGCCTCAAACTACCCGAGGCCCGGGCCCGCGGAGCACTACTGGCTGAACTAACCAAGGAGCTCAAACAACTGAGAGACGAACGGGATAACTATAAAGGTTATTGTATACGAAGAATTAACTATATTATATATTATATTACGTAATATGACACAAGCAGTTAAAACTTTTGGGTCTATCTTAACAGCTATTAGAAATATTATTGTCGATTAAAGTTATATAAAATGTCTTTTAACATATATGTTGATAAAAAGATTATTCTTTATTTTCATTGTCATTCCGACTTATGATATAAGATTTTATATTTAAAATTAGACATAACGATTAACGAAATATTTTTCATGATATGCTATTAGGATCAAGTATATACTTAAATGAAGTCGTTTTCCATATATATATGTTTATAGAGAACATAGGTCACGGTGGTGGTAAGCGCGCCTCAGAAGCAGTTCCTCGCGGTGACAAGTCTCAGCAGCACAGACCCTCGCTGATATCGATGCTGGTGGGCCGAGCGCCGGCACCGCGTACACCCGACCACCCAGCACCACTCGCCGCACAGAGAGGTACTGTACACAATACAACAGGACTTGCCATCAATACTGTAACGTATAGATATATAGATATGTATATACACTTCTATGTTATTTTAGTAATTGTGATTATATATTCGTTTAAGGTAATATTCTTTTTATTTCAATGAAATCATTTCATTGTTACTATTTTGTTATATTCAGTATCATGCGTTATATGTTTTAATTATTTACAGTAAATGAAGGAATTCGTTTATTTTAGTTCTATTTCTACCTGAACATACCTGACTACAAATTCATGGTTTACTAAATAAAGTAAACATGATTTTATACACATATATGTTTAGTTTATGATCTTTCATCTCACTTCCGTATCATACATTTATATTATCTACAAAAAGCCTATAACTTATTAATTTCGTTTGTTATTTCAGAATCTCTATCAAGTAGTTCTACAATGAGTCAGCCGGTGTATGAGGTGCCGTCTATGAACAACAGCGGTCGTCTCAGCGACAATGGAACTAATATCGCTAACAACGCATACATAGGTATCTTTTCTTGAACTTTTAATGGCAATAATATATTTTAATATATGAAAAACCTTCGAAAATGTATTCTTTGATTTAAAATAAATACACATAGGTAGTATTCTTTTATATAAATGTGAATTTATAACAAACCCAGGTACAATACTCTCTTTAAGATACACAGGCACATAAAATCTTCTTCTGACTTACTCACTTTTGTTATAGGTTCTACAACCAATAGTCATGGCGGTGACAGGCCTCCTGTGAACACTCCGCCTTATTCGAATATACCACCGAAACTGCGTTTCGTTTCTTCAGTGGAATTTAAATTTACTACTGGTAAGCTCAAAAACATTATTACTCATTATTAAAAAACACATACAGGAGTTTACTAACGCTAGTGAAGATTTTTTTACGACTCCCCTCATATTATTTCGGTGATCCAAAGTAGATCAAATAAATCGTTTACTAATTCTTAAATTTGTATGTTAGTAACAACAAACTTAGTTAAATGAGAGGCCATAATAAAATGGTCCATCATCTTCTTCTTCTACCTGGAAATTTCCCAGCTATAGCCAGGGTCTGCCTTGCATGTTGTAAATAGTTTTTGCCGCCTGCCTGACATCAACCCTCTTTGGGAATCAACATTAATCAGTGATGTCTAAATACTCTTACAAAGTACATATGACTCAGAAAAATCACATTGGTACTTGCCCGGGCCAGGATCGAACCCGCGCCCTCGAGCCTGAGAGGCGAGCCTCTTAACCACTAGGCCACCACTGACTTAAAATGGTCCATCATAGTAAGTCCTAACTGTATATTTTAAGGTGAGACCTCAATGACCCCTTTATCCCCGGCGTCTGGCGAGTCTTGTTCGGAGGCGGCAGACGATGACCGGCCGCGGTTACAACGAGCTCATGGACCGTCAAAAAAGACGTTCAAGTTTAGAAGAAGCAGGAAATCAGAGGTACGACCATTATATCCATTAAGGGCCCTTAATATATTTATTTGAATAATATGAAATGAAAGTCATTCGTATAGTTTGATGTTCTTGTGAGATTTACTATATTCCATATACAAGTTAAAACGATTTTTTTTAAACAGTAAATGACTATCAACAACGATAGTAGTGGCAAATGTAACTTCCTTTATAATTTACTAGCTTTTGCCGCGACTTCGTCTGCGTGGAATAGTGACTTCCGGCAGATTTTTGGTTTTTCCCACATAGTTCCCGTTCTTGCGGGGTTTTCGGAATGGTCGAGTTCCCGTAGAATTTTCAGGCTAAAACCTATGTTTTTTTTATTCACAATGAACTCTTAACTAACAACACATTTATTTGTTTATTTGAATAAAGATTAATATTATTATGTTGATACAACTTAAACAAATTATTTCGACTAAATTAGGTACCATAAAAACGGTTTTTGTGAGTTAATCTTAAAAGATAGACATATACTATCACGGACTGTTTTTAAGGTCATTAAAGGAGCTATTATTCTTTAACACATATTTTTTGTGTATCTTGAACCGTTTTCACGGCGCACGCAACGGAAGGCTTCAAAGATGAAGTAATTTCTCTCGTTTTTTACACATTTACCACTATATCTTTGCTCCTATTGGTCGTAGCGTGATGTTTTATAGCCCACAGCCTTCCTCAATAACTGGACTATCCAACACAAAAAGAATTATTCAATTCCAACCAGTAGTTTCGGAGATTAGCGCTTTCAAACAAACAAACAAACTCTTCAGCTTTATAATATTAGTATAGATATGAATTTTAATTACAATAGTAGTACAATAATATAGAAATCCTTTACAAAGTACTAGATAATGTTCATGAGCCTGATGATTTCGCAAAATAAATTTCTATATATTTTCTATATTTCTTTGTAATCATTAATAATTCCTCCCAGCCCTCCCCACATTGCATCCTTCGTATGGAATCTGACGAGTGTCCGTCGCCATGTCGACCGGCCTTGTTACAACCATCAGTACTCACTGACACTTCATATGACAGTGAGATATCACAGACATCTTCTACATCAGGATACAGGTAACACTAATATGAGAATTTTATATTACCATTAAGTGGAAAAGGTATTCCATATCTTTATACCCTAGTAACTGATTTTGTACTGTATAATTACATATTATTGTTCTGCTAACATATCGGGCAATAAGTTGTGAAAGTCTTCATTATTTGAAATCATTTATATTTATATCCTAACACATGAAATGACTGGCTCTTAGCGCTTGACTAAGAAACATTAACAGGAGGTATAGTGCGTTTGATTTAAACTGAGCTTTGCATTTGTGTGAGTGCACACAGATAGTGTAGGTGTGTTGTCAAATTTTTGAATGAAACGTTCTTTTCTAGTTTTAAACCGGTTTATACTGCTTTTACTCCGCCCCGCACCTTCCTCACTTCACCTTTTATATTGGTAGCAAAATCAAATGTTGGAAACGTAATGTCAAGTGAAGAAGAATTTGTATAGTTTTTTCAATTTTTTTATTAATTAATTTTTTTCCATAATATTCATAACATTTTCATCTGGTATTTTACAACTTTTGCTTATTTTATAGTTCTTATGTTATGTATCTATTTAAAATATAATGAAATTGAATTTTAAAAGGTTTTTTGTCTAGCTCTACTTTTACTTTTACTCACACAAATGCAAAACTCAGCTTAAGTCTGTATATGGAACCACCAATCAGTGATATCTGATTATGTATTATAAATCAGTCTATATCGTATGTAGGGAGAGTTACAGCCTGCAAGCATCTATGTCGGAGTCTCCTGGCGGCTCGATGTGTGGCTCGGCTCGAGGTTCGGTTCGAGCTCGGGACTCCGCCACGCCGCACGCAAGTCCCGACGGTAAACAACGCTCGTATGTACCGCGCTGCTTACTACCTACCACCTACCTTACTCCCGCGTGCTTCTGTGTGTTGTGTGCATGGTATATGTGTGGTTTGGTATCGAAAAATATAAATAATTTTAATTAAAACTGCATAATGGCTTTATATTATGTGAATTTCAAACAATGCTTAAATATTCATGCAAAAAGTGTATATTATATGTAATGTAATTTTAATTTATCGCAATTTATTCCTAATCAAACAGGAATTAAATCTTATACATTGTATCGTTTAATAAAATTGATGTCAGCATGTATAATAAGTTTAATAATATTGCTAAGAAACTATTTGTATGTGTACGTGCGATAGTCGTGTCGTAAATGGTTGTGCTTCTTTTAATACCTATTTTTCTTATCCTCTACTTTTGCATGAAAAATGTTATCTCTCATCTGTAAAACAACTGTCAATTGTCAAGTAACTGATGTGATTCTTGCAGCATCTCTTAGTTGTGATTCTGTGACTTCATCTGCGGAGCGCACGGCCTTACTGGGCGCGGCCAGCCAACGGTCACTATTGTTAAGCGGCGAATTGAGAGACGAAGATACTTTACTATAATTATTTGAATTAATACATGTTTTAGCACTCACTTGAAACTAATTATTATCTTTAGATCCATCAGTGTCAAAGGTTTATTTATTTGAAATAGACACAATTTTTCGAAAATGTAGTTACATTGAAATTCTTTTAAAATTTATAAACATGAAAAACTTTGTTTTCTCAGAATTAATATTTTTTTTTTAAGTAATGAATGGAGGTTTTAGCAACCACAATAGAATTTTTTTTTAAACCATAAATTTGTGATTTACTCAGTAATTTTTACATAGAAACTGCAAATTAAGTAAAATCTTGGGGCAATATGAAAAAAATCTAGTGATAAGTAATATTGATCTCAAAGTATGAAGTTAATATTTATGGTAGCTATATTACATTGTTTAAATATGTTTGTATGTTCAATTATTTTGAGATTTACAATAAATTGATAGGACATGTTGATTGCTTTGTTTTTTTTTTACCTAATAATTGAAATATAAAATACTTATATTTAATAACAAAAAAAAACAATTGAAAAAATATATTTAATTTAATTGACAAAATGCCAGTTTTAATTTTACATAAAAAAAACTTAAATACTTGACTAAAACTTATGCTTCCTTACAAATTAAAAATGGCTGTAAAGCAATTTGAACATCAGGATCTAGTGGTATCTCATGAATAAACTTAGAAAATGTTATTACAATTCTATAAAGACTTCTTTTGACTGAAGACAAAAGGGCAGATCTTATTTTAATGGCTAACACATCATTCAGAATATGCTTTCTTGGCACAATTCCGGGCTTCGACAACTTATCTAGGTTTTGTTTAAGATTAACTAAAGTAGAAAGTACAAGGGGTAGATCATTCTGGACTATACCATATTTATCTTCCTTCAATGAAGCCGACACAATATAAGAAAGCCCCTCACAAGTCCACATCACTGGTTGAGCTTGAATGAAAATAAATTTCAATTTTGTATTCACCATTTCTCCAAAAAAGTAGTTTATCCCGGGTTTCTGACATAGCTTCTGAAGGAAATTGTTGAATTCTTCTTTAGCGGTTGCAGCAAAAGTGGTCTCGAGCTTATAACTTTTATGTTCCTTTAGTTCTAACAAATTGGGTGATTGAGCCATGTTTCTTAAAGCTCCGGAATAAGAAGAGGGAGGTGTGAGTGGGACTTTACTCAATCCTTTTCTATGATGTATGTCATCCACTGAATTTGTGTCACCATTCACGCTATCCAACTCTTTGTTGAATTCCTTTATAATAAGGAGGCATTTCTCCAGCAAGTTATTCCAGTTTCTCGGGTGCCCACCAGGTTGTGATAGAGTAAAAATTTGTGATCTTCTAACGGGGTCTACCATTGACAAATGTTTCAAGTCAATAGCACCCAAATAACCAGTGAACTGCGACCTCTGTGATAACGCATCATATAGTGTCATCTGTTTCTCAGATTCTATAGGAAACTTCATTGGTTCTGTCAACACTATATTAAAAACTGTTTTCATAGTGTAGATTGATACAAAGAATAAGCTTGTATAGAACCAAAGTCCTATCCAAATTCCTGAGCTTATTAAATTAATAATGTTGTCCAATGGAGGATCTTCTAAATATAAACTGTACACATCTGAGACAACACTTCTTGGCTTGTTGCCCCACACATAATAGAAAATGCAGTAATACAACACTGGAGTTACTGAATGCTGGAATCCCATTGATATAATATTACTAATAACTAACTTAATTTGTTGAAACTTCTCTTGATAGATGTGTGGAAATGTTAGAACTGCTGCACCAAATAAATGAGCGCTAGTGAAATAATACAATCCCATCCACATACCCGCAAATTGCAAAAATAAACTCTGTTCTGATAAACATTGACCATCATAATTTTCGCATTTTTTCTTAAGTACATTGTAGTTGCTTTTGGCCAATGAAGAATATAAAGACATAGTAAAATACCCATTAAGAGCATATAGTGTACTGAATACGATATTTTGAACAGAGAAAAGATTCAGAAACATCGAAAATCTCGAAAAATACTTTGGTATTGGCATTGAATAGTAGCTGCCGTAGATATAGGCTTGGAAAAATGAAACGAGTCCTAAAAGAACGATGTTGAGACTCATCTTCCAGCTTGCGATATCATTGAAAGTCGACGAAATCCATGTTAAGGGATGTATCAGATCCACTTGAATGATGAAAACTAGTAAGATGGCAAGTGCCGTTTGCAGACATATATTCCATAATACTGCTTTTATTAACCTTTGAGAGAATATCTCGCTTTTAGTCTCCATACCGGCAAACCTTCGAGGTTATTATATTTTACTATTTCATAGCAGCGTGTCGGTGTATAGAACGTTAATAGTTCGTGGTTACTCCAAAAAGCAAAATCTTGAATGGATCAACACTTGCTTGAGGTCACGTTTACTTTGAAATCGTCGTTCAAAATGAAATTAAAAATTGAATTTGCAAACGGTTGTTTCATTATTTTCTAGCTGTTAACTTTTGACATTGACACTCCTTAGAAGATTAAAATTATAAGTAGTTTCGTATTAAAATATCCATGATACATTGATGATAATTATATTTTTAGAGATATAAATAATATTTGTTTATATATATATACAAAAATTATACTGATTTTTTTATTTCCTAATAAGAAATTAAATTATTTTAGTATATCTGTAATTTCTAAATGTCATACTATTTCATTATTTATTTAGTTGTATTAGAATTCGTGTTAAAGGTACATCTGTTATAATGTAGATTTAATACCTTTTTAATGTATTTTTCGATATGTCAGACTAAAAACATTCTATTTAAAAGGCTAGTACTTATGAATCACCGAGTATAGCTAACAATCATTGCCCTAAACATGTAATTGTCTTGTAAAGAAGTGCCCTACATTTCACACATTTTTCACAAATGGAAGAAAGTTGTGTAGTAATAACCCCTGTTTCTCTAAAGGAAGTGACTTAATTATTGTTTTGTGATGGAAAACATATATTATTCCGGCTATATGATAATTCAGTGAAAAACTGTTGTTATGTATACTTTGGTGGAGGTAGCACTCAGCATTGGAGTGCTCGCCACTCTTGTTACCGCTCTTACAGTCTGTGTATGTGGCTGCAAAAATAACAACCAAAAGTAAGTATCCCCTTTTACCTCAAGTCATTATTGCTTTAATTAAACTAATGTTTAAATTAACTGAGATTGTTAATTTAGCATATCAATGTGAGTATAAGTTATAAATACAACAGGATATCTTAAAATTATGTGCTGCTGATTGGTCCATGTCTTCATATAATTTGATCACTATTTAAGGAGCTCCATTTATGGAATACAACATTACAAAAAATGTAATTTATCTAACATGAAAAAATTATGTTAAAATTTCGAAATAAACACTATATAATTTCTTCATACTTAACACTGGACTCAACAACCAGTTAATACTTTTATTATATATGATTTGTGTCAATAACAAAGTTTTTATCCAGTTCATAATATCAAACAAATCATTATCACTGAAGAGGCTTTGCTATCAGTACATTATAGCTATAGGATTATTAAATTGTTATATTTAACAGAAGTGAGTTGGTTGGTACAGCCGGTGTGGTCAAAATCCGTTTAGATGAGGAGGTACCATCACCGACACCGACCACTCCTGCCTCCATTAAGCGGTTTGTCCAGCATGCCCATATATAATATAATCGGGCTAACATAGATGTTATGCTATATATGAACTAAGTTACTAATTTATTCTCTGTCCATTAATATGTATATCTTTTATTTAGATTTCAGCTCTGAATTGATTTGATATGAAACTGTTGAACGAATATTGTATAAGCGATGTACTAACTAGTCGGCCAGCTATATATAGGGAGACTATTGTGTTCTTTATAAATCTGAAGTGGGCTTGTATTGAATGTGAATATTTTATTAATATATTGATCAATACATAATAAAGATGACATAATTAAAATTAATTTTTATATTATATTTATTATAACTGAATTATTCATATTTGTACTATAGACCAGAAATCTATACATAAATGAAAAGTTATAAAACTGTCAATTTGATAATTTAGTAATTTAATAAATATTTGCCTACTAATTAAAACAATAATTGAGGCTGTTGGATAAAATAATTGCATTTATTCATAATAATATTAAAACTGGGGTATAGTGGGTTGGAAATTGTAATGTGTTTTGGTACTCAAAAGCAATTCCATGTAATTAGCAAAAGATCAAAAGAATGCAAAACAACATATGTAGATCCTATCTTTTATCTGATGTGTTAAAATGAAAGGCAGATATATTTAAAACCTTAAAAAATGGTAAAAAAATGTGTTTTATCGTAAAAATTAGACAATGATGTCCTTATAAAGAATCAATTACCAAAACATAAATATTATATCATATACATGTACTATATACAGAAAAAAAAACTCAACTGTTTTATTTTAAGGTTTTATATCACAGTGGTACCTTAAACCTACTTTCTTATCATACATTTGTCTTTAATTAATCCTCTTCCACTTTAAAATTTAATAAGAGCCAACATTATATACTGTAACATTATCTATATAATTTACTTTCTAGTTGATAAATTCAACTTATAATTATAAAACGGTATTTATTATAAATTCTACAAGCCAACTTCAAATTTAATTTGCATGGTCTTAATTATGTTACCAATGTTTTTACTTTCTTTTATTCAATTCATTCATGTCAAATGCTTCTTAACACCTCTTCCTATGCAAATGTCATATTGCTAGAACATTTATTGCTACATTATATATTTTATTAATGTAGTTTATATTTAGCTTTGTTAATAACTACATAAATAACTATAAATACTTTTATAATAAGCATTAGAAGCAAATTTTATTAACGTTATTTTAAAAGAAAACAAAGTTATATATTCTCCTAATATGAGAAAGTATTGCTTACTAAAATAAACGCCGTTTCTTCAGTAAATAAATAAGAATATTCCTATCTCCTACTATTTATCCATACTATCAACTATATGCTTACCACTAGATTGTCTCGTCACACTACATACAGCGCGTTTCCAGTTTATTATTCACAAATTTACGTTGATACTTTGATGGGCAATGAATACTAAAAACTGGAAATGGAAGATATCGTTGTGACAATGCAAGATGTAAAGTTATGTACGTCTTTATGTTGACTTCATATTCATACCATTACTGATGCTAGTTTATGCTAGTGGCTATGCTAATAAGTAGATCTATTAAATAATTTATATCATATATTATATTTTAATAATGTTTTTAATCTAAATATAATTTTGATATAGGGCTTCAACGCAAAACAGTCAGCGAAGTCTTCCAGAGATACCACATGCTGTTGGTAGACATGACAGCGGTGACACTGCCTCGGAAATATATGCTACAGTCAATTTGGATGAAGGTACATATATATTATATATATTTTTTATCGTCCATTGTATGATACATAATTGCCAATTATAATCCTATATAAATTATCACCGTTTCTTAGTAGTAAATTAATTTTGATTACCATTTGTTAGCACAAGTGAATTTCATTCAATATAATGGAAAAACCAGCTCAGTATGTCAATGAATCATTTTAATTTTCATACCCGACCAATTATTTGTAATAATTACAACCAATTATACAAGCGACAACGTAATCAGATGCTGGAAATTTTATTAGATTTGCTACCTTTAACAATTAGCAGTAACTATAAATAAATCTTATCTATAGTATTGATAATAATCAACAAAGTGCCGATTATGAATGAACTTGTTGGAATACTTTATATTTGTTTTTATTTCGCTATACAACAGGAAATAAAGCGGTGGCGGCGTCTTCGAGTCGAGATCATCCGTACGAGCACGCGTACGCTAAACTACAGAACGAGAGCCATAATGTGTACGAACTTTTATACTCCATTTTTTTTTTTTTAAATATAAATCGACTTCGGCTTTCCATATTATTCCTATCGCATTATAACTGAGATGAGTGTCGGATAAATTTAATCTTGACATACATTTTTTTTATCTTTTAATTTTTTTTTAATTATCTTGCAAAGATTAAGACGTTCGGCTGTTTCTTTCATCTTATAATTATCGTATGTTATAAATATAAATTAGAAATTATATACAGGGTGACTGGTGAATAACTATCGATACTTGAGGACGTGATATTTGACGATCATATGTTATGACAAAATAAAAATTAATATAACATAAATATTAATAAACTTCTAAGTAAAGTTAACCAAAAGTTATGTAATTAATTACGCATCGTGTGAACACCCTACAGATTAGGTATACACCCTACAGATCAGGTATAGGTGGTGTTGTATCAGCACGCCGCCGCACGCGTCCACACTTGGAACACTTCGAACGTGTCCACACTTTATTTATTTATACGGAAATTTAGTCAAAAATTAAGTACCTATTTTTTACATAATTCGAATGAGAATCATGTACCGAGTATTCTCCTTAAATATTGATAGTAATTCACCAGTCACCCTGTATATGTATAGTATTTTTATAGCATTTATCGTTAATAAATATGTTTTAAATTATAGGACCGTTGAAATAACTCCCGATGAAAGATCAGATGTGATAGAAGTGGAAGAAAGAGATGCGGGGACCTCAGCCTCTGGTGTGTATTGAAATAAAAATAATATCTCAATAAGACATACTCGCATCTTATATGAGATACATAGTAGAATGTCATATACATTAACTTACATACGTATACATTAACTTAGCTATCCCAGACATAAAAATGTAAACAAACTTTCAGATGTTCATAATATTTTGGAAAAACAAAACTATGATGTAGTCTTCATAACAATATTACCTGAAATGGAAAAAAATGTGCAGAAAATATATTCATATCGCCCTCTTACTTGAAAACAATATGATTTATAACAAAAACTCCACTGATAAGATTTAAATTTTAAGCGATCAAATATTTAAGTATAACTAAGTTTAAATGAAACCAATATTATTCGGATTATTACGCGTATTTTTTCTAAACTATACATCTTGTCTGCTCGTGATCACGGTTGCTGTAAAGTAACTGAAACGTCGGCAGTATGTAGAATAAAATAATACAAAAACGTAGAACATGCGAAAATTTTAGTTTGTAATTTTGTTAATATTCCGAATAATGTTAGTTTCATTTAAATGAATACTCGCGAAAGTCAACCTCATTACGTAAAACTAAGATTGTGATATTTCCACATTTTCATATCGTCTGCCCGTAATCATGCTTAATAGAATATTCTAAATGTCAGTTTAATTAAAGTATGACAAAATTGCCTTCCAATAAAAAAACATATTCCTATTTTTTCTCAGGATGACTGAGATTTAATTGACTATCAATATTAAATTCATTATTTTCCGTCTACATAATCATAAAATATAGTATTCGCTAGTTTTATCAACGCCATCTAACGTCCGTGGACGTAACTTCATCTTCACACACAACTGTTTAGTGTTCCTATAAACTACAAAAAGTTAACAATGAGACAAATTCAACACTTTATATTATTCTGGTTTCTAAGCTACGCTATTGGAAAGTTTCTGACATACACGTTTAGTATGTTTTACGTATAAGAATAACAAACATTAATCCATATTTATATTATAAATGCGAAAGTAACTCTGTTTGTATGTCTGTCTGTTACGCTTTCACGCCTAACCCACTGAACTGATTTTAATGAAATTTGGTATAGAGATAGAGTTGACCTCGAGTAAGAACATAGAATAGTTTTTATCCCAGAGTTTTGAAAGGTTCTCTTGGAAACGCGATATAACCGAACTCCACGCGGGGGAAGCTGTGGGCGGAAAGCTAGTATTCTTCTATAAAGCGATATATTCTCATAAACTGTCGTATTCAGTATATATAATGAGTTTCTGTCCGCATGTAGCTGACTCTATTCTTCCTTAAAGACAGTAAATAAGACGATTATGTACTTGATCATTTTTTTTCTTTTTCAATCCGATAAAAGTATCCTATGTTCTTTCCCTAATTCCTAGCAATCTCTCAACAAATATTCAGCCAAACCTGTACAGCCGTTTTTTAAGTTATTAATAATGTATATGACTGTAATATGACTTTCTTCTATATATATTTATATAATACACGTATAATGTTTATCCTTTTCCTCCAGAGGGCGTGTTAATATCAGCGTCTGTGGCCATCAGTGGTCAGCTCCCGTCAAGTCAGGAGCTGCCATACATCACGCCGCCGTCTCCGAGACCTGAACAACACTTTAGTGGCGACTCTACAGACTCAGCCAGTTAGTATATTAGTATATATATTTATATATACAGGGTGACTGGTGAATTACTATCAATATTTAAGCAGAATACTCGGTACATGGTTCTCTTTCGAATTATGTAAAAAAAATAGGTACTTAATTTTTGAAAAAAATTCCGTATAAATAAATAAAGTGTGGACACGTTCCAAGTGTTCCAAGTGTGGACGCGTGAGGCGGCGTGCTGATACAACACCACGCCGCCGCACGCGTGTGTCGCTAACCGAAACCCCCGCCCCGTGGCTAATTAATCGGGCGAGCGCCGCCGTGAGGTCTGTACGTCCGTCTTCCCGCGCGCGCGCCTAGCGATCGATCTTACGCGTATATCTAATCTGTCGTGTGTGCGTGTGACCAGTTATTACTGATTAGTAATTAAGTATGGCTTATCAATACACAAATGTGTATCACACGAGAAGGAGCTCACTTGCTACCTACCTACATAACTGTTATGTGTCGATAACGCAGCTAGGGTGTCCACACGATGCGTAATTAATTACATAACTTTTGGTTAACTTTACTTAGAAGTTTATTAATATTTATGTTATATTAATTTTTATTTTGTCATATATGATCGTCAAATATCACGTCCTCAAGTATCGATAGTAATTCACCAGTCACCCTGTATATCTACAAGACGATATTTAAAATATATGTAAACGTATGTCTGTTCAACCAGAAGTTGAATTCGTATAATACTTTGGTTATGAGCTATAAAGCTTATATGCCAAAATTTTTAGTAAAATGTTGATAAATTAAATTAATATAAGGATTTATGGTAATACTGTAAAGATTGCTATTATTTTTTTCAAATATGTGTCTTATAAATAATGTTACTTATAATCAAAATATGCTGTCTTTATGTAAAGCCGATATAGTCTCACTGCGTGTACAAATTGTAGAGATGAATTTCTAATGTATTACTCGAGACTAGAATTTATCATTCCAACGAATAATAATTATTAATGTCGATTAATATTAAATTACTTTGTGTCCGTTATATCCTAGCTAGCTTTCCGCCCGCAGCTTCGCCCGCGTGGAGTTCGGTTATATCGCGTTTCCAAGAGAACCTTTCAAAAGTCTGAGATAAAAACTATCCTATGTTCTTTCTCAAGGTCAACTCTATGTCTGTACCAAATTTCATTACAATCAGTTCAGTGGTTTAGGCGTGAAAGCGTTACAGACAGACAGACAGACTTTTGCATTTATAATATAAGTAGGGTATTTCTCTTTAAATAATCCACTTCAAATATTTACTATAACTACCTTTTATATTTTTATATGTTTACCTATTTATTATATTTGTACTATTTCCAGAGGGATACACCAGTATATCTGTTCGTGAGCCGCTCAGTAACATACGCGCAGCAAACACACGCACGCACGCACACTACGCCACTGTCTCAGATGACTCAGGTTAGAAAAACTATTAATAATAATGACATTTGTATATAATTTGATTTTATTAAGAAAATATAGATCAAATAAAGAAGACTAGATAACTAAAAAAAATACTAAGGACTGCTCTTAAAAAAATATTTTTCAAAAATTATTAGTTTTATGATAAAAATTATAGACTAAGTCATTTTTTTATTATAATTAAAAAATTCTTCCATAATTATAGATGAAATGTACGCAGCCATAGAGGAGGCGAGTGTAGGCGAGGGTTCAGACACGTACGCTCAGATAGCGACTGAACCACGGCGACAGACTAACGAGGTCAACGACCCCGCCAACAAACAACTCACTAATACGCTGCAAGCTGAACAGAGTACACATCATGCGAGGTACTATATATAATCTTCTTCTACCTAACAATTTCCCAGCTATAGCCAGGGTCTGCCTTACATGTTGTGAATAGTTTCGGCTAATTGTTTTTACGACCGGCCGCCTGCCTGACATCAACCCTTTGGAAATGCATCAATCAGTGATGTCTAAATACTCTTAGAAAGTACATATGACTCGGAAAAATCACATCTATACTTGCCCGGGCCAGGATTGCCCTCGTACATGAGAGGCAGGCCTTTTAACCACTAGGCTATATATAATATATATATTTAAAAAAGTAACTCAAGTTACTTGTTACATCAGCTATCAGTCAGTAAAAGTGCTTCCAAAATCTTTTCAGCTGTTTTAGAGATAAGTCGTAACAAACAGACAGTTATATTATTGACTTTAATATAAATTATCCTCAGACCATTTAAAATTCACAGCCTTGGATATACAGGGTGACTGGTGAATTACTATCAATATTTAAGGAGCATACTCGGTACATGATTCTCATTCGAATTATGTAAAAAAAATAGGTACTTAATTTTTGACCAAATTTCCGTATAAATAAATAAAGTGTGTACACGTTCCAAGTGTTCCAAGTGTGGAAGCGTGCGGCGGCGTGCTGATACAACAATACGCCGCTACGCGCGAGTGTGTGTGTGGGTATATACCTAATCTGTAGGGTGATCATACGATGCGTAATTAATTACACAACTTTTGGTTAACTTAGAAGTTTATTAATATTTATGTTATATTAATTTTTATTTTGTCATATATGATCGTCAAATATCACGTCCTCAAATATCGATAGTAATTCACCAGTCACCCTGTATACTTGAGGATGAAAAGTTCTATATTTTCTTTCAATTGTGCATTTTGATATTCAGGTGCATATTAACAGATTTACAATATACTCAACCTAGACAGAAGACATTTTCATTTACACATGCATTACTGGAAATATAATACAAATTATATCTTAATAATAATAGCAACATTTTGAAATTTATTAATATTGAACTTTTTTAATTAATTTTAATATTTTTAAGGCGAAGCGCTCCACCTGAGATCGGCGCGTCCGTTTCAAACGCAACACAACATTCCAGACAAGGTAATTCACTAACTTTGAACATATTTAAATAATACAAGATACTTAAGTACAAGTCTTACTGCCTTATGTTTCTTTCATTGTTATAACAACGTTTAAAAACAAACATTGTAGGTAGTAGTAGGCTAGTAGGTTGTTTTCAAATTTGGTTAAATAGAGAGAGGAGCTTGGACAGTGGAGCTGAGCGTATAACGCGCGTTAGATAGGAGCCCTTAAAACTACACTTGGGTCGCAAGTCCCATGTACTGTTGAAGCTCCTCTCCCTGCAACGATGGACCCGACACGTCCATCCGCAATTTTAATCTAGTCTATAAAATTTATGTTATTAATGAAATACTTTCAATTAAATTCAATACAATTTTCAACTTAAAACCAATAATATCTATCATATTATACTAACACATTAATATCATTCAGTTTATAATTGTATGTTTCGATATATGTATATCCAGGAGGAGGAGCGGGTATTTTGAGATACAGGTTAAACCTACTTCAAAATTCCCGTTGCTAACTATTGCTGTACAAACTGATTTAAACAATAATTTTTTCATTATTTTTTTCTAATTCCCCAGCCTCAATGTCTTCGTGTTCCAACTCCACGGGCGCCCTCGGTTCCCCCAAGCCTGAGAAGCGCCAGGCGAACTCCCCCCTGCCCCCTCCGCCGGCACACGCGCCGCCCCCCGCTGGAGATGTGCTAGCCATGAGACACCAGCGGATATCGAGCACAGGTGACATATATACATATAAAACATTTGTAGTAGTCATTCATTCAGTTGTTTTATCTAATACGTATATGAGTTTAAAAAATAAATTTCAAATAATATTGTTTTTGGAAAATAGTATCCATCAAAAAGATCATAATGATATTATATTTGGAATCAAACATATATTAGTCTATGGATATTGTTAAATTTTTTTGTATTGTACACAACTTTTAGTACATACATATTGCTCTATGTTGTATGTTGCGTTCATATAAAACCGCTAAAAATATGTAAAGCTCATTGGAATCCAGTATCTACTTTTGATGCTATACAGTCTTAAACGTTGAGATATAAATGTATTATTTGTTTTATAAACTAGAAATTATCATAGCGCTTATCACCGAATATAACATCATAAAAAAAGTCAACAAATTATTAGTACACCAATAAGTAAAAACAGTAGACTGCCATATAAAAATTACATATTCTACATTCAAAAGTAATATTTTGTTTATTTTAACACATGATTATTTCTAGATCAGGCATAATTAGCTAAGTTATTTTTTTTAAAGGTGATCTACACTTCAACCATGATAAGTTACGGCGGAGTCTCAACGAGAAGCATCAGAGAAATAACAGCTGCGTCAGCTCATCGGACTTCTACGGCTGTAACTATCCTGTGGAGAAACACAGGTTCAGTTCAGGAGACCTCATACGACCTCTGGTGGCCAAAGAACTCAACTTCGACATCGACCAGAAGGAAAACCCAGCGGATAATTTATACAATTCTATAGACGGGCCCGGGTACAGCGACTACTCGTCCACAGACGCTAACACGAGCATACAGTCAGAACAAAGGACCACAGAGAGTCCCTCGAGGAATGTAGAGGAAATGTACGCTAAGGTCATGAAGAAAAAGACGAAAGATGAGATACGGTCCAAGGAGGTCCCGAACAACGAGAATACTGTGTTGAAATACAGAGGAGACGATCCAGGATACGAAACTATAGACCGCAAACAATCCAGTCACGGATATGAAACTATAGAGAGGAACGAGCAGAGATCCAACCAGGATCCGGGATACGAAACAGTCAAGGACATCAATAAATCCACACTCACGACCTTCACAAATAACAACTTATCAAAGTTAAACCATCTGTCCGTGGACAGCGGACCCAACAGTATAATCAGCAGTGACGCGGGTTATGAACTTATCGCGAAAACGGACGCCAACGCCTCTGATTCGGACCCAAATTACGAAGTATTACGAAATCAACCACCCACACCTCCCTATGCAACCATAGCACCAAACTATAAAGTACAGCCGACTTACTCAACAGTGAATAAACGACCGACGAAATATAACAACTGGCCTAACAATAATGAAGAAGCCATGTTAGAACCGAACTACGAATCGATGACCAATGATCCGTTCTACACGACCGGCAGCGAGTCGGATCCGAACTATGAATCCGTCCGTCCGAAGGAACCGAACTACGAGTCCTTGAGGTGCAAGGATCCGAAATACGAATCCGTGCGCTCCAAGGATTCTAAATACGACTCTGTGAGATCCAAGAAAGATCCCAACTACGAAAGCGTCAAGTACTTCGAGCTATCGAACAGAGACGAAGCCTCGGGGATCGACCGATCCGATTCTACCGCTGGTTACGAGAAAATTAATGTCCAAAAAGACGCAAAAAACAGTATTAACAATGGCACCGACTGCACTGTCAGTGATTATTTCCAAGTGTAACTTTAAGGCCTATGACGTCACTAGCGCCGGTGGCGCCGCGGCGGCGTACCGAGGAATTACTTTGAGATTAAGCGCTCCTTATTTATTTATATATTTTTTACGAATATACCTAACGCGTGTATTACCTCAAAGATGGATATGACATAATATCTTCCTTAGGTATCTGTGATATGTATTTTGAGTATGATATTATTTTACTCAATTAAGTTAAGATCGATGTATTTCAATGTCTAACCGGGTGTATTGAACATTTGTAATCTCTATTCATTAACGTGTTCATTGATTTTTTAATATGCATACAATTATGATACATGTAAAAAGTTAGATTTTACATATAGAAGACACAAATGTAGGTGAATTTTTTAAGTATGATCGGTCTTTGTATAAAAGTTACGTGAAAAATTGTTTAGTTTAGTGTTTTAAAAATATTAATAATTAAAACTAGTGGCTAGAACTAATATTATGTATTTAATATGTTAAGTCTGTTTTATTGAATTTTATTTGTTTTGTAGAACAACATTGTGCAAAATATACAAGGCTAATACATTATGGGTGTTCGACTCAATAGAAATTTTAAAGTGATTCCATTATTATTAAAAGGGCATTTAGAATAATTTAACTGTTTTAAATTTTCCATATGCTATTTACAAATGAGTATTATGGTGATTCTAATATATTTTATGTGCTTTAATGTTGTTATTATGTTGTTTTGTTGTGAAACAAAGTATTTTAAAATTATTATTATTTTTTTAATAATTAAGTTATATAAAATGAAACAAAATCATCATGTAAAAATATTTTAAGGTGACTTATAAAATAGTACCTGAAACTTGTTTTATAATTTATTAAAGAAAACCAGTTTAACAATACTTAAGTTATTCAATGTAGCTGTATACATAATTAAAATCATACTAAAAATAGTACTATCTGTAATAGAAATTTAATACAACTGTCACAATAACTTTTTTTTATCTAGTGTCTTATTTAGTTTTTATATGTACAATGTGTATGTCGGCCTTATGTGGATTCAGCAATACTTATTCATGTTATAATTAATTAGACTTACAAAAAATATTGTTCATGCTTACACTTATAACATTATGTATCGAGGCTTACTGAGTTAAAATTATTGGCTGTTATAATCGTCATTAAAAGCAATAATCGCATATATTACTGCCTGTTGTATGTATCTCTTTACAGTTCTTAATATAATGTTTGCCTTCAAATAGGAATTTTCTACACTTTCCGTTTCTTAGTATCCCAAAACAAATGTAAACAGTAATATCTTATAATAAAATAGGTTTTAGTCTTGGAAAGTATGTTTTGATACAAACAATGTATAAACCTTTCATTCTTTTTATTAATGTATACTTTTATATTTATATAAACCCAATCATTCCGTATTTACTGTGGCTATTTTTATATGTAAGGACAAAATAAAGTATGCCATATATATATATAATGATTTTTATTTATTAGCTACAATGTCTTCTGGTTTTTTAATTCCTTACGTCCAATCAAGCATTTAAGCCCAGGAAGCTTTTTAGTAATACAAACATATACCTATAGTGCGTTTGATTTAAACTGAGCTTTGCATTTGTGTGAGTGTACACGGATAGTGTAGATCGTGTGATGTCAAATTTTTGAATGAAACGTTCTTTTCTAGTTTTTAAACGGTTTATACTGCTTTTACTCCGCCCCGCACCTTCCGCACTTCACCTTTTATACTGGTAGTAAAATCAAATTTTGAAAACGCAATGTCAAGTTTTGAGGAATTTGTGTAGTTTTTACAAAATTTTTATAAATCAATTTTTTTTTCCATAATGTTCATAATATTTCCATCTGGCCTTTTACAAATTTTACTTATTTTATAGCACTTGCATAATTTATCTATTTAAAATATAATAATATTAAAATCTGAAAGTTTTTTGTCTAACTCTACTTTTACTTTCACTCACACAAATGCAAAGCTCAGCTTAAGACTAACGGACTATACATTTTATATATAAATATACAAATTATGAAAAGTGTGCCAATAGACAAACGTTTATCGCTATTATTTACGTTGACGTCGTTGACATAATGTTAGCACGTCAAATGTCACTAAAGATTGTTGATTAAAATTCCTTAGTTTTGAATTTTTATACATACAAATGCACCACTAAGTGAAAAAGATTAATTTTATTTCCCTGCATAATAAAACAGGTGAAATACGGTGACTACTTAGTTTTAGAGGTGTGAATTTGGAGTTAGTAAAATGTCCGGCTATCCAAATCCTAATGACTACTCATGGCAACCTCAAAATAATACTCCTAACTATTCATTCAATACGTCGAATACGTTTGGTGATTCACAAACTTTAGGTAAAGACCTTCTTACTTTTATAGGTTATTTGTTCTTGCACTCACGATCTTAACGCAATAATCAACAGATTTTCAGAATTTCACTGCTGACCAGCAAAATTACTCATTTGATCAAGGACAGAGTATTCCTGCTAACAACAATCAGTACTATAATCCTAATTTATTCACACCTGCACCCATACCTGGGGAATCAACCACAGATGCTACAGAATTCGATGAACCACCACTTCTCGATGAATTGGAGATTTACCCTGACAGAATACTAGAAAAAACTTTAGCAGTTCTAAATCCTTTCCATGGACAGTCCAAAGCAGATGATGCAAATTTCTTACTTAAAGATACAGATATTGCTGGACCAATAGCATTTTGTTTAGCATTAGCAGTATGTCTATTTCTTTCTGGTAACAAAGCACATTTTGGATATGTATATGGCTTATCTCTAATGTCTGTTTTTCTGATGTACTTTCTACTATCACTTATGAGTCGTACAGAAGGTGTATTCACTGTATACAGTGTAGCGAGTGTGTTAGGATACTGTATGCTTCCAATGGTAGCCTTAGCTGGTTTGGGCATTTTTATAACACTAGATGGTAATATTGGCTATATTCTATCCGCAATAGCTGTTATCTGGTCGGCTTTATCAGCCAGCCGTCTGTTTGTTACTATGTCTGGAGATGCAGAACAAAGGCCACTCATTGCATACCCATGTGCTTTAGTTAATGGAGTTTTTGCTCTACTTGTTTTATTTTAAACCAGATTATCGTCCAGACTCAGTTTACAGAAATAAGAACGTCTTTTATACATTAACTTGCTTTTTATTGTAGACTGTTTAATATATTACAGAAGAAATGTTTTTTATTTACCAGCTATTTCTTACTTATACTAAGATATAATAATAAGGAATAAAATATGTTGTGTATAAAAATTGTTTTATTTTATTGTTTCATTTAAAACAGATGTTTGAAGGCCAAAGAAAAGGTATATAATTAGTAAAACTTGTTTTTGTGACTTTTAAATGTTAAATAATATAAATAAAATGTCTTAACTGATTATTGTGTAAAGTATAAATGAAGATTTGTAACAGAATAAATAAAACTCAATGATACAAATTAGCACAAGTAATATATTAATAATTTACAATTTAATATTGACTATTACATTTTAGTGTACTGGGTGGGTCGGTCACTAAAGAAATTCTTTAATATCATAATTTGTGCAAATGCTACACACACAATAGCCAAAGTTTCACCCATGGACCAGTAGTTGACACGTTCATTCAGATCTTCAGCCCTCTTACGGCCCTGAGCCTCTCTCAGTCTGTGGTGTGTTTGGTGATCAATGATTTTGTTCAACGCTGAATGGATTTCTTCAGCTGATGTTTCCAACTAAAATAAATATATCAAAATCGTAAAAATTTATATTTAACAATTAACTAATTATATAATAAGTCACACCACTAATTATTGTTGTAAAACAATTTATTCATTAAACATTTCATATTCTGAATTTTTAGAAAAGCACTTTTTTAAATTTAATCTTAGATATTTTTGGATGCAAAGGGCTATTTTATATGATTAGAACGCTTTTATTTTAGATCTCAGTTAATTTTTAATTTATTTTTTAATATATTTTATATTATTTGAAGTACCTGAGTCATCACTGTTGCATGATCTCCAATACCAGGCAGAGGTTCCTCGGGTCCTACATTCAGCTCCATATACACTAACTTATGTGAAAATGTACTGAATTCATTGCTAAAGCAAACCTTGTACACTCCTATAAAGTAAAATAATATTAATAAATAATAATTAACCTACTGATATTTTCACATTAAATTTGTATAGAAGTTACTTCACCTGTGTGTTGTGCTGTAAATTGATGAGAGTCATATTGCATTTTCTGTTGCTGATATATTATTTGTTTATTAGGACCTTCAATTTTCACATCAACGTCATACTGGCCTCCAGTAATAACCTATTGCATATTAATTGACTATTATATTTTAATTACATATTAATACGTACATTTCAATTATAATACATTATTGACATAATAATAATGTTATCAATACTTTCTATATACGATGGGCTTGCAAACCCAATGGGAAGAGCTGGTGAGTACAAGCCATATATAAATAATAATATTTAAAAAAAGAAAACTAGTGAACCTGATATTCCAACGAGGCTGAGGTATTTTGTTCGATATCCTGATAAAAACATTCCATGGCGCTATCGGGTAATTCGAATGTAAGTTCGACACTTTTTGAAAAAATACCATTTATTAAGGAAATTAATATTGCTACGAGAAAAGGTGTAGTATACATTTTTGGTTTTTAATTTGTGAAAGCAGAGAAAATATCTAAAGTTATATGCTAATATATCTCATTAACCTGTAAGTACTATTTGACAGTGACTTCGACATCAGTCACAGTCAGCAAACACGTATTATGCTTCATTCTTATCGGGAAAGTTGGTACCAACATTGTTATATCAGAGTATTTCTATTATGGCAACACATTTGTTATTTTTCAAAAGTATCAGCATAGAAAGTAAATACTGTAATATGTAAAATAATTGTTAATTTTTAAATAATTTTATTTTGTTACATTTTATATTAAATACGATTGTGTTGCCATATTCTTATTTTATACTCATAATTCTTATTTAATACTTAATATAACGAAAAAATGCAAGATTTCTCTTATTATTATAAAATAGAATAAATAAATACCATATATGTATTTTGTCGCTAATTCGCTAAAGCCAATACATTTAAAGAAGCAATAATAAACTTATGTTGTTTTTTCAGAAACATTAGTGATGTTTCTATATATGAAAAGTCTAACTTTAGTTAATAATAAAAAAATTACATATCATTATTTAAAGAACACATATAAAACGTAACAATGATATGTATGATAGTTTAAGACTTAAAGTAAATACCTATATAATTTTGTAACTAAAACCATATTGCCTGAAGTTCGATAAATATCTTATAATTATAATATTTATGTGAAACATTTTTAGAGTTTGTGTAATATTTGAAGAGTAATTTATAATTACGTACAAAGCCATAAAGTCGTATGAAATGTTTGTATATTTAAAAAAGTGATGCTTTTATTGATCTTGTACTAATTATAAATGTAAGCCGTAAAAATCCTACAATAATAAATATCATCGTAGCTTTTGGAGAATCATTTTAGGATTATTTTTTAATATTCCTTTAAATAGGTAAAAAACGCAATTACATCATTTTATAAGTCATCGTCATCAGCCTATTAGAGCCCACTCCTGAGCAAAGACCTCTTCTCACATGGAGAAGGTTTGAATTAATCACCACCCTTGCTCAAGACCGGTCGGTGATTTCAAACTTATAATTGTGAAATTATAAGACCAGATTTAATCACGATGTTTTCCTTCACCGTCTATCGGTAGTGTCTCAATAGTCTTAGAAAGTACACATGACTTGCAAAAATTGCATTGCTAGGATCGAACCCACGCCCTCGTGCACGAGAGACGGGCCTTTTACCACTAGGACACTACTGTCACTACTTTTTTTATAAGTAATTAAAATAAAAGATCAATGGCAATAAACAAAAACAAATAATATAAAAAATAACAAATACGAACAATGCCGTGTCACATAATACGTCTGTCGGCAATGTTTTCATTCTCCGATTTCATTATTTTCACCCGCTGTAATTAGTACATTATTTCTTTATCCATGGTATACTGTATACAAGTAGGTACGCATTTTAGACAATCAGACACATAACTGTATATAGTTTAAAACTTTAAGATACATAATGTATCTTTACTCAGACATCCCTGATTATTGAAACAGTCACTTTAAAAGCTAGCTAAATTTAAAAAATACACTACATTACTTTCAACCCGTATCTATTATTATGAATAAGAATTTATTATTAATTTTTCATGTTGATACGAAAATGAACCAATCATTTCAAAATTCAACGGATTTCACAACACTGTTAATTATCATATGAGAGTGACTCTGCTAACTATTAACACGAACACCAGGCCATAAGAGCCAGAAGATTCTTGATACCTCTTAAGACATGTAATTGTATTGCTATCCCAACATCGTTGCTATGCTAATGTAGTCTTAGATATAAATTAAGTTTTAGAAATGGAATACCTATGTATTATATTATATGTAGATAAGTTTTCATAGACTAGTCGGAAAGCTTGCTGGCCTTCTACAACTACATATGTATTTTAAGAGTGTCAACATGTAAATATAACTACAAAGTGTGTTCTACATTTGAATTTTATGTTGTATTAAGTATAAGTATCACATTACATTATCATTACATATGTATATATTAATTATTATTAAATGAACAAGATTCTAAAATTAGATTATTTAATATTTCGCTTATATTATGAAAATGATAATAAGATTTAATAAGGTATATCCATTTTCTTACTTATATCAGCATGCTTACTAAAACATATTTATGTTCACAGATATTACAAAATAATATAGAAATTTTAAATAGCCATACAAATAAGGTTTTATTTTAATAATTAAGTAAACAATATATAAAGTTTTAGGTTAAATAAATTGACAACATAACAGTAAAACAGTTTATTTCGAAAATAAAAGACAATACATGTTGGAAATTTCAAAACTTCACTTAAGTATAACTATCGCTGGATTTTAATGTAAAAAGCCATGATTTATTTTAACAAACAAATAAAATACTGTGATTATCTTAAGTTACTCTTATGTGCAAGGTATAAGGAGTTAAAATGCAAAATACTTAAATTCGTATATAATGAGTTTAGAAGGCGAGGCCGGCGTCGGCGTAGGTTGTGAATATCTTCTCGATGGAGTTAGCGTACGCCGCTGTCCTTAGGTCCAGGCCGAGGTTGAATTTCATGGCAGTTTTCATTATGGCCTGGAATTATAATACATTACTATTAAATACTAGTTTTTGCCCGCGACTTCGTCCGCGTTAGTTTGGTCAAGAGTAATATATGTAGGTATAGCCGACCAGGCAAACTCTTTTCCATCTTAGAGGCCATAAATAATCAGGTTTTTCCTGTTTCAATCAAACAGAATGATTGACATATTAGTTAGTTGTCAAATCTAATGTAAAAAAAAACGTTTGTATGGGATATAGAAAAGGACTGTTTTTAGGGTTTTCCCGGCAATTATTCCAATTTTTCTGACCTTTTAAACCTTCCCTGGACTTTCAGGAGTATTTCAAGACTAAAATTAACCAAATCGGTTCAGCCGTTCTCGAGTTTTAGCGAGACTAAGGAACAGCAATCCATTTTTATATATATAGAAGATAGAAGATTCATTAAAGAAAATAATATGCGATTTTTTAGGTTCCAGTACAATTTTATCCTATACATATACGAAGCAGAATGAAGGTTTCATAATAATAATTTTATTACTTAACATTATGAAAACACCTTTTTTTATTTGAAGGTTAACTAATTTATGTTATTAACTAGCTTTCCGTCCGCAGCTTTGCCCGCGTGGATTTCGCTTATATCGCGTTTCCAAGAGAACCTTTCAAAAGTCTGGGATAAAAACTATCCTGTTCTTTCTCATGGTCAACTCTATGTCTGTACTAAATTTCATTAAAATCAGTTCAGGCAGCGTTCAAGTATTACGTAACGCATAGTAACGTTTTTCTGTAGCCCCCCCCCCCCCCCTTCTCAAAACGTTACGTAACACTCAAGTGATCAATTTCATCCAAAGTCGTAAAACAATATGTAATAGTTTGGTATAGTTTTAATCTATTAAATGAAAAAACATCATTGACACAAATATCCCTCTTCTGAACAAATTACAGTATGAACACTATGAACTCACGGATAAACACTAACGAATACTGACCACGGAAGCAACATTAAAAGACTTACAATGCAATCTAGGTATTCCCCGTAAAATATCAATTAAGAGGTTTGCAAACTTGGAATAACAAATAAAAATATCGACCAGACTAATATAATAATGTAACGTATATGAAAAGAGTTGCCAGTTTGGGGGTTTTTATTAATATTTTGTATTAGAAACAATGCTACGTAACGTTTTGTACGAGACACGCCCTCCCACCCCTGTAACGCATCGTAACGTTTTACGAGACCCCCTCCCCCAAAATTGCGTTACGTAATACTTGAACGCTCCCTCAGTGGTTTAGGCGTGAAAGCGTAACAGACAGACAGAGTTACTTTCGCATTTATAATATTAGTAGGGATTAAGAATATAGTCCAGTATAAATAAGCCCACTAACCCTAGCGGATCTCTCCATGGTGTAGTCCAATCCTGAGTGGACGATGTCTTTCTCGGAGGCTCCAGAGATCCTCTTCTGGAAGGCTTCGGAGGCTGTGACGGGGATGCGACCTCCGACACGACCGAAACGACGCTCCAACGACTCTTGGACTGACTCTGTAAAAATAAAATAAACATATATAGTTTTAGTTTTAATATATTGTGAAAGGAATTATTGACTAAAAGAAATATAATAAAATAATTTAATAAGTTCAGCGATAAAATTATATGCATATTCTTTGTCTGTCAGAGATTACCAATGAATTACAGTATATGTATAAAGAAAATTACTCCGACCAATGAGTTCAATTAGATGTGTTTTTATATATAATAGCAAATTTGTTACTATATTTATAAAAAATAATAATAGAATCATATACAAGAATTACTAAATTACATATAATTAATTACATTAGTGTTCTTTAGTAATAGTGGGTTGATGTCAGGCAGGCGGCCGGTCGTAAAAACAATTAGCCAAAACTGTTCACACATATAAGGCAGAACCCTTGCTTAAGTTGAGAAATTGCTACATAGGTAGAAGAAGATTATAGAATACTAGAAGACCCGGCGAACTTCGTATCCCCTTATAATCAAGAAATATCTGTTACGTTTTTTATTTATCTTTTTGGATTTTACCTATTAAAGCCATAAATCTCCGTGTTTTGAAGTGCGACAGAATGATTGACATATTTAAGTTAGTTGTCAAATCTAATGTCAAAAAAAACGTTTGTATCAACAACTACTGATAAATTAAAAAAGAATTAAAAAAACATTATCCAGCGGACAAAATTGTGAATCTAAACAATTCCCAGATCCCCTTGAACACACACAAAAAAAATTATCAAAATCGGTCCAGTCATTTGAGAGAAGTTCAGTGACACACACTCACAGAAGAATTATATATATGTATAAAGATAAGTTAAGTATAATGTATTCTTACCCAGTAAGTGGTAGTTGGACTCCCTCTCGTATTTAAAGGTGAGCCTGCCGTACGACACGTGGTTGAGGTTCTTGAGCCACTCGAAGAATGACACGGTCACACCACCAGCGTTGATGTATAAGTCCGGGATCACCAATATGTTGCGGTCTATGAGGATCTTGTCAGCCGCTGGCGTGGTTGGACCGTTGGCAGCTTCGGCGATTATCTGGTGATTTAACGATTGTATTGTATTTGAAGTGTAATTTGCAATGAGGTTGCGTTAAACGTTTAACGCTAGGAGACGGGATAAAAAAGAGGGAGAGAATGCGTGGGAATTCGTGGCGCTTGAACGCATGCGGGCAATTAATTGTGACTTGTAATGGTAATAAAGTTTGTTTTAAAGAAACATAAAAATTCCCTAAAAATAATTTTCTACCTGTACCTGTTGTAGTTTCCACGCACAATTCTGTTTTCATTTTCTTATGAAAGGTTATACATGTATTTTGCATAAATCATGAAAGAAAATACAACATACTAATTTATGTTGTATTTTCTTTCATATTCTGTCTACTTTTAAAACTGCTTTTCTAAGCGCATAAAAAATTGTTATCGTTTGTCATGGTATGCGTAAAACTCCTAACTTTTAATTAGCTAGATTAATGAATGATGATTGCAAGACGTAGTAATATTTCTATTTTCATCACCAAATTACATAAATTTTATTTCCGATTTATTAGAATATTATAGTGTTTTAAAGGAAAATTACAAATATTCAGATTAGAGTAAACAAAAATTGTTTGTTTGTTATCTCTAAATGTTCGAGGCTATACTAACATCGTCTCTGCTAGGGGCGTGTCTTATCAGTAGTGATAATATAATATATTTTTAACAAGTGTGACGTCATAATCTCCCGATACGTCATACTCAATGAGATTAACTTATACAGTATACTTATATAATTATATGGAATTAGAAAATCGATAATTTATTTGAATGGATTCCAAAATAGAAATGTTTTTAACGACATTATAAGATGTAAATACAATAATAAAGTATACAAATACATGAATTTGGTGACTTTTGTATTTTTAGTATAAGAATAACTTTTGTTTAATGCTCATGGATGTTACACGAAACATGTATCAATTTATTTTTTTGCAAAAGTTATTTATCTTTTTTCCTTCGTCTAATTCTTCCAGACCTTGCCCTAAAGTTTTATCTATTTTCAGTAACAGAAAGCACATATTATATAATATAACAAGTAACTCAGGGTACTTTGTTTATTATTATAACAAAATTAATGACTTTTTAAAGAGGAAAGGTCACTGGCGCAGCTAGTTTAAAAAATATAAATTAAATTAATTAAACAGTTTCATAGTTTCTGAACGTAATACACACCTTAGCCTGTATTTTGTGAGCGTTCTCCTTGTGTATGACTTGTTCTACAGCTGCTGGTACTAAGATGTCGCACTTCTCGTACAACATGTTCTCACCCTCGTAGGGCTTCGCCCCCGGGAAGCCGACGATAGTTCCATTCTCGATCCTATAGTCTTCGAGAGCCTGTGATTCATTAAATAATAAATATAGTATACATAATGACCTCAGGTTTTTAAATGGATGTGTGATCATATAGCTCTATGTAATTTGGTCCTCTTTTCCATTATTGCAATACAAAAAAGTTCTTATCGGACGATCTTGAGATGTCCTATCGTGACAAACAAATCACAAATTTTTGCTTTATTTTACATATCACACCACTTAACTGTACTTGAGATAAGGAATATTTGAATATGGAACTGATAAAATTTGAGTTCGAAATTTAACGGAGCCAATTAAATTAAATCAATGTTCTTATTTCAAATTGCGACCGATGACGTCACAATTTATATTGATATGTTATCGGTGCTGTAGTATTTACAAATATTTACAATTGTAAATTGTTTTCTAGATATAAACAAGCTTATGATACGTGGTAACGATCAAAGCATTAAATAGCACTTCAGAATCATATGTATGAAGCGATCTCATATGGATTATAGTGCTCCATATTAAAAATGCTATCATTTAATTAAACTTTGTTTGCTATTAACAATGAGCTAATAAAATTGTTATGAACTAAATGTATTTATTAAAGTTTGTTCATTAGCAAAATAATTTACTTCTATTTAGTATCAATTTGTATGAACTTTATGTAAAATTAGAATCTTTTCCAAGTAAATGTACTTGGACTAGTAGGTTGTAAGACTATTTCATAACGCGACCTACATTGTTAGGTTTCCAGTTTAAAGATAGCGAGACGATAATTTTATGAAAGTTATTATTAAAAATAACTCATGAAATTAAAATATTTTAATTCATTTTGCACTTAACATTTGTAAGACAAGTGTGGTACTTGATATATTCAGACCGTGCAATACCAATTAGGTCTACTTGTAATACTATATATAGAAATGTACGTGAGATTATGTCTGTGTGTGTACATGTATCTAATATATAAAATTCTCGTGTCACAGTTTTCGTGCCCATACTCCTCCGAAACAACCTGACCGATTTTGATGAAATTTTTTGTGCTTATTCGGTAGCTATGAGAATCGGCCAACATCTATTTTTCATCCCCCTAAATGTTAGGGGTAGTCCACCCCTAAATTTTTTTTTTTTTATTTTTTAGACAAAATTTTTAATTACTATTTTTTTATGATACAACGTACAAAAATACATACAATCCTAAATTTTCACCCTTCTACGATCAACCCTTATTTTTTCTAATATATAAAATTCTCGTGTCACAGTTTTCGTGCCCATACTCCTCCGAAACAACCTGACCGATTTTGATGAAATTTTTTGTGCTTATTCGGTAGCTATGAGAATCGGCCAACATCTATTTTTCATCCCCCTAAATGTTAGGGGTAGTCCACCCCTAAATTTTTTTTTTTATTTTTTAGACAAAATTTTTAATTACTATTTTTTTATGATACAACGTACAAAAATACATACAATCCTAAATTTTCACCCTTCTACGATCAACCCTTATTTTTTAATAGCTATTTTAGTAATTTAATCATTTTTCATCTCCGGTCGATAACTGATCAATCGTCATTTAATAAGTTATCCCCGCCAGATATCTACAGGTGTCACTTCTGACCCAGTAAACAGCACGGAGTAGGGATGAGAACGAAGCCGGTCTTCTGTTTCTCTCACACAATTAGACTTCTCTCACTCCCTACACAGTTGTCGGCCATCGTTATTGTTTGTGCATCAAGTGTAGTAGTAACGTTGACAATTATTATTTTGCTAGCTCAGTGTAACTCTCATATTAACTATTAATCATTCCTTATCACTTCAAAACACGGAGATTTATGGCTTTAATAGGTAAACTCCAAAAATATAAATAAAAAAACGTAACAGATATTTCTTGATTATAGGGCGAAACGAAGTTCGCCGGGTCTTCTAGTACATGTATAGATGTCTATGTATGTGCTGTATTGTCTCATATATAGCATATGTTGATATGCATCACCTATATACATATGTGTGTGTGTGTGTGTGTAGGTACATTTATGGCGCTGCGTGTGCTGTGTAATGTCTGAGATGACGTGTGCGTGTGTGTGTGTGTGTGTGTGCGTGTGTGTGTGTGTGCGTGTGTGTGTTCTCACCTTAGGGTCGATACCGTCAGGGTTGTGAATAGCACCGTCGTGTTCGATGATACCGATGCATGTAGCGCCAGCCCTGACGAGGTAGCGGCACGTGTGCAGACCGACGTTACCGAAACCCTGGACTATGAAGGTCTTACCGCCCCAGCCGGGAGTCGTACCTATAATATAAAACTATATGTATGGAATGGATTGAAAAATGACACATATTACGGTTGGAGTACATCACTATTTAAATTTTAAATTAAGAATATCTCTTGCTATACATAAGGACAAATCTCATATAACTTCGAATTTAGCAGTATGTTTTAAGCATATTGGACATTTGGCAAGGTTGATATAATAATTCAAATATTTAATTTATTATGTCCAAATGATAAGAAATAAGATAGTATAAGCTGTGTACACAATATTTTTCAGTTACTAGACGTCTGTCAATGTCATTTGTATGTGGTTGTAATGTTTCAAATATTTCATACAACGCCTTTATTCCATTCGACAAACTCATTTGTGTTTTCTCCACACAGTAGGTACTTAAAATTATAATTCGTCTAACAAAAAAACTGGTTGACATTGGCAGAATATTCCACGATACCAGTGCGAATGAAGCCATAGTAATTTAAAAAAAAACTTTTTTTGGACTACATAAGTACATAAACTTACTATACATATATAAGTTAACTAACCGATCATGCTCATATAGTTGGCTTCGTTGATGAAGTTCTCCAAGCCGTGGAAGACTCCCCTGCCGGTGGCTGACACTCTGCCGTGGATACCGCCCTGTTAACGAAACATATTATTACACATATGTATATATTAAGTATATAAGTACATATATTTAAACTCAATTCCAATTCTGTTCCATTTTTGAAATTATTTTCAGCTAGTAATATGAAAACACTGCACAATTATATAAACATAACAGAAGCATATACAGGGTGACTGGTGAATTACTATCGATACTTGAGGACGTGATATTTGACGATCATATATGACAAAATAAAAATTAATATAACATAAATATTAATAAACTTCTAGGTAAAGTTAACCAAAAGTTATGTAATTAATTACGCATCGTGTGAACACCCTACAGATTAGGTATACACACACACACGTGGTGTTGTATCAGCACGCCGCCGCACGCGTCCACACTTGGAACACTTGGAACGTGTCCACGCTTTATTTATTTATACGGAAATTTGATAAAAAATTAAGTACCTATTTTTTTTACATAATTCGAATGAGAATCATGTACCGAGTATTCTCCTTAAATATTGATAGTAATTCACCGGTCACCCTGTATACGAATAAAAAAGTTGTATAAGGTGTTGATTTGAACTCAAATCAAATTCTGTTCTATTTTTGAAATTATTTCCAGCTAGTAATATGAAAACACTGGTACAACATAAAAAAAAATTGTTGTGATATTTGTTTTGTATGAATGAGTACTTCGTTCGTACCTGGTTGATTGGTTTTCCTGTGACGCAGGCGTGTGCGTTGATATCTTGGAAGCCGATGGTCTTGGCGTATGTGTCAGCGATCCAGGACATCTCCCTCTCGCCGGTACCCATGTCGGGGGCTGGCACGTCCACACCCGGCCCTATAGAAGACAGAAATTACGTACTTAATAAGATGTTAATAACTTATATAAGGTATAAAATCTATTATTATTGGTAGAATTGTATCGAAAATGATGTTGAATTAATTTTTATTTAATATGAAATGAACATTAATTATCATTTTCATTCATAAGTCTCTTCGTTTATCATACATAAAATAAGAAAGTTTTTTGACGGTTTTTTTTTATTATCTTTGAAAACTAAGTCAGTAAGTTTGTATAGCTGTATGTATTTTTTCTATTACATTGTCTGTAAATATATAGAAGCCAGTGAAAAGTAAATAGGATTGTCACACATACAAGTTCGACCTTTTTGGTTACGTAATCCATGCAATTCAAAGATGTTTCTTCCAATGTTGGCACGAATAATACAAAAAGGTAAAAAGTCTATTGTGTTCGCTATAAAAATGTTATATTTCACAACATTAAAACAATTTTTCCACTTATACTTATTCTCTCTTTAAAAACGTTATAATTATAACAACTCTTTAAACATTAAAATATATTTTACTTGATGAAAAGTCTATATTATGTTCGATATTCAAATTAATAGAGCAAAGAGGTTATATATGAGTTTCATACAGAATCAATTGAATGTATTTTACATTGCAATATCAATAATGTATTTATGTAATGCTAATGTTTATCCGCGTCGTCGAATAACTTGTTCTATTCGAATATAAGATAATTACGGCCATAGTTGGCAGAATGACAACAGTCCGACCCCGCCCACTTAAAAAAAAAATTGGCGGTAAAAAAAATATTTGGCGGTATTAAATTTATTGTGACGTCATCACAACTAGTAATTATGTCGTACTAAGCTCACGTTATCACTCGTCCTTTTTAATATACATAGTTATTTACACAAATAAATATGCTTACATGGTTAACGTAATCTCAAATTAGCTTGTCAATAATCTCAGACAGTCACGAAGTGCAAATTGAATTAGTGCTTGGGATTTTGATCAATACTGATGTTATATTTATAGATAAGACTAATAGGTATTTTCAAAGTCTTGATATTATATGATCTGAAAATTTAGCACGAGTTTTTAACGTCACACTACATACGTATCGTTTCCTGTTTGTCATACATACGTTAATGCTATAAAGTGAGGAGATTTATGAATGAAATATTTTTAACGCTCCGTGTGTGTAAGCTAAATGTGCTAACCATAGTACTGGTGTGCATTCCTTATTCTCTATATAAATATATAGCAAAACTAAACTAATTATTACTTAATTTATGTGTTAAGATAAAAACAATACTTTTTTTCATCCCTACTAATATTATAAATGCGAAAGTAACTCTGTCTGTCTGTCTGTCTGTCTGTCTGTCTGTCTGCTACGCTTTCACGCCTAAACCACTGAACTGATTTTAATGAAATTCGGTACAGAGATAGAGTTGACCTTGAGAAAGAACATAGGATAGTTTTTATCCCAGACTTTTGAAAGGTTCTCTTGGAAACGCGATATAACCGAACTCCACGCGGCGAAGCTGCGGGCGGAAAGCTAGTCATATTATAAAGGTATATTTACATATTATGTTTCTATGTTATATTTTTTACAGCGACTTATTATTTATGTTCTGTCGTCTACAAGAGAAAAGTGGATCTTAATTTAGTTTGTTCTTGAGACAATGTAAGTGGCAGCTTCTCTTTGCCAAAACTTCGACACTCATTAAAGTAAATCAAATGAAAACTCTTCATTCAAAGAAATTAAATAGTTTCCTCTCGTTTGTACTTTAGAATTAAATTAAAATAAATAATCTAAGTAGTGAGCGGAAATGATTATAATATTTGATATATTTTTATCATAAAAATTTATTGTCAATAAGTCTGAATCATTAGCAAATTTCAATATGAAGATATGACTATTTTGTTGTAACACGTAGTTACACTACAAGTTAATGCAAAATTAGTAAAGTTTTATTAAAGTATTTAATTGGATAATTTTTTTTTATGTAATTTGTAGTAAGGAGTTTTAACTCTTTATTGCAATTAGATGGAAATCAATTAAAAACTTTTTAATTTTAAAGCTTTCTTTCCATATACATACATATTTCATTCTAATAGGTACATCAAGTATACTAGGATTTGTAGTATGGTGAAGTTAGATTAAATAATTGTCATATACAGGTGACTGGTGAATTACTATCAATATTTTAGGAGAATACTCGGTACATGATTCTTATTCGAATTATGTAAAAAAAATAGGTACTTAATTTTTGACCAAATTTCCGTATAAATAAATAAAGTGTGGACACGTTCCAAGTGTTCCAAGTGTGGACGCGTGCGGCGGCGTGCTGATACAACACCACGCCGCCGCACGCGTGTGTGTGTGTGTGTGTGTATACCTAATCTGTAGGGTGCTCACACGATGCGTAATTAATTACATAACTTTTGGTTAACTTTACTTAGAAGTTTATTAATATTTATGTTATATTAATTTTTATTTTGTCATGTATGATCGTCAAATATCACGTCCTCAAGTATCGATAGTAATTCACCAGTCACCCTGTATATGTATTTCATTTTAACAGATACATCTTGTATACTAGGATTGGTTATATATTGAATTTAGATTAAATAAATGTCATATATATAATGGCCATTATATTTAATATTCATAAGGAATGAACACGTACTCTGTTGTATGAATGATGTATGTATGTGAATACATTTTATACTGTTAAGTGTTACGTCATCAATTCATCAGCATTGTTCTTACAAACTGTGTATCTGGCAATAGACAAAACACATTGTTTCATTCTATCCGCTAATTGCCATAGACTATAGAGTTTATAAATACGCAAATAAAAGACTATTATTAGAATTAAAGACTATTAAAAAATTAAAGACTATTAGATAGGGGCCTTTAAACCTACACCTGGGTCGCAAGTCCCAGGCACTATTCAAGCTCCTCTCCCTGCAACGCGATGGACCAAACAACCGCACGGTGAATCCATAGAATGCTAAGAGTCAAGAGGTTTCGTCTCAAATGTAAGTATATGTTATATTTCTTACCAATAAATCCTTTCTTGGCGAGCTCGAGTGTGAATCGGCGAGTGATCTTTTCCAGCTCGTGTTCGGAGTATTCCTTGGGATTGATCTTAATGCCGGCCTTCGCTCCTCCGAAGGGCACGTCCACACAGGCGCACTTGAATGTCATCAATGCAGACAAAGCCTTAACTTCGTCACGTGTCACGTCTGTTGAGAATCTTATACCTATGGAAATAAAAAATAAAATATTATATAACCATAAATATGTAGAAAAAAATAACTAAAAGCGTATTTAAATTCAGGTGGAAATAGAAATAAAGTTGTTTATGACAACAAATATACATAAACATTTTATTGTAATATCCCAACACTGTTGTTGTTTTCCTATTATTTTAAATAATACAGTGATATCAATACTTAGAGATAACACCGTTCAAAAAAATCTGAAATCCCCAGATCATGATTATAAGGGGAAAGTGATAACAATATCAAATTGAAATATTAAATGATCGTGACATAGTGACGTCACTCGTTTCTATGCAAAAAATAATAATACGGATAATTCTTAATCTTCATCATATCTTGTTACACGTCTAATATGGCACGTTGTCTTGTGTACAATAATACGAAGTAATAAGAATTGGTTTGTTTATAATACTGCGTCCTTGAAGTTTTATGAAGTCCCGAGAATTAATTGATTACATCTCATTTGGAGTTCCAGTACCAATGTAACAAAAAATAACTGATACTTTCAAGTAGATTTCTGTCTATAAGTGAATATATACCAAAAGCTGCCTTGTTCCTGGAATCATTTTGTTCCTATTCTTTTCTCAAATACCTATAATCAAGACAGGTAGAAGGCAACGATACTGGTTTACAATTAAGTAGACCGTCTAATCTTTCGTTCAAAAAACTTTACAAGGACAAAACCTCTCGTGATCCTAAACATTATTCACGAACGGATATAAAACTAATACTTGCAAAAGTTTTTTTTTTAAATAATAGTTGAATATTTCGGTGTTGTTTTTTTATGTAGCTTGATAGATATGTAATTTTATCAGCCAAATATTATATAAGATTGTCCCGCCCCCAAGCGTGATGACGTGAGAATTTTTTTTTCTATTTATGTACACTTTTCCTAGCCCATATTAATATTTGATCTCTTTATTAGTGTTTTATATAATGTTTAAATATGTTCTCTTTATATCTTCTAATATTATATAAGTAAGAAGATAAATATAGTTTGAGGTGTTGTCGTCACAGCCGCGCCTCCTGTTACTACGCCGTGATAAATAGAAAAAAAAAACAAGTGTCAAAATGACAAGTCACGTTCTGGGAAATTTTCTGGTGTTGTTTTTTTCTTAAAATAGATTATAGACCATCACTGTCGATAAAGGTTTTATATCTATGTTTTATCCCTATTAATATTATAAATGCGAAAGTAACTCTGTCTGTTTGTCTGTTACGCTTTCACGCCTAAACCAATGGACTGATTTTAATGAAATTTGGTACAGAGATGGAGTTGACCTTGAGAAAGAACTTTTATACTAGATTTTTGAAAGCTTTTATACTAGATTTTTGAAAGGTTTTCGGGGAAATGCGATATAACCGAACTCCACGCGGGCGAAGCTGCGGGCGGAAAGCTAGTTTTATATAGTTTATTGTTTTTGTTATTTTTTATATTATAGTTTTTATAAATATTTTTTTAAAACGCTTAAAGATAAAGGTTATGTTTATTTTAAATCCAATTATATTCGTAAGTATAATCAAAACGCTTTTATTACTGAAATTATGTATGGAGAAAATTCTTTAGATTATATTATGTATTATGATGAAACATTTCGTAACATGACAAATTTACATTCTCGTTAACCTTTTATCAATTATTGTTTACAGAAACCGGTTTATTCTAGATTTTAAGAAGAGTAATTTTTATCAAACAAATTAAACACAAGTCATGTATAATGTTAATGTATTTTTTTCGTAGTAACCAACTAGTTTTGTTGATATTTTTTTTACTTAAATTCATTTTAAATCTTTCCTTTAAAATCGTACCGTAAAAAAAATTAGAATTGCCGCATAATTAAGATAATTTTAAATACTTTTTTAGTCATAGCACATGTTTGTGGAATGGAAATAAAATTTACGTAACATACAGAGGATGCGGACAATTATGGCAGTTAATTTGGAAAACACATTTGTATTTAACATCAACGATATAAATACGGAACAATGTTTAATTAATGCTGTTATTTTCCTCACAACTTTTAAAGCTGAACTATAGTATTTTTTGTAATGTATAGTTTTTTTGGACCTTTTTTTTATCTTGATAAATCATTTTGTAACTTGGACACCATAATTTGCATTTTTTTTTTCTATAAATAATATTCGTTTGTTAACATGCAAAAATTTTGATATTTCTTAAATTTATGAAGATGATAGTATCAACAATATTCTTTTAGACTGTTTTATAAATTTCTTCAAATTAAATATGGATAACCTTATAATTAATCAGCTCAACTGTTTAGTTTTTCACATAGAGCTTTTTATATATGCCAGATCCTAAAAAAATCTAAAATTATAAAAAAGCATAGAATGTGGGAAAGACTGTCCGTTATTCTTATTGTTATAACTTATAAAAACTTCATATAAACAACCCTAAATATGATGAATATGAGAGCAGGATAGTGCAAAAAGAAGTAAAAATGAAATACAAAAATAAAAAAAAAATTGTAAAAATAAGGAATACTTCAGTGACAATGTATGGAATTTTTCTATGCAAAATTAGGAAGCCTTTTGATATTAACAATAAATTGACTCAATGCTATGGATAAACCAGAAAGTAATAATGAAAAAAATATTTACAAATGATTACTTATAGCATAATTTTATTGATTCATTCATAACACATAAACCAATTACCATAAATTGTAACTATATGTTAAAAAAATATTAAAAAGAAACTTGTAATTGATGGATGAAGATAAAAAAATGTTAAGAGTATAATTAGTTAATCTAAACCCACAATAAGAAAATTATACTTTTATGACTCTATGAATGCAAACAGTTCTGAAATTTATTTCTAAATATGATTTATTTCTTAATAAAAATGTATTTATACAAAAGAGGTTTCCTTTGTTTCATGTAAGTCATAAGAGTTTATTTTATTTATATGAGGATATAAAAGAATCTTCAATACATATTGAAGTTATTGTGTTATATAACATTGATTTGTCTGTTTATTTTAAGTCACAATGAATTTAATTATTTACAGAGCAACTATTATTGCTAAAAATATTATTAAGTTTCTTCATTCATTAATCAACATAAAAGAAGGATTGAAAACAAGTTTAACTCTATTCAAATTGTTTATACTGTCAACTTTCTTGCTAAATTATTTATAGAAAAAAAAATCAAGTGAAATGACATAACAGACATTAAGACATAACTGAAATGACAGTCGGCATTAAGGCGAAAAGCTTGTGAATAAGTTAAAAATAGAGGTAAAAGAGTAAATGAATTAGAAATGTCTAATAAGCCAAATCAAAAGAGGTTATGTTCAAGCATATTTTGGTTATATACGTAACATTCGGCAACATCACGTGTCCAGCGAGCTATTAATAAATATCTATTAACAATGGTATACCGGCTGGACCTAGTAGTGATATAAGAATAGGAATCTATGGGTCTTCGAGTACTTACCTCCTTTGGTTGGCGTTCTGTGTGATGAATGCTGAGCTCGGTAGCCGAGAATCATTTCGTAATCTCCGGAGTCACGTCTCAGGGGGAATTGAATTTCAAGAATGTGATCACATGGCTGCATCAGCTTGAGGATACCAGCCACCTTCTTTTTCTTCTCCTCAATGGATACTCTGGACTTCATGTCTTCAACCAACTTATCCTCAACGACTTGACAGGCACGGTGGAAAAAATACTCCACCATGTCAAAAAATCTAGGATTTGCACTTGTTGGTATATCTCTAAGCCTCTCTGGGATTTCATGGCTTGAATATGTTCGGCAGCAAACGTTCACAGCAGCAGGAGCAATTTTTATCGTATTTGCTACCTCATTTTGGATTGAATTTTTTAGAGGCGGTACAACCGATTTGGCAATATTCTTTAGATGTAACATTTTTACTTATTAAATACTATGTGGGGTAAGATAGTATTGGGTCGCTCTACACTTTTAATGAAAATACACAAAAATAAAACGTGTGTAATTATATAGCTAACTGCAGAGACGACCCGCCCCGACGAACGACTAGTCTCTGACTATGTCTGTCTCTATCACAATATCTTTAAAAGTTATTCAACCGGCCGGTAACGACCAATACTAGGTAGTGATTTTTTCCATAGACAAAAGAGGAACATATCCGTGCTCCATAAACAAGATACGATGGGATCATGCGATTCGGTCATTGACGTTTGATGTGTTTATTTTCCTTTTTTGCAAAATATGTAACTAATTTTCTATGGATGAACCATATCCCGGAGTCGAAGCATTCAAAAAAGACACATAATTAATAATCAAAAACTAGCAATTTAAATAGTACATGTATATATTATAGCTACCTTATTTGAATATAGTGTGTCGCAATGCTAAATAGCAATATGATACAGTTAATGTTCTTAATTATTATTTTTTTTAAATAAATACATACCTAATAGGCAGTTTCTTTTTACTTTGACAAAATAAATCCGTTGTATGGAATCAAGACAAGGTCTTTATGAAGACTTAAGGATTTTATTGTCTTAATTTCTAAAAAGATATTTTTGAAATCCTTTCACAAATATTTTTTTGTAAGTAGAATTTTTTTTTTGTGATTGATGAATACGGTTTTTAATTTTTTGTCTATTTCGTACTATTACCTAAGGAAAACAAAATTACAACCCTGTAGTAATTATTGTCAGCAACAACATTTAACAAACTGTCATAACAGTTTGACGTAACTGTCAAGGTACATGCATTCGGCATTCAATGAAGTTTATTCTGAATGGGAGCGATATAAAGCCGCTATAAAACATAACCAAATACTTTTTACTTTCTTGTTGTAAATTAGAGTAGTTTTAAAACACAGCTATGGCTTCAGGTCTAGAGAACTATATTAATCAGACAGTGTCTGTGATAACTGCGGATGGAAGAAATTTTATAGGCACATTAAAAGGATTCGACCAAACTATAAACATTATATTGGATGAATCCCATGAAAGAGTGTTTTCATCGTCAACAGGAGTAGCACAAGTTGTTCTCGGACTTCACATTATACGTGGTGACAATATAGCGATCGTCGGACAAATAGACGAGTCTATAGATAGTAGATTAGATCTTGGAAACATCAAAGCTGAACCACTGGGTCCAATTGTACATTAATGTTATTTTAAGAATTTTTAATATTAATAAAGTAAGTATAAAAATTCTCTCATCGTTTTCTTTATTACGATACTTTTTATTAACAACTACATATTCGAGTCAACAATATATTTAAACTAAGGTCCTACAGACAATAATTTCACATAATGAATTATATACAACATGGAAGGTTTAATACATAATAAAACTTATATACATATATCAAATTTACTATTAACAATTCTGTTAATATTATGTACATTGGTAATTAGATGAAACTTTGGAGTGTCTGTTAAGTCTACCCTACAATATTATTTATAATACTACTAAAATGAAACAAAACACAACCTGTTGTTCACAATTTTTCTATAAATAAATTAAAGCATTAATGATAACTTTATAAAAAAAACACATGTCAAAAACAATACAAGTATGCAGTTTTGTACTGAAAAAAAAATTGGTAACAAAATTTTGCTAATGTCTCTTATGAATAGTCCCCATTACTCGATTTGGTCACAAGAACAATATCTTGATGTCTGAAATAAAATAAAAATAAATATATTTCCTGTTAAAAGACTGAACTTTTTTAACTGTCCATATTTCTATGTATCAACAAAAACTAGTTATAATTTTAATAACAAAGAAACAATACCTAAATAAGTAAAACACAAACAAAACTTGAAAGTTCATATTAATCACTTTTGATTATTTTTATGTCTATGCCATCTCTGAAATGAAGAAAAATGTTAAAAAACAAAAATTTCATGCAAAACACAGCAAAATAAAGAAATCAAATGTTAAAAGCGTTAAACTTATTGAAGCTGAAACAAATGTACCTCTGCATTTTTTCCTTGTACTTTTGGCTATTGTAAGTTCTAAAGAATTGTTTCCCATATTCAAATGTTGCTATCATGATCGCACAAGCCGGTGCAACTTTAAATATTCTCGGTAACAATCCGGTAAAAAGACCTCTGATACCGTGATTCTTGTATATATTTCTTGCTATATCTTGCATGTTTGAAGCCCGCTGCTGTATTTTACCATCTGCATATTTGAAATTAAATTAGTATATTTATTTAATGTCAAATATATGTATGTATATGTGTGAAATAATATTTTTAATACCGGTATAAATTTCCTTTTCACCTAATTCAATTTGTTGATGGGTCTTCACCACATCAAACGGCAATGTTACAAATGCAGCAATCTAAAAATATATATTATAAAACTTGAAATAAAGATCAGTACTAAGTAATAATTAAGTATTATTATTATAAGAAGGTAATAAAAGAAATATTTTATTCATTAATAAACTATTATGGACAATTATTTGAAATATATACTCACACTGCCAGCCACAGAACCACAGAAGAAATTAAATAAAAATGAGTTCTTTTCTGAATCTGGTTTATTGAAAATCCTCTTTGTTGTCTCAAATGTTGTCCAATATAGACCTTAAACAAAAAAATATAGATATATAAAATGCTAAGGGTATAAACACAGGAGATAATGTCAACCATAATTTATTCACATCATATAATGTAAAAATTAAATATTTCAATATGTAATACAACTATTTAATTTACATTTCAGAATATACTGTGCAAGCAATTGCCCTAATTAATTTACTTTCAATGAATACTTTATTACCTGAGAAGGGTACGTCTCTAAGCAAAGTGGAACCCAAACCACGGAACAATCCTCTGTATCCTTCATATTTTAGGACTTGTCGTAAAGCTAAATTAATTTCTGTAACAGATAAGTGTAATAAGTAAATTATAATATTAATTATTGAAGATAGTGGTACAGTAGGACCCCAATTATCAGAACCTCGGTTATCCGAATTCGCGATTATCCGGACTGCCAATCACGACGAGTTTATTCTAATTTTAAACCAAATTAAACTAATTATTTTATTTCATGATTACCTAATGCAAATTACCAAATACATACATAATTATTGTAAGCAAATTATATGTACATTATGTACAATTTCTTACTAAACGTTGATTCTCGCTCATATGTATTTGTTGTTTTAAATAAATACCTAACATTACATATGTATGGTACAGACTACATATGTACATATGCAAAAAGCCCGTTTTTCTTCATATATTGGATTAGCCGGACTTTCAATTATCCGGATGCCTACCGACAACAATTAGTCCAGATAATCGAGGTCCTACTGTATATCTTTGTGGTGGTTACAGTGAAACAAATCACTAGAAATGAAATCAATAACGCTATGTCTGCAAAGTAGATATTTAGCAAATAAGAAGGCTATGCTGTTGAATATTTGGCTATCAGAAGTCCAGGCAAAAATATAATTGCTTATAAATCTAACTTTTTGATGAAGACATGGCATATCACAAACAACACATACATTATAGTTTATTGTGGAATCAATAATGACCAAGTTGTATATTAGGGGGTATTTATTTATAAAGGGAATCTAAGTGTTATGTAATAACATGCAAAATGAATAACTGTATTTAAATGAACTTATAAAATTCACATTTGTCAGTCTTATCATATTAAATGTTGCATGCATTTGAATTTTATTAGAAAGAAATTATATTCTAATTTAATATGCAAATAATAAATGATATAATGGCATTTACAGACAGTGCTATGTTAAAAATAATATCTTACATACCTGAATATGTCAATTTTTTTGATTGCATCTTTGTCCTTATTAATTCTAATGGACTCACAAGAGTCACGGCTGTCATTCTTGCAGTGGCACCCGCTATAAGGGGTATCCACATTGGTTGAGACGCTGAAAAAATTATAAGGCAATTTTTAATTCATCTATATATATAAAACATCTATAATATAATAGATTTCAATGAAGAAATTATACAGTGACTGTTTAAAAATTGTAGTAAAAATATAATACTTACGATTACCAGTTGCGGTGTTATAGATAGTTTTCATTTGATATCTCAATTGTTCGTAGGACACAAAATAAATCACAGTACAAGGAAGTGCAAGTATAAGAGTGGGACTTAGACCAGACCATAAAGCTGGGACACCTTCTAATTTTGCTATCTTATAAAATGCATCCTTAAAAAAATTATAAACATCAGTCACCAATTCCAATAAGAATATTGCAGTGGCAATTTTATTCGGAAACATTACTTGAGGTTTTTGTATATGATTAAAAACTACTTACTATAGTGCCGTGAAAATGTACTCGTCTCGGTATCCAAGCAGTTTCTCCACAAGGACAAAGATGTTCCATTAAACCATTGCAATACAAATAACATTTGTTTGACAGCAACGCCTTTTGTTGTGCTTGCAATCGAATCTTCACTACATCTAGTGGTGTCACTAAAAATATTTTCATTCATTAATTCCACGCAAAGGGTTCCATTATATCAATAATATTTTCTTATTAAAACACTAAAACTTACTAAATAACGAGGTTATTAATGCACCGGAACACGCCGATGCCATTTGTTGGAATGGAGTAATTCTAAATTGAGGATCGTCTTCTCGAATCATTATTAATACATTAATTTAATTTTTTAGATTGAATAATCAAACTACTCTAAATCTAGATATTAACAATAACAATATTGCACCATTGCTTGTCAAAGATCATATGTCTTCTGTTTCTGTCATTTTAGTGAGCAGAGATAAAATATAACACAAAGAACAGAAGCAATATAAAAAATAAAAAAGACATTAAAGACATAATTTTAGTCTAATCTAAAATTAGCAAGTATAATGTAATTAGTAAGTATGAAATGGAAATATTTGTCTATAGGTATATAAATATCGTCTTACAATAGACAAAACTAATGCAAAACTTCATAGTTTTAATTTAAAAATCATATGAAATCTCATTTTTAAAGTATTGTCATATGGTTTTTTGATTATATTTACAAGTATATATATCTAAAGTTATATTATTTAAAATACCAAATTTGTACAAGCGAAAATCAATTATTTTTTTACAAATACCTAACATTTTATATTTTCTCCAATGATAAATATGGAAATGCTAAACCTTAATTAACGCAAAAGACATTTATATGATAAAAGAGTAAGTTGTAATCATAACTTGTCTTTAAAAATACCTTATACTTAGTAAAAAAATTAATAAAATTCTTTCTGCAATGACCGTTGTATCAATTATTCACAAACACGATTTTTATTTAAATACACTTTTTCTATTTTAAAAACTTTCAGTAATATCACATTTTATTTTCATTTATTACTTTTCTAAAGTGAACTGAAGTCGCTCTTGAATAGCAGCCATTAACCAGATATAGTACCGATTTTAGATTTTTTGTGTTCTTACTTCCGTCAGACGGCAGTCAATTATTGTCAAATATTGAATAGACTGGACGTGTCACGTTAGTGCCGCACATGGAGGACGATATTATTGTATAAATAATAAAAATAAGTTAACGTTTAGTGATTTTAATTTCAAGTCATATTATTGTAGATGAAAAATATTTTTTGAAATGTTTTCCAATATTCCCAGATCGTTGATGTAAGTACCTTACGTTTATTTTTGGACTTTACATAACATGACACCTGTGTTTTATTAGATTTGTATTAAAATTTAGGTCCTTTTTATTTTTATGGCCGTAATGTGTTCTCATGGGTATGACGATATATGTCTGTAAATTTATATTTTAAATTTGTTGTTATTCTACCATAAATCGTTTAAGGTTTATAAAAAAAAATAATATAATAAAATCAAACAACAAAAATTAATACTATATTTGACGAAACAAACATTTTAATATCCTTATACCTAACTATGAATATTTTAAACATAATAGATTTGCGATCTTCGCTATCGATCTCCCGTGCGTAAATGATATCATGTTTCTGAGAAAACACATAACTTTAAACAGAAAAAATATTTAAACCTATGTTCCTCAAACGTGCCATATAAAATTGCCATAAATGTTAATTTTAATGGTAAAGGTTTATTGCCGCTTTTTGAAATTTCTTCTATATATATTTATGTGTTTATTATTTATATGTTCATCATTCAAATAATGTATGAAAAGTCTTAAATGAATAATTAAGTTTTACCAGAATAAGTATGATAACAAAAAAATATTTATAAAATAGTGAAAAATATACTATTTCTACATTAACTATTTTATAGGATGTAGCATAAAGTAATATAATAATAATATTATATTACTTAAATATTAAAAAAGTATCATTATTACATTTCATTCCAAAATATTAACATAAAGCATTGACCCTGCATGACCTATTTTTTGGTTTGACCTATTTTTGGAAAATTATATAATATAATGCAATTACTTTAGTTTATTCTTAAATCATCTTATGCTTTTACAAATAAGAATGCTTAGATATTTTTCTTACATTACTAATATAATATAATTCATATAAGAATATGTAACACATATGTATTTTTATTCTGAGAATGGGTATTATTTTTAATTTTTTTTATTTATAATGTGTTATGACCATGATGAACACCTATCTATTACAGCTAGGATTGTCATTAATTCACATGTAAACATATGCATAAAGCATGTTTGTTTATTTATTATATAATATAATAATGCCAGTGAGAGATATATTTGAGAGTGGTATGTCTATATATCTTTGAAAACTTTATTTTGTAAGAAAATGCTGTTTAAAATTAAAAAACAATTGAAGAAGTTCTAGTTGTAATGTACATGAACATAGCTGTAGACTAAATGAGTATTAATAGTAATCTCAGTAGTTTCTAATAAAAAATTGTTTATAGCCATTTGTGAAGATGAAATTGTTTTTGATGATATGTTAATTAACAATTGTGTGATATACTGTTGAGAGAAAGCTATTACAATTCTTAAGCAATTTGTATTGTCATTGGAGTTTTTTTTTTTGAGAAAAATCCACCATGAAGGTTAACTATTTACTTAAAACTTTTTGCAATTCAATAATATGAAACCACAAATTAAGTATCAAATCAAATGACTCATGATCTTAAGTTTTCTATTGTCTCATAATGCATAAAATATCCTCTGAATGCTTATTTCCTTGTACATGTTTATTTTACCTAACTACACCTATAAACTAAATTTAATATAATAGGAAAATGTGAATAAGTACTTTTAACATTCAATATAGTATGAATAGAAGATAAAATTTTATTTTAAACTGGTTTGTGTGGTTTATGTTTCTTTATTTTGTTTTAACAAATTTATAATTGTAGTTGACAATGTCAGTAATAAAGTATGAACTTAGTTTACTTCTTGTTGACCATACATTTGTGAAATGTTTATGCGGACTGTAAGGTAACTTATGTTTGAATAAGTCATAACACCGACTCGGTATCGATTTTCATTGTGGAAGTCAGTTTATTTTGCATTATCTTTAGTAGTGATCTTTTTATATAAGTTCTTTTACTCAACAAGTGTAGTTGATATAGAAAATTAGTTTATTTAACACTTATAACGAAATTGATGTTGAATTATATTGTTATGTAATTTTTGTTTTATCTGATAATTGGATTTTTATGAATAATTTTATAGAGATAATTAAAATGCAGAACAGTTAACATCAAAATTTCTTTTTTTAAAGTTTTTGAATGTGTAAGTGATGGGCATTTCAAAAACTACAAGTATTCCATTTTTATAATCTTTGTTTGTTTTTCTTGAACTCTAAGAGTAGTGCTCATGATTTTTACTGGATGAAATAAGGTTGTTTCCAATAGAGAGAAATTTTTTTTAGAAGATAATAAAAACTTATTGCTGTTATGGCTCACTTATATCAACCTTCTTACAGCAGTGTTAAATTAGAAATTATTTTTAGTAGCGAGAGCTCATGAAAATATATAAATTAAAAGTTTATCTGGAAAACAAAACATACATTAACCCAGATCATACGCCGCCAACGCCCCTCCCTTAGTCAAGTGTAATTTACTAAAGGAAAATGAAAAACGTAACTAGCAGTGATACTTTAAGCCATAATTGAACTGTTCGTTTGTCATTTTTAAATCACTATCATTTCCAAGTGTTCATTATTTACACGTAATCAGTACGACGACCGTTTTTTAATTTATTTATATTTATTTTTATTCTTTGGGTGGCTTATGAACTTCTGAATCTAATCTAGGGGATTACCACAAAAATAATCATGTACTTAATCATATTGCTAACGTCACAAATCAATATACCATTAAACCGAGTTGAGGTATTATCGAAATTGTGTATAAACTCAAATTCAATCAAGGTTAAGAAACTTTAATGTATGAGAAGCAGGGTAAAAATGATACCTTAAGACCTATAAGACCTTAAAAGAATAATCTCCTACTATTAAAACCCGTTTTATTTTCCCACGCATAATTTGGGAATTTGCCAGTAGTTACCAGGCAGTTTGTAAGCGACGACTGTAGCTAGGGACGAGATTGCTCTTAAAATTACGATTGCTCTATTGATTCTAATGATTCTGATAGTGACGTTATTGTGAGTCAAAGTCGTGTTATATTTTAATAAGTCACCACAATGACTGTATTATAAAATATTCAGATTACGTAACAACTGACGAATACGAGCAAGCAAATATTGAAAATATTGTTCTGCTTCGATAATTATAATTAGTTCTTGCCGCGTCTTAAACACGTGGTTGTACAAGCGGAAACTAAACAAAATTCGTTATTCAAGTTAGGTATACTATTGTAATTATTTTCTAAATAAAAATTTATTTCCTAATTAATTTTTATGATCACACAATATTTTTCTTGCTAAATACTTATTAAGATTATTGAAAAATTTTAGTCACGTCGGAACACAGACTCATTACAAAATTTTACACTTAATGTGTATTTATATACTAGATTGTATTGGTGACAGGAAAATATTCGACAAGGAAATAGTTTTGCACATCATCAAACAGTTAGTATTTTAAACTCAACCACGGGTTCAATATAAAAGGCAAGGTCAAGTCAAACTTGTTTTGAACTAGCTATTCTTATTTGACTATTCTAGAATGTTTTGGTATTTTACTATTAAAATGTAAATTTATTCTTTTCTAGGATATTTTAAATGTAAGATCAATATAATTATAGTAGGTGCTAAATTTAGAGTATGAAACACGTTATCCTAATAATATTGTATCGAAGTGCGCGATCTAATATTTCTAGTAATGTAATGGGATATATTATTTTTATGGTGTATTTGTTGGTGTAGATGCTGCACAAACGCTATAGTCCCGAATCGGGCGCTCGCGTATGCACTGACGAAATGTCCAGCATTCTTGGAACCACCCTCCCAATGTCGTAATTACCATGAGGTTACCGGCGACATAATATGTCCGAACATGGTGAGAGGTATCGACCATCTGAGGGATCCTCGTCTGAATAAGGTATAAACAAAGTATATTATGTCAGAAATTTATAATATTTAATATATCCATATCAATCGGTGTGACCAAGAATTATTGATTTATTATAATTTATTCTTTACGCTTAATGTGTATTGTAAGAGTGAGTATTTCTTTAGGGTCTGGCGTTCACTTTAGAGGAACGCCAAGCTCTTGGTATTCACGGTCTGCTGGCAGCCAAGTTTAAAACGCAGGAGGAGCAATTGGATATCTGCAGAATATCAGTTGATAGATACGAGGACAATCTGAACAAATACCTTTACCTCGTCGAGTTACAGGTGACTAAACACTATGAAGGTACCATTGATTAATTTTATTTAGTTTATCTTCCGTGCTAAGGTTTTAATGCTTTAGTTACTTTCTTGTATTTATAATATGTGCTATATATATTCTTGGTGTTGTATATATATTAGATGTTGTCCTTCTCGTTGCTCGTAATGTTTGTAACCCTCCATCCGGCTGTATATGAATGACGCGAGCATTGTATACAGTTATATTTAGTTAATTTCGTTTCGGTGTTATAATTTGAGTTTTAAGGTCATTTAATTATAAGGTCCTTTTTTCGATTGACTTAAAATTATAGATTAATTACTGAATAAGTTGTTTTATGATTGGAATGAGATTTGTTATGTAGGTATAGAAATCTCTTAGAACTTGTCTTTAGTTCAGTTTCCAATTAAACTTTAAGTAGTAATTTTTTTCATATTAGTTATAAGTTTTATATTGTTGTGGTTAATTTGCAGGATAGAAATGAGAAGTTGTTCTTCCGTCTCCTATCAGAAAACGTGGAGAAGTATTTGCCTATTGTATACACGCCTACAGTGGGTTTGGCATGCCAAAGATTCGGTCTAATTTACAGAAGACCCAGAGGTCTCTTTATAACTATTAACGATAAGGGCCATATATTCAATATACTTAAGAACTGGTAATTATTTTGTACTTTTTATATTTATATATGAGTTATTAGTGAAGTTCCTAAGTATTGTGTTATTTTAGGCCGGAACCGGACGTGCGTGCGATAGTTTTCACGGACGGCGAACGTATTCTCGGTTTGGGTGATTTGGGTGCTTATGGTATGGGAATCCCCGTTGGCAAGTTGTCGTTGTACACGGCCTTGGCTGGAATCAAACCTCACCAATGTCTACCCATAACACTTGATGTTGGCACTGATAATCAGGTTCGTTGATTTTGTTAAAAAAAAAATGCAATGTATTTTACATACTGCCAATGTTAGCTTTATATTGAACCTCTTTTTACATTTCTCAAATATTTTCAGAAGTAACCATATAATATTATTATTTTTGGTAGTAGTAAAAAGACTTTATATGTGGCAGTTACTTAAATTGGTGACATAAAAAGTTTCATATATTAACATTATAACGAAAGAAACGTGCATAATAAATGAAAAGCATGATTCTCTTATAAGAGTTTACGAGATATAATTTTTATATATCGAAACTAAAGAGTAAAAATACACGACCGATATTACTCCGTGTTTTATGTTTGGTTCAAAAATATAACCAACCGCTCGTAAAAACAGGATTAAAATACTTTAATGATATTCGTAATTGAAAATAACTTCATACATTTTATTGCTTAGGAATTTTTGCAATAATTTCTCTATGGAGATGTGATTGCGAATGTTTCTTACAGGATCTGCTTGAAGATCCTCTTTACATAGGATTACGTCAGAAACGTGTTAGAGGAAAGGAGTACGACGAATTTATAGACGAATTCATGGAAGCATGCGTACAGAGATACGGACAGAACACGCTCTTACAAGTAAGTAACATCGACATATTAGAGATTAACCTATTATAAAAATTTACTCAATTTCTAATATTAATTAGTATAACTCGGTGTATTTTCGTATAGAAACATATTCAAGTACGCTCCATCCACATTAAAGTAACAGTTTATAGTATCGTGACTTACTTGATCGTGACTAAAGTATTGTCTTCGCGCTAACGTATGAAATGCATTTAAATAACCAATAACATATTTTACATTCCAATATATAATATACATATATTTCACTTGACATTATCATATACCAGACTTGTTTCATTTACGTGGTATCAATTTAATTCGATAATAATTACATAGTGTTACGTATAAAAATTACAATCGAATAATATTAAAAATTAAGAATATTGTTTTAAGTATATAACTAGTAATTTTTATGACAACTATCAAGCTTTCCTTATTCCGTTACGCCCTATCATGTACAAATCGATATCTAATACACTCGAACCATTATTTTATAATAACTAGTCTATATGTGAATCAAAGTAAATTTTATCATGTGATATTTCGCTAATATTACGTATAGATAACGCTTTAATATACTACTTATGATATAAAACCTACCTGTTTTGATTGTATTACATTAAACATTACATTCTATATTACATAATGTGAACACCATGTTTTATGTATACTTATAACTAGTGGAACATCCTGTATGTTTGAGTTACTAGTTACGATTGTTGCTGATTATTTTATGACAGTGTTAAGTGAACACTCGTTAACTCGTATTTAAAGAAATAATTTGGCAAAAAGATCATTGACAGCAATTTCACTTACATTAGTCGTTTAGTTTAACTAACTTTAATGGATGGATAGTTGCATCGAGTATAAACCAGTTCTAAAGTCTTGTATTAGGTCTTTGATGTTACTAACTGCTTATACGCACTTTTTTGCTATGGATATAGCCCACACAGTACAATGAGATCAATAATAAAATAATTTGTAATTTCTTTGTTAAATTTTCTATTCTGACCCATTTATATCACAAAAATATACAAGACTTCCACAATAAGTAGATCTCCAAACAAAAATTTCGTTATTTGTCCTCAGTTCGAAGATTTCGCGCTAATAAACGCCGGTCGTCTGCTTGCCAAGTACCGTAACAAGTACTGTACTTTCAACGATGACATACAAGGAACTGCCAGTGTGGCTGTTGCAGGACTAATGGCAGCGGTCAGGGTCACTAAGAGGAAGCTCAGTGAAAACATATACCTCTTTCTTGGTGCTGGGTCGGTTAGTATATATGCGTTATTATTTGTAATAAATATAATATACCGTAAAGAAATTTTCTTCATTATAATGAATTAAAATGATACTATAAGACTTTCGTGAGGTGTTTTTAGGATTTAATCTACGTATTTTCCATTTTAGTAACTTTTATCTAAATCTGAAAAACATTCTAATTCTTTAATTCATTCCTATTATATTCTTGACAACTTCTTAACAAGCATTGAAAAAATTTCAAGGTAGTATCCATTTCAATAATGCTTAGACATTAAGCTATCGTTTGACAGATCACATGACACAATGTCCCGTGGTTACAATACAGATAATGATGATTGATTTTATATACAAATCAGGTTTTAATCCAGATATATATAATTGTACTGAATATTATCTATCATAGCATATAATATAAATTTGATGACGATTGTGTTATTATCTTTTAAATTTCCGCTTATGATTCAGTGATAAAATGTGAATATATAAACCATTTAGAGTACAAATAGTTGTATAATACAAATGTTTGTAAACACCTACATATTATGTAATAACTTCTTAAAATTGATCTTTCTTTTCGTTCCCTATTCAAATTTTATGTAACTCTTCATATATTTTATATAAATTAAACTAACAAGATAACATTTAAGACTTCTTTCATATAAATATATACTCAGAATTTTATGGCTATTATGTAATTGTTCGACGTGATAAAGAAAATTAAATATTTATAGCAACATTGACGCATTGCAAACTATATCTTATCAGATAGATAATCGTGATACATTAAAACATGAGTTAAAGTTATTGACGCTTGAATGTAATGCAGAGGTATTTACAGAAGTTTTACAATCAATCAATAGATTAGAAATGGTGTTAATTATACCAAAGAGTTTGAGGTTGCAGTATCGATTTCACTTTTAAAACGTCATTGTGTTATATAAATATAATTAAAAAATATAAACGTTAATACTCTATATGCTACTGTCAATGTCACATCCGTGACGTATTTGTCGTTCAACTGACGTAATAGAGCAATTAAAAAAGTTAAAACGCGACCGTTGTAGAATTCTATTCTATGAAAATAGAACATGAGTGACATTCACACGCTATTAAATAAATTATAAGGCCTTTTTAGAATGCTGACAAGCAAACAATATTTGTATGAATTGAAATGTCAGATAAAAAAAAAGTTATGCTATTCATGATTTATACAACTAAGTTTATAAATATTGATAATAATTATCGTATAATGCCTACAACTAGCTGAATATAGGTTGGCCAAATATAATTAAAAACAATTCTAGCCGTATGCATCACATAAACTAGGAAACACGAAGTTGAAAGGGAATTACCTCAATGATAATATTATTAAATTATAAAACGAAAAAGTCTATAGGCAAACAATGATTTATGAAGAAAAATTTACCTACTGTAATTTAAAAGGATTCAATCTTCTCTAGGCAGCAAACGGCATAGCCTGTCTGACAGTAGCAGCTATGGTAGCTGAAGGCTTGACGGAGAAGCAGGCTCAAGACAGAGTTTACATGTTCGATGTAGACGGTCTGCTGTCAACACGTCGTGAAGGCGGTGTTCCCCCACACGCTAAGAACTTTGGCAAGGACATCGAACCCGAGAAGGACTTCGAGAAATGCGTAGCGAAAATCAAGCCCAGCTGTCTCATTGGTGAGCGTTATTTTTTTTATTATTTTCTGTCATGCCAGTGTTTAATTGTTGTGACATCTGTCATAATTATTATCTTTTTGACATTATTTTCTATCATGCTAATGTCATTATTGTCATTATCATAAATACGGAGTGTATCCAAATGTTTACAATTTACCCAGAAACCATTTTTGATATTTTATTATACAACCTTCGTATTTAATGAAACACTTAAATGTGAGTTCAATTGCTTGTTTGATGAGAATTTGTTCAACTGCAATATAAAAAAGCCGCCAGTATTGAATCCTTGAGTTACGTTGGAATAATTCTTTTTAATATATGTATATGTATATATAAAATTATGTTGAAATATAAATTCTTTTTTATTAATATTGTTATTTTTGTTTGTTTTTGCCTCAGGTTGTTCTACAGTGGGCGGCGCTTTCACACCGAACGTGTTGAAGCAAATGGCCAAGAATATAGACAGGCCAGTAATATTTGCTTTGTCCAACCCAACAAGTAAGGCAGAATGTACTGCACAAGCTGCATATGATCACACGGAGGTGAGTTTAGATAAATAAACATAATATATTGATTCTGTTTTTTAAATTCTATGCAAGGATGTTGCCATTGAAAAAAATCCACCTTCATTTACTGGTTATTCGTAAAGTAAATTGTTTCTTTATAATAATATTTGTCAGTTTTAGTTACATAATATTACACAATCATATTAAAGTCTAGTGTTTATTATTATTTTCATATAAATTTTATCATAACATGCTATTGAAAACTTGTGCCATTAACTATAATAGTTTATTCAAATTTGTAAGGTATTAAAGAATGTATATATTACAAGCTCATTAAAAAAACTGTTTGTCATGTTAAAACTAGTTTAAAATAATTATGATTTTTAGTTTGTGACTTTTGTAACAATGTGATTGTAAATTATAAATTCTCGGAACAGAAAAGTAAAAGATTATTTTTTTATCTCAGAAGTAGATAGTCTGATGATAAATAAAATTATTTGATTTTATTTTATTCTTTATTTTTATTAAATGAACAATTAATAATTAAAATAAATTCAACTATTTATTTAGTGAACATTTAATCTTATAATCTATGAATGAATTACTATAAAGATTGGACAGTACATGATCTTTTTAATCTTTATTTAGAGGACTTTTTTGTAAAATAAAAACAAGTTGTCCTGATTGGCTTACTTACAACTTAGAAATATTTTGTCTACTATTATTCTTATGATACAAATAAGAAGTATATTAATTTATATTTATGATTCACTTGAGTTATTTTAAGGTTTATAAATTGTTTATAATTATGTGCGAACACATATTCTGGTTTTGTTTTGTACTTTACATTAAATAATAATTTAATTTCAACATTATAATTGATGTGTTGTGATTAAATTGCCTCATATTTATTATAGATTGTGATGAAACTTTTTATTTCAATATATCTAATTATTGAATATTAAAAAGGTATAAAAAAATGTGTAATTTCTATTTATGTATTGATATAAATACTACATTTTTTTTTAAATTTCGATTTCATGTTGTGCGAAGATTTTTGAAGGACCAATTGCAATATTGATTACATACATTCAATGAGCTCTCCTATAAAATTTTCTTTTCAAAACTTTTTTTAAATAAAAAATTTAATATGTATAAAGTTTTTTTTATACAAAGCCAAATAAATTTAATAGATTTTTATATGATGTTTAACGAAACTGTTCTTCATGCAGGGTCGCTGTATTTATGCATCCGGTTCCCCATTCCCTCCAGTTCAATATGATGGCAAGGAGTATCACACCGGCCAGGGTAACAACTCCTACATCTTCCCCGGAGTAGCCCTGGGTGTTATAGCGACAGCCACACACCATATACCCGAAACAATGTTCCTTACAGCCGCTAGAGTGAGTATTATGATATATAGTAGGGGATAGTACAAAACTGTGTAACTAGCATTAGATAATGAGAAGTATCTGCATTGGAAGCAGATTATCATAAGAAAGTTTGAGCTGATTTTTTTTATATTAATGACTTTTAAAGTTATTTATTCACAATTAGTAATAAATTAAACACTAAATAATTACAATGGTAGTCATTGGAATGCTATTTGAAATACTTTTTTTTTATTACCCAATATCCTTAGTAGGATTTTTGATGTTCATCCAATTTAAAAGTAACATAGGAATACTATGTGTAAAATATTAATGATTTTGAAAAAAATCTGCTAAACAAATTTAAATACAACAGTTTTACAAGTCTCAGTGATATTATGAGTTAAGATACCTACTTCTGCAAAATTAGAGAATTGTAACGAATCTTAAAAATGTATTTAATAGTTTTTGAAAATATATTCTATTTGAATGCGCAGTAGAGTATATGCGTAAGAACGATTATAATTACCAGAAAAACATTAAGCATTTTATTAGGTGTTAAGGTATGGAAACACGAAAAAATAAACATATAGAAAAAATGTTTATACGAAGATGTAAACAATCTAAATATATTATACGTATTTCAAGTACTTTCAGCGTTTTTGAATTTCCTTTTATCTAAATTCATACATCTATTTTTATCTACAGAAATACTTGAAAACTCTTAACGAATATTGAATATTATGTAACGTTTGTCGTGGCATTGTTTAAATTGATATGTCACTTGGCAGCCATTATATGTTTTGCCGCCAAATTACATAACCGTATTTTGTAAATATTGTTATGGATTATGTTTATGCATATGAGATATGAAAGTGAAATTAGTTGTGTAATTAGTGTGGCAATGAACTATTTTAGGTCGAATTATTATAGTTAGTTCATATAGCATTATTATCAGTAATTTTGCGTTTCTAAATGATTTTCGGGTTTATATTTGTATTAGACAATTATATACCCTATTACTTTTCTTATAAGACATAAATTATGGTTTAATGATATTGTTTTGTTTATATTTTTCAGACGCTAGCCAATTACGTGAGTGAGAACGATCTAGCCATTGGTCGTATTTATCCGTCTTTGGCTGAGGTGAAGGAGGTGTCACTCGCCATTGCTATAGAAGTAGCCAAGATGGCTTACGATGAAGGTAATATCTATGAAAACTTTTTGGCACTTTACAATTTTTTTTCATAATAAAATTTCCATTTTTACGATTAATATATTTTAAAAATACGGTTATTGTTATGATTTTTAATCGATGTCAAAGTTTGTAATGACTGTTTGATAATTTGACATGTGAGTGTCACTTTGATTTGTTAGCTTTTTAATTCAGTATTCTGATAATGAGATGAAACTAAGAACTTTTTGGTCAGTACTGGATATAAAAAAGTGACGACTCAAACATATTTTAATGATTTATAAATTACCTAAATAAATAATTAAACGTTTAGCTTTTAAGCGGTGTTGGATCTATGCAAGATTACCAAGAAACTGCTTGTTTGTTATTTGACAGCTTTATTACTTATTGCCATTTTAGATTTTTTTTTTTAAGTTTGTTACAATAAGATTAGGGACTTTCTATTTTTACTACGGTGCCTCAAAGAAAGATACGATGTCCTACGAATATTCTTCTTTCATTGGGTAATAAAAAAGTATTTATATATTATGGTTGAAACAGTTCCTTTAATTATGTTTTTAATATAACCATGTCATACAGACGGAGTTTTAAAAGTTCACTAAAACGAATGTATGTAACAGTTTTCTTATACTGTGGTTCCGCAGAGATGCAAAGCGATCTTGATATATGTATATACATATATGTGTGTAGTCACATGGTAATGCTCTTTAATCTGAGTACAAAGTTGGGCATCGATTAAACGAAAGTCTTTCCAGGTGATAGTAATTAATTGGTACGTCCTTAAAGTTATGTCATTATCCTCTTAACCAAGAATTCAGGTTATTCCAAAAATTTAAATTTAGAATATCTAAAATAAAAATAAATTTTCAACAGATAACATATGACATGATCTTACAAATAGTCGATTCGATGTAAACTTGAATTAAGGGAAAAAATCCTACATTTTTTCATTATAGATGTCGGTTCAGTGTATCCAAAACCGAAGGATTTAAGAAAGCATGTACAGAAACATCAGTATAAATTCGTGTATGACACACATCGCAGAATGCAATACCCATGGCCTGATTATCCAGAGCTCAGATTTAAATATCCCGGAAGAGTTAAAAAATAAAAGGAGCACGTTGTTTGTAAAATAAATTTCATATTAAATGAAACTTTATGTAGATTAGTTTGTGATATCCATTGTATAAATCACTTTATAGCAGTTTATTATTGGAGTAGATTTTCACCACGAGTTAAAAGGCCAGCAATTTGCAATATAAGGATATTAGTCATAAAAGAAATTATATTTATCGTATACAACTTCTTATATTTTCTTGATGTCAACCAAAAGTTCAACATTATTTCTAATTATCGAAATCGAAAGTCAAATTGTTTCTTCTTTTACAATTCACTTGATAAATTCTTAATCTCTAATTCAAGATATAAGTTAGCTAAATAAATACAAGTTACAAGCTCATGAATGATAGTTCGTCTTCATTATAAGTAACGTGGATTTTAAAAATTGTCAAATATCTCTTGAAATTCTCTTGATTTTCTACTTCATTCCAGAACGGAAAGATGACTTCATAATTTATTCATTTAATTTTTTTTGTTCCTATTGACATGTTTTCAATCACAAGCAATGTCTAAATTTGTTTATATTCTTTATCTTCTTTCCTTGGACGTTGTTAGGTATGATCGTTTACCGCAGAGGGCAAAATTAAATGCAGAGATTTTCCGGCATTTTTTCTTCTGAAATATATATTGCGATAAAGTAATTTTTGCAGATCAATTCACATCCTATTATTGCTAGCATCATTAGAATCGATTTGTTTTATCGATTTGCTAGCGATATCAGTAGAATCGATTGTTATAAAATATTGATCGTAGTCTTACTAAGTGGTAGTGTTGTTTTTTACTGTAATAATATAGGCTAAACACTCAAAGTATTTTATGAAAAATAAATTAATTCGTACGTAAATATAGAAACGTAAGGCTATAAGTTGCAAAAGTTCCGTATTAGAAACAGTAAAAGTATTTGTAATAACTTTTAATACTTAATTGAGTAAAATAATTATAGTATATACATATGACCTTAATTTGTTTTATAAACATTTTCCAGGTCTAGCTTCAGTGTATCCAGAACCAAAGGATTTGGCTAAACATGTAGAAAATCAGATGTACAACTATTATTACGAGAGTTCAATGCCCGTTGTATGGGATTGGAAACCGGAGGAGAAATTCAACGTACGCCCAATACAACCCGTACCTAAGAATATATAAAACAATGTTGTATTATTATTATTTTAATTTTTTTTCCATCATAAACCTACTAATGTAATCTTGAAGTAGAATTATAGTTATATACTATAGTAGTTGTAATTCTACAAAATTTGTTTGTAACAATATGTACTATTGTCGTATTGGTTTGTGTAAGATTACAATAATACTAGGAATATTTGTATAATTTATTAATATAAAGACTTAAAATCATAGACCTGCTTTTACCATATATACATATATATTATAAATTCAACTGATTCAAAGTTCCATAATTCATATTCCTAGTATATTATAATCAAACAAATCATATTGTGAAACAGTTTTTTTTTTCATATAAATCATATAAGTTTTATATAAAAAGGTATTAGTTGAAAGTATTTTAAATTCTAAACACTTCAATGAATAATATTAATAAAGTTATTGGATGTCATGTTGTCTAGTAATTAAATATTGTATTTATTATATATGTAGATGTAGTTGTTTTGTGTGATCGTGGCTTTAGAGTTTTGTCGACCGTCGAAAAATTACTATAAACATTTAACTATAGGAAGCTTTTATATATCTATGTATTTTTTTTAATGTTCATTTACATGAAGTATTATAACGGTTAAACGTCTAGTCACCGCAGCATTATTATGATTACTTAAAATAATTTAAAAGACATATTGCATTGTTAATTAAAACTATATGCCATAGCCCACCATATGATGACGTATTGTTCAGTATTCAATATATGCTATCGAGAGTTCAAACTAAATTGGATGCTAATGCGTTTTTCTCTTGCGTTCAATATTTTAAGGTAGACATTTTCGCTGAGCGAAGTATTGTTTTTTTTTTGTTTCTTTGTTTATATATTGTGTTGTATCTATTGATACGAAGTGATTATGTTGCTGTGACGTTTTTAAAACCATTTTCTGGTTGTTGGTTGTATTAATTTAACTGCGTTATTCGGTAAATCTAGTTATATATATTTTAATCGAACAGTAATAAAAATGCAATTTATGTTATAGTATTGTATGAATCGTATTAAAAAATAAAGTATTTTTAAATAAATTAACTGTAAGTGTTCCAAATACAAATAGACCAAGTCTGTGAAATCTCTAAGTTATTGTCATACTTATTTGTTTAATAAAATTATTGAAGTCGAAGTTCAAAATTTAAATAAAGAATTATAGAACATATTTTAATGAAAAATCTATTTCTATTTGTCCATTAAAAAACCTCTTTTGTTATATTTATCAGGGTTCCTTATTTTATAAGCGCAGTAAATTTTTGGTCACATACAAAATGAAATGTAAGTTATTCTATCTAATAGATAAATTGTTCAATTATTACGATGGATGTTACTAATTAAATATGTTCAAAACTTTATTGTTGTATTTTTTTAATGACTAAAAATTCCTTAGATCAAATACTAATTGAATCGTGGCCGGTTAATAAACTGTCACAAAAAATATACATTCAGTAAACAAATATCATTAAGCACATAGCAACACTCACAGTTTACTATTGTCATGTGAATAAACTCGACTAATCTCAAATTATATATAATTTGATCTTTTGTGTATTTTATATTTTTAATACATCACACTTTCCTAAGCTGTGGTGAGTCCATACAATAAGCCCATCTCTCGTTTATAACAATATCTTCATCAATTATTATCCTATTGTAAACTTCTCTAATAGACTAAAATTCTTGTAGCAAATGTTTACACAACAGCTTTAAGTTTGGTAATTTTTAATATTTCTTGGTCTTACGAATATATAAAGTTGAAATACTAGCGTTATTTTGCCTTAATATTTAAATACAATAAAGTTTCAAGCTATAATAATTGGATTGGTAATTGTTTTTTCAGATAAATGTAATATTTATGTCCTTTTCATATATCTAATTATTGAAGAAACTTGTATGCAACTATTCTTGGCTCATTTAGGATCTCATAAAAATGAAGTTGTTGAAAATATATGTTTGAATTTTTTTATCATATCTATTAGTTAATACATTCTCTATTTTAGGACCAAAATTCTGTCACTAATTAAAATGTCATTAGCTGACATGTTTATGCATTAAATACCTAAAAATGGTGTAATGAAAACAATAATTGTATAGAATATAATATATTTCAATAGCAATATAAAATTCGTACTACAATCATTCATTGAGAGTCACTGCTGGAACTCGAGCTAGAATCCGTTGACATGACCTCAACATCTTCTTGATTTGGTTCTTTATTTCGACCATCAATGGCCACTGAGTTTCCACCTCCAACCGACATATGTAATTCACCTGATGGATGCCATGTGAACTGATTTGTTGCTGATGCTGGAACTATTGATATATTATTAATACTAATATACATTATAATAACTGGCAAGAGCAAGAGAAAGATATTACATGCATTTTATATATTCCACTTATAATTAACTTAATAATGTTATTCAAGCATTGAATTTATGGTTAAAGTATAAAAAGAAAAATTTTTTTCACTAATATTACATAAATTTGTCATCAACAATTAACTATGAAATAATTAAATGTTACAACACAGTAACTATATGAGTAACATTACAAAGAAAATGACTAATGCATTGAGGTTTCAATTCCCTTACGAATGGAATATCATGTACACATCTGTGATTTCCAATCACTCTTAAAGCGAGTGACCAAAGTCAATTTATGTTCATACACAAGGAAATAATCATTAAGTAAACATAATTAGGGGAAAATTTAAACATTTACATAAAAATCTACTTAATCATTGATACATACCTCCTCCGGTGGTTATTCTGTGAAGGTCATTCAGTGTGGAGGGAGTGTGCCCATTAAGAGGTAGATCACACAGTCGGCCGAGCATTCCCAGTCTCATCTCTAAGTCCGTGGGGTACGGTCGTCGAGGATCACCTGGCTGCCAGGATAGTGGGGCACTCACTGCATTTGAGGCACTTATCCTGTTTGAAGTGATGTTTAATATATGAAGGTAAGAAATTTTTCTATAATAGTTATTATCAAACAGTGTCTTTTATAGAATTTACATCTGTTCCTCATTGCAATATTTGAGCAGTAGCAATAAAATTTGTAGGATTAATCAAATAAATGTAACTGTGTAATAATAAGCATATACCTGTGTGCAAATTTAATTAATTCTTCAGAAGGTACAGGCCTTTTCCTTGATTTGACAATTGAAGCAAGTTTCTGTCGAGCTTGGTAGAGGGAGGTTGCTAAAATTTGTTCAGCATCTTTAAGTTGTCTTTGCAAATGGTGAATATCTTGGTCCTGTAAGTTATCAGTACATCCAAATAAAAATGTAATATGAAGTAGGAGTGAAATGTGTGAGCCTGTAATTTTTCAAAGAAAATAATCAAATGTGCATAAACAGAAAATCATAAATACCTTATTATCTACTTCAGCCTTGAGTTCATTCATTTTCTGTTGTATATTCGCCTGTTCATCAGCTAACTCTAAAGATTTCTTTAACTCTACATCTTTAGAAAGTAGGAGGTCCGTTAGTTGAGCGTGATCTGCCGCAGACAGCTTCTGAGTTTTCGGTGCTATAGAAACCTCTATGATTTCTCTAAAATAACACATTGGTTTTAACATTTTAAAGACATTAAACAACATTCTATAAATAATCAACATCGTACTTTGCTATTAGCTCCATATCGTCTATTATTGATAAAAGTCTGTCCCTGGTACTTAAATGTGACGACATAGTTTGTTTTTATCTGAAATATAACAAAACAAGACACAGTTCTAGTTAATAATTAATTAAACAACTTGAGTGTTGTTTAGTATATATCGAACAAATTTATTTATATGAGCATGACATTGACACAACATCAAATGATAGTTCTATCTAGGAACTCCTTGTCATATGTCAGTGTCATTGCTGTTTTAAATACAGCAAAATATATTTTTTTGTACATTTTATTAATTTAGTTGGTTTTTTTTAATACAAATAAAAAATAATTATGTTAAACACATACCTATTCAAAAAAATTATTTAAACAGTTAGTAGTGGCAATTCCAATCCTTTACATTAATACCGATGGTAGAATAACTAGCCATAAAGCAATGTTTGTAAACATTAAGTAATACCGATGGCATAATTGTTAACGTATAACCTTAAACTAAATAAATATACTTTTAAGTATTTCTCATACTATAAGATTAAGCACACAGCATTATACTAGTTTTTTATATGATGATATCCAATTCAGTTTCCAGTCCTCACCTATTTCCTTTTGCGATTTGATGTAAAAGATATAAATTTGTGACTTGTACGATGATTGCCTTTACCTGTTACCTTAATCTTAAAACAATTCATTCTTATATGAAGTCCTTAAATGCGGAAAAGTCTTTTAACGTTTTCATTTTATTTTACCGAACAAATACCTACCTAAATTGAATGAATTTTCTTTTTGGTAACTTATTCAATAAATTTCTAATTAATTGATTTTAAATTTAATACTTCATAATGCCTAATTATTCATATATTTGTTAGTAGTTGTAATTTTTATTGTAGGTACAACGTAGTTTTACAAAACCTCTGTTTAAATCGTCCTGAGTCTAAATGAAAATGGCATGAAACTAATAAGTGCACTGTGCATGCAGCTTGCGCGTGATAGCGCATGCGCGGGGTGTAGAGGTATGAGGGAGGGGACGCAGCCGATCACGCCGGTAACATGCGCACTACACGTGCTACTGAGCCTTTCTTACTGTGCATCGAAATTTAGTATATCGGTTATTCTTATTGCAGTTTCATTGTTGATTTTAATTTAAAGGAATTAACACTACTTATAGGTTCAGTATATTGAAAATAATAATTTTTTGCATATATTTCAGGAGAATAAACCTTTAAAGTATACATAAATAAGACGCTAGTACATATTGGAGATAAAAATATATTTTACGGTCTCAGAACACTAGTTATGGCTCTGACTGCAATATGTGCCATAGAGTATAAACTTTAGTACCTTAAATTTCATTGTTCTATAATGTTATAAACAAAAAATTATGAAATCGTATATTATGTTAAAGCAATAATAATAAAATGTTATTGCAATGCTTATAACAATATTTAATGTAAATATTTATTTTTTACATATTGAGTTTACCGCAGTAGACCTACGGAATATGATAGACTGTGGCAGGTGTTTCTTTGCGGGGAGTAGGGCCGTGATGGTTAGCTCATTCAATTATACTGTGAATAAGGTATATGTGCCAGTATAGGTTCGGCAGTAGAGATTGAACTTGGCTCTTCTGCCCATCTAATGGAACAACGTTCCTCCGATCAAGTGTCACCAGCTGTGTTAAACAAATTAAACATTCGACATTTACGTGACCATTGTCGGAAACAGCAAATCTTATTACTACTATTATGTTGTTTAAACGGATCATCGAAGGAAAATCGATGTTGAACACAGATTCGAAGGATAGGTCTCCAGAGAAATGTTCTAGAAGGAAATCAGAATGCGAGGGTTGTGGCGAACATTCTACGTAAGTTATAATAGTTATTATAACTATACTCTTAATATTAAAGTTACATAGCTATCTTTAATCTCTTATTAATTTTGATAAACAAAAACAATGCCCATATATAAACACTATTTAACAAAAAAATCTATGGCAAGAGCGTTCGATTGATATTTTATATTAACAGATGAGTTTATCTTCCCTTTATTATATTATTAAGACAAAAAACCGAAATACACAAGACAAAGGAATATTCCTCCTCCAGAGCGAGTGGCTAATTTACGGTAGTTGGTATTAAGATGAAAATAAATAAAAAGTATATTTTGAATCTCTTTATTTGATATTTGAAGAAATAATTACTTTAAATAGGTCCGGTAGATTTCAAAATATACATAGAATTAGTATAGGTACACATTGTTGTTCAGAACCCATAATTATTCAATGTGATCGTTAAGTTAGAAAGTTTATTTATTCTAACTTCTTTGAGGTTTCTTGATAAAAAGGAAACATTATATAAGCGAATAACTTTTACACTACCTACTGTATACAAGGACGGTGATTGTTGTATTGTTATTATATGAAAACAAAAACTAAACTGTTCTTATAATAAACATGAAAGTTTTTTTGAATAGAGATATTTTTATATTATTAAATATTATTGATTAGTACCTATGTTTTAAAAAAAAATGCAAGTTTAATATAATTAAAAGAATTAATCAGACGTCAATCTGTTATGTCATGCTCATTTTCTAAACGATAAATAAACGTTAGAATTACGGTAAATTAAATTGCTTTTTAAAAACAATTACTGGTTGAATCTTGATTGATTAATCAGAATTCTTTTTTTTAAATCAAATTAATCTTTTATTATATACCTACCTTCATTATTGTTTAGAAATCTACTCGTGAACTTCACCTCCTTGTAATCGTAGACAGACTCCGGGACTTTGAATTTGTTTGTTTGAATACAACTAAATTAATAAATCACTACCCAGTAGTGATAAGGAATACTAATTAATTATTTAATTATGCTTCATATCCGGGGGCTCGTCCCTGTGTTAGAGATTTCGCGTAATAGTGACGCAAACTGTTTACTTACAATCTTATTGTAAGGTGAAGTGTCAAAGGCCTCAATAGATAACCTCTGGAATGGATCTCCATATAAATACTTTGTTTTATAATTACATCTTCAGTTACATTCAATAAATACCGTTCAATGTTGGCATTAATATATTTAAAATGCAATTTTTCATATAGTTTTATGTGATCAAAGTTATAATTTTTATTTATTGTATAAAACGATTGCAGTATTCTGGAGGAAATGATGAAGATGGTTCTTCTTGGAGTGGTTTTATGGGCTGGAGTGACATTCGGAATTCATGTCGCTCCGTATCCTCTCAATTTGATAGTGTCTTCAGGTACGTAAAGTTATTAAAATATTCTGTCAGTTATCTTAAGAAAAAGCAAGGTTTAGGTATTTAGAAGGTAATTTTATTGCAGAATTAATACATCCCCCACCGTTGTACGATTATCCTTTCCCGAGCGCACAAATGTTGAAGAAGCTGCCGACTATAACAGCCGCTGATACAAATAGGTCAATCAGCATGAGCAAACTAGTTATATCTATGCTAGATCGATTGGAAACTAATCTAGATGCAGCAGAAATAAGACCAAAACAAGGATCTGCGGCTCAAGGCCTGGCGATTGATGGTTTTCCTTCAAACAACGTTATGAAATATGAAATGTCGTCTGCTATTATAACTAAAGCGTCGCAACAACTTGTTTGGACTAAATGTGCAAGGTTGGTGGCAATAATTACTTGTATTTAGGGCTTTATCTGAATGTTCCGTATTTTTAGCCATTATAAAGTCGTTTTATTCTACCCGTTTAAATTCTTTTTTTTTTATTTAGATACGGTTTGCCAAAAGACGAATGTGCCAGTTACATCAGTACTCTAAACTTGAGGGAAAGTGAATTTGGAGGTGAATGCGCACAATTGGAGAGATTTACATGTCGCTCGAATAAGATGTCGTCTAGATATAGAACATTCGATGGGTCTTGCAACAATCCAGTCAGATCTTCTTGGGGTCAAGCACTAACTGGTTACAAACGGCTTCTACATCCGAGATACCAGGATGGGATAGAAGAAGTTAGTATTCTTTATCATCTATCTCGTTTTCTCCTAAGTTGTATAACAGAGATGTATATATAATAATTTTTTACAGCCTCGTCGTGCTGTTAATTCCCATGAACTGCCATCGGCTCGTCTAGTGAGCGCGGTTATTGGAGATAATATAGATGTACCGGATAACAAGAAAACTATAACTTTACCTGTATGGAGCCAGTTCATCTATCATGATTTAGTCCATACTCCTGTACGGAAGACTTGTAAGTTACTCCCAATTTTCCTAAAACCTTAGACTTTAAGATTATGACACAGATAGTTTGTTCTTAATCCTTTTAAAATGACAAAAATACACAAATGATATCGAAAAATCTTTGTTTAAATAAGTCTTTTATTAGTTCTTCTTTGTCAACAGACCACACAGACAAGGCTATTCGTTGCTGCGACAACTCCGGCTGGCCCCTCACACCGCGCTACCAACATCCAAGTTGTATGCCCATTACAGTTTCTGACACAGACCCTGTATATAAGGAACAGAGAGTCACTTGTATGGAGTACACTCGTTCTGTCACCACTTATCGCGGAGACTGCACCTTTGGAGCTGCTGAACAGGTATATTTACACTTATTTAACATATTGCAAACTAATCCTATATATGATTAAATATTTTATTCATTAGTAATGGCATAATGGTTCAGATTTTTTTATCTTGTCTATATACGTCCGTGGTTCAATTTAAGAGCTTAGCAAACAATAGTTGAATCAAAAATCATTTTGTATATATTATATACACTTGCAATAAAAAATAATCTGTACATTATTATATTAATTTTGCAAAACCATTCATATAATGCTTAGATGTATATGTATATATAAATTTGAACATCACATGACATTCAAATATAATATCATTCCGTAATACGTGTGTTTAAACAATTGTTATTGTCTGATAAAATACGCTTGTGTGTGTGTTAATATAACGATACAAATACTTACACACACAGACGTTTACAAAGTAAACAAATGTCGCAAACGCGTTCTTAGCAAACAGTAAAATAATCTTAGTATGTCGTTATGGTTGAAGTTCATAATATTATGCCTACGATTGAGATTGTTTCAAAACAAGCAATTTGCATTTCTTAGTAATTTAAAAACAATATGTTTTTCTGACCGATTTATGATTTTTTTTATCGTATGTATAGTCGCTTATTCAGAAATGTCCTCACTTTATTAATTAATGTTTGTCAAAAGAGAGATGTTTCGTTTGTAGTTACATACAGACTTGCGGTAAGCAGACTGAATGATATTTTCATGTATGAATAAATAAAACGCTTATAAATTGTAGCAATTTTATTGGCTATAATAGATTTGACTTATCGATTACTTCTTTAATTGGCTCAAGTTTCAACGTCCATTTTGATTGCCATCAATAAAAATGAATTAATTTGTATGTACTTGTATGATAAACATTTTAAATGTATTTGATTTGAATGTCAATAACCGCGTAATTTGAGTAATAACTACAATTCATGATCACATTTTCTGAGTTCAAATCAGTGTTATCAAATATGACGTTGTTTTGGAATAATACAAAGAATTTTCTGGAACATTTAAACATGAATATGATTCAGTCAAATGTTTGTTCAAATTAAATAATCGATAACGCTTTACTCGTTACTTATGAATTTTATCATAATATTATAAATTTATTTATTTAAGACTTGAGTTTAAAGTTATTCGAGGTACAATAGTCGAAATGGGAAATCAATATGTAAAAAAATTACATTCTTTATTTATCCTTAGTCCAAGTAATCATCGATACTACATATATGCGGCTCGTTTTCAGTATTTCATTACTATACACGTGATAGTATCGACATAGCTTTTCGTGGTTAAATATGGTTATACGATTCATATTTACAAATTCTCTCCTATTAATTTGTTATTAATTGAATTTGAATTATATTAATGAAGTGATAAAGTCTAAATTTGTTTAAAAGAAATTTTCAAAACCATTTCTTTTCTATAACATTCTAGAAATCTATTTTTAACTGAGCTATGCCTGTCACCTTACGTCACACCAAATGTTTAGTTACAAATTTAGAAGCTCTAGAACTTTCGTCTCAGATTCGTTTATTTCGAAACGTTATTCGAAAGCTATTTGATGCATCACCATTTTTTATTTGACCTGATATGAACACAGAAATTAATAGTGTAAGCAGAAACTAAAATGCAATTAAATAGCTTACAATCGCAAATTTTTAAATATACGTAATCAATAAAGCAATGTTGCAAGAGTTATTTTGCTTACGTTTCGACAGCTAAGTCAAATTGTTAGAAGTTATTCCTTATTTTTGTAGTTGAAAAACTCAAATATTTATATAGTATGTCTTATTATCGGTATAATATTATTTATAAAAGACATTCGTATGGAATAATCACGATGTTGCCATTATGATCCATCCGGTGACACAGTGATCGAATATCAATAATATTATGACACTGTTTGAAAACAATTAAAAATATATGAAACTGTTTTACACTGTGGCAATTTTTCAAACTTAAAACAGTGTCCATTTTTACATTTATTAATCTTCGCATATTGTAGTATCAGCTTGAGTAAAGGTTAGAGCAGAGGTGAAATTGTTTTGGCGGTAATAATACATAATTAGTACAATGCTTTCGTAATCTGTACGTCAGATTAATAAATTAATACAGGGATTCCCAAACTTTGAAGATAAAGAGACACAAATTTATATTGATACCTTTTATTTTGTGGATCAAAGTTTATATAAACAGTCATATTAACAATTTTCTTATTTAATTTCTACAGTACTATCCAGTTTGAGAAACACTGGCTTAGTATCCTGACTGTTTCAAAGCTATTATAGAAAGCTAGTATAAAATTCACCATAATATTATTGACCTATCTCTAACTGTATAAATTTCTTGTTATTCAAGGAAATTTGAGCTTTACACTAATAATTCTTAAAGTTATAATGGAAAATTTGTTTTAGATGAACCAAGTGTCTCATTTCCTGGACGGGTCCAATATCTACGGTTCTAACAGTCGTGAGGCTGCAGCTCTAAGGGAGAAGACTGGTGGTCTATTGAAGACGTCTACAGTAGACGATGATGAGTTATTGCCTCTAGCTATCAATCCCACTGAGAAATGCCTCGTTGATAACAATAATGAACCTTGTTACAACACTGGTAAGACTCAAAATGATTTTTCTATTAACTTATACAGTATATCAGGAAATCTTGTAATTAATATACATACATAAATACTGCAACATACGTACAAATATCTTATGAACTTTGTATCCTAAAGTTGTGTGTACATGGAAGATATATGAGGATAAATATGATTGAGGAATGCCATTAATGTAAATTGTAAAGAACCAAAAACAATATATAATTAAATGGCTGTTTATTCAGGATTGATTTAACTGCAATTTCCACTAATATATAAAACTAGTTATCACAAGAAAAAAGTATTTGCTTCCATTCCATTTATGAAAAATATATACGGAAATAAAAAAAAACACCAAATTAACTACATAGTTATATCCAATTCTATTTATTCTATGTTAGCTAGTATATAATATTGAACCTATTTTGACTAATAATTTCTCAACAGGTGATATCCGTGCCAACATCCATCCTTGGTTGACGAGCCTTCATACTCTGTTTGTTAGAGAACATAATCGTATAGCCAGAACTCTGGCTAGTCTCAACCCTGGCTGGAATTCTGATAAGCTTTACCATGAGGCGAGAAGAATTGTAGTGGCTGAGATACAACATATCACATACACACAATGGCTACCGGCACTCACTGGTAAGATTGATACATTTGTTATTACTAGCAACCTAAAACATACTTGTAGTACATAACTATATAGTTCAAATAAGAAAGTATTGGGCTTAGTTTGTGGAAAAGAATTTATCATTATTGTTTTTTCTACCAAAATTGCTGATTTATTCGCTAATATATCATATTATATATTTCTTAAGAACATTAATTTCTCTCTGATTCATCATTAAACTCAAGACACAGACGCTAACAAAAGCTAGTATAATTAATACAATATGAGACGCTTCATAGAATTAATTATTAATAAGGAAATAATAAACAATAAATGTGAGTGCAATACATACAGTTCATAATAGATTTCATTGACTCATTGATTTAATATGGCCTTAAACCTGTTAGACTTTGACTATCACGTTATGGCATAGTGATCTTGACACGTGATACTTAATGCATATTACAAACAAATACACTATTGTTATGTTTATCTTGAACAATAACAGTTACACTTAGCATAGAACATTATCTATATGTTAAAGAAAATACACGTGACAAAACGCGCCTACAACGTGCATTACTAATAACTAAAACGATTTATAATAATTGCATAATTACACTTAGAATGTTATGTGTTTATTTTCTTTGAGTAATTATAATAATATGAATATCTTCATGTTTTGTTTTACTTATATTGGAGTGTGTTTTGATTACTGCGATTTACAAAAGATGGCGCTGTAATCAAAAATATATTATTCTTATGTAATTTTTGCGACTATTTTTACATATTAATAAGTATATATATGTAATATTTGTCTAATAATATAATTAATTTTCTTAGGTAAGGCTTTCAACGAGCTGTATGACAGCTACGACACAGGCTACAACCAGGACGTTGACCCCACCATAACAAATTCCTTCGCTACAGCCGCCTTTCACTTCGTATACAGTCTTCTTGATCAAGACATTGAATTGATGGATGACGTCAGCAATGTGACGTCACACCGCCTGCGTCACAGCTACTTCAAGCCGCAATTATTGGCTCAAAAAGACGGAGTGGAGAAAATACTAAGAGGAATGGTCAATCAAAAAAGCCAGGGATTGGACTTGAATTATGATTACGATGTAAGTTACGATCAATATTATTTTACATACTTGTCTATGAGTAACAAACTCGTTTGGTATTCCATAAACAGTAAACAAACATGTCGTGCAATAAATATAAAATTGTAATAATAATAAAAAATACCATCTGACGTAAAACCGTTGACCTTCCATGTGTAAATTGTACGCTAACTGTAAACAAATAACACGACTTGATATCTAAATGTTAAAAACATACACAATGTTGGAGCATACTTATAATAGGGATCTTTATCAATTATATTTATAATATATATAATCGAATTGCTATATTATATCGGTGTTATAATACTAATGATGTTTCACAGCTTCGTCCGGGTTGGTTGGGTTCGCTAGATGTTCTTGCTTTATCAGCGCAGCGTGGTCGTGATCACGGCTTACCAGGGTATGCGCACTACCGCGCCCTCTGTGGTCTACCTCTACCCGGGACTTTCGACGCACTAACTGACGTACTACCGGAAGAGGTATAGTAACAAAAACAATTTAATAACATTATAGAGATTTTGAACATATACTCTCATTAAAATCCGTTAGAAAACGAAAAAAGTTTTATATATAGGCAATGTAGGGAATATAATCCGATTTAAAATTCGAATGTAGAATATAAATTCGAATTCTATTCGAAATTGCTATCACCAATATAACGCGTTCTATTTGATTAATATTTTTTATTTTATTTCCAGGTTGTAACCAAACTATCGCAAGTGTATGAACATCCTCATGATATAGATTTGGTTGTTGGTTTAATGGCAGAGGTACCACTTCCCGGCTCGTTGCTAGGACACACGGCTACTTGTTTAATAAGTAAGTAAATTTATATTAAGCTAAAGTCAGGGGTTCTCAATCGTTTTTGTAATGCAAACCTACTGTAACGACCCCTGACATAATGGTTATTTAGGGTTGAGAACACCCTTGCTACGTAAAATAAATCGTTCAGGTGATTTCTATACAATGATTTCAAATAAATTAAAAGGTTTTCATTTGACAAATATTTAAATTAATTATTTTCGTAACTGATATTAATTTCTATGAAATTTATTTTGTGACTTAATGTGAAACAATATAGATTGAAATTAATTAATTTTGTTATAAGATATTTATAAATGCTGGTATTAATTATTATATCGGATCAAAACAATATTTATTTGATTTATAGTATAAATCTACATTAATCAAACTGTTTACAGTTGAATTGTAATTCAAAGAATAATTATTACGATATGAAGTTATTTCTTTATAATAATAGCAAGACCATAAATATTGTTATGGTGTTTCTTATTTGTATTACATTTCATTTAACTATCATGCAATTTGAGACTATTCAAATTTATCACCAACAAAATAATATGCTTGTACCTTTTTATGTCGTATTTTCAATGCATTTGATTTTTATAATTTCAATACTTATATGATACAAGCTAAACAAATTACGCTTATACTAAGATCAATGTAATGAAAAGTCTATATATTTTAAATCCTATATATACTTATTACAGCCTTATATGAAAATTAGACTTAGTTATAATTTATTTCAAACAGAGGAGCAGTTATGGCGTACTAGAGTATCAGACCGCTACTTCTATAGCCACATGGGTGAAGCGGGTAGCTTCACTAAGAGGCAGTTGGCAGAAGTGAGGAAGAGTTCCTTGAGTCGTCTCCTTTGTTATAATACCAAGATACAGACAGTTCCTAGGGATGCCTTCCAAACTGTGGATGAAAGGTAGGCGCTGTTATGTGGCAACCCTGAAATATATGTAGCTTCTAAGAAATGTAATATTGTATATGGCAACCTTAATTTTTTTTAATAAATTAATGATGCAGATTTTTAACTTTAAATCTTAATGTACTTGAGTTTCTATAAGATAGAGGTTGAAATTTTTTTCTCATATTTATATACTGATAATAGTTTATATTTTATTTTATCAGTATATTTTAATAGTAATATTTATTAATTTCCACAGTAACCCATTGATTTCTTGCTCGGACTTGAAGAAGATGAATCTTGAGGCTTGGCAGGATCCTTCCCAACAACCGGATATATTCACTAGAACTAATACTTGGATAAAGAACAAAGTAGCCAGCGGCAACACTACTAAATAGATTGTTAGATATAATGTTGTATTTATTAAACTAGTCTGCGGATTAAGTATTGCTTGATGTCATTTAGAAACTGACAATAAGGATTGTTTTAAAATTATTATAATGATTTATATTGCCTATTATGATTTGTGGGTAGATTGACATTTGGCCGCAGATGTGAGTGGAGTCAGTATTTGTGAGGTTTATTTAGCTATAGTCTTAGATATTAAGTTGTTTTACTCAAATATTAATATAATAGTTCGTATAAATGTATACGGACGCCATGTTGTACAGTGGCTGTGATAACGTTTAGCCCGATTCAGAATAGTCCATGAGACATGAAATATCTTGAATGCTAGTGTGTTAGTAATGGAGGATTAATCAATATGTTTTTGTGAGGTTGTATTTTAAACCCTATTCAGAAAGTAATAAGAACAATTTTCGCACATTTTTACATGTAATATATGAAATTTAAACCATGTGAAGTGTGATCATTATGATGATAAAGTAGTGTGTTGAAATGTATTGAATGCTTCATTCACCGTTTCCAGTTGAGGCACAATATTTTAATTAGAACACTGGAAAATGGTACTTATTCCTTCGGTTGTAAATGCGAATTTCGCTTGTGTCGATGATTTTTTTGTTTTTCTATTTAAATTTATAAGTGTATTTAATTGTGAATTATTATTTTTTGGTTTCGATACTTAACATAAGACTATTTTGTATGGACGCTTCTCCCACAAATAGTGTTTGAATCCGAATTATAATTTTTTTCTTGCTATTAATTTCCTCGTATAACCCATGATTATGTTTGAAATGTTACTTTTATCGAATTTTATGTGAAACTTGTGTTTTCTATTCCACCAAAGACTGTGCTGCATCTTTAATAGTTAATTCTTTTACTCTTTATCGTTCGGATATATCGATGTTAATTATTTATAAATTATTACTACATTTGTTTTGAGAGTTCAGAGAAGCTAATGTTTTTTAAAGAGCCACGAACAATTGATATGTATTATCTAAGCTTTTATTATTGTTTTGTCAATTTACATTTAAATGTTCATTTGTAACAGTATCTTGCCTGTAGCGATATTCACAAAATGTCGGTACTTATATATTTAATATTATGTTTCTCTCTTGAAATAAAATAAAGGAATATAAAATAACATTATTTTTTATTTACTACTATTTATGAAAATGATTAAAAAGTTATATTATGATTAAAAAAGAATTTGTTATATTTTTAAAATTTTCTTTCTACATATTTATAATAAATTTCATTGTTTTGAAAAAACAATCCATCGGTAAAGAAAATATTTTCCTTATAATCCATAAACCGATATTGAAACTGTATTTTTCTTATTTGAAATATTACGTATAGGTAAGTTTGTCATTTATATTAATTTATTTCTAATAAAAATGGAAATGCGCATGAACAAAGAATACAATAAAATAAATTTACTTTTTTTTATAAAATGTTCATTATACATATACAGGGTGACTGGTGAATTACTATCAATATTTAAGGAGAATACTCGGTACATGATTCTCATTCGAATTATGTAAAAAAAATAGGTACTTAATTTTTGAACAAATTTCCGTATAAATAAATAAAGGTTGGACACGTTCCAAGTGTTCCAAGTGTGGATGCGTGCGGCGGCGTGCTGATACAACACCACGCCGCCGCACGCGTGTGTGTGTGTGTGTATACCTACTCTGTAGGGTGTTCACACGATGCGTAATTAATTACATAACTTTTGGTTAACTTTACTTAGAAGTTTATTAATATTTATGTTATATTAATTTTTATTTTGTCATATATGATCGTCAAATATCACGTCCTCAAGTATCGATAGTAATTCACCAGTCACCCTGTATAATATATTAGGTAGATAATATTAAAGTCAGCTAAGAATAGAAGTTAATATTTTACACATTAAATTATCTAGTCCAAAATAATTCCTTTGACAAAATACGAGCAATTTGAAACATCTATATTAGTGAAGCTAAATTATTACCAAAATGCATAATACTTTTGGATAGAATAGTAAAAAATTATATTAAATTCAGAAATTCATTTTAAAAACTTATGTTAAGTTCTTCTATCTTCTTGATTTCAGGAGTCAGCTGACATGACAAAAATATTTGAGTTATTTTATTTTCTATATATTTTGAAGGTATCTTTTAAATTAAACTAAGATTTTCGGATATACGACTCGTTTTTTATTATTTTATTGCAATTGAATCTTTTGAAGTACTAATTGTAACAAACTTAATCATGGTGTTGTTTATAAAGATGTTATTGACAATTAAATTGCCATTTTTAATTCAATTTTCGTTGTTTTCCGTCAAACATTCTTGTTTTCATGGTATATAAAAGTTTGTGTACGTAATGAAATGAGTTCTATAATGTAATGTCGTACTCATTATGATTTACGATTTTGTCACAGTTTCGCAACGTATGTGGGGGTGTTTATGTGGTTAATATGGTATATATGTTTATTTGTAGGGTGAGTGTATACAGCCTGGATTTGTAAGACTATTGTATGGACCCTTATAAATCTTCTGCTTATTGGTAATCAAGGAAGCGGAAAGGAAGAGGCTTATCGGAGCCATAGGGGATATGAAATGCCGATGTGCCATTATGTATTTCATGGCCATTATATTTATAGTACCTAAACCATTCAATGGATTGTGTATAATACGTTTTACGTATTAGAATACGCATATTTGCAATTTAAATTTATACCTCGCTAAATATTTCTATACCTACTATAGATTTTTCAGTACACTTTCTATTTTTGCCTGACTGTTGTTATTACAAAAAAGTTTCAATGCATTAGAATCTGCAGATTTTTTCTGTACATATTACAATCCCAGTTTATTCTGATCTACCGAAATCATACTGTTGTCTTTGAAAGCAGATAGGTGTTCAAATGAATACAATATTTAGACTCAACCGTAGACGTGTAATTTCATGCCCCACCTCGACGGCTAGTGCCTAATGTGATACATTGGATTAGTGTATTGTTATATCAATTTGGGTAACAAAAGCTGTAATATTATCCGAGCGTCTTCACTCTTCCGACCAGTATGGATACATTTATTGATACGTCTGTCTTATGGCATTTATATGGTCATCTAACAATGGCTGAAATAATATTTTTCTCGTACATAATAGGTATTATTTTATTTCGGTTTTGACGATGCCGATAATATTAATATGGTTAGCACGAAGTAAGTTTTTTTTTATTATTATTATGAAGATTAATAAGAATAAGAAAATAAGACTACTTTTAAGTTAGGAAGCTGAGTTTTATTGAAAGCACAAATACAAATTACAATTTGTTATTGCTACGTTATGAATTTTTTACGAGCTACCTCCACTTTCATAATATTTGGGAGGTGTCGTTTCTATTTACAAAAATAAAACCTAATTATCCTAAACAAAATTTTCAGAATTTTCTTCTTACGGTTAAGAATTTGTTATGACATAGAATTTCTTATTAAAGCATACTTTCTCAAGAAAAGTAGTCTTAATATTTTCTATCTCCTACATATGTATGACTTTCTACTGAGCAATTATTCACGGATTACCTTTCAGTCTTATCTTGAGAGTTTATGTTAATAGCTCGTATTTTGCTTTTAGCTATTACCCATGATAATAACCTACTTGCATTTGTTATAAGTACAATTGCAACAAATAATATATCAAGTTACACACATACATATTGCGGGAAGATAGAGGATGTAGAGTTTCTTAGAATGAAAGAATGATGTACGTTTATTGGAACTACTAAACGTCTTAAGAATTAAATATTGTACATATGTACATATTATACTAAGATATACCTATATATTTGTTTCTGTATGTAATAAAAAAATCGATATCATTTTTGGAATAACTTTTTAACGCATCAAATAGATATACTCATGTACAATTTACTTAACTTGACGAAACTATTTACGAGCACAGCGTATCTAACGCCTGAAAGATGAAGATTCCAGAGGAAATAGCTTTTTATAGAAATTTATAGAATGTACTACATGTATTGTTTAGCGCTTTAACGTAAAGGTTCGTAAAATCCAATATTGTCGGGCAATATTGGTGGCATTTTAGTATCAGACAAGTAACACTCCTTGAGCAATATTTTAAATTGTCTTTTATAAAGTATCCTTTCAAAATATCATTTTTATGACGTTTCGGAATAATTGCTGATAATATCTATATTTGATTTAAAATGTATTTATGGAAATATAGTAAATAAATCTTAGAGTTTATACAAAAAATATGAGTTATATTTTAATTCATTATTAGTGATAGAAAATTTCAAGTTGCCGACGTGTATAAATAAAAAAAATATGTTTAAGATTCGTATCTTAATGAAATAATTCAAGCAGAAGACTTTCCGTTTGAATATAACAGGAGATAAATCGACAACATTCATTTTAATCTTAAGAATTTATTTTTGGCGGCAGTTTTATCTCTTTGTTTCGTATAGTAACTTTTGTCTTTTATATGCCCGACTGTTAAACCTGTCATGACTACTAGTGATAAAATCTGGGGGTAAATTTTCTTTGCAGTTATTAACTTGAAGTACTAATCAAGTTTCAATTTTATATATTTATTACATATTATTACCTAAAACAGCTGGTGGATTTATTTCATGCAATTTTATTTTAGTTGAGCCCATGATCGATGACGACTTTGAAATAAAATGCAACTTGATTAAAATCTAATAATGTAATATTTATTTATAGAACATTTTGGAATATTTGAATAATTATTAATATATTTTGGTTATATTTAAAAACTAGTTAAGTGAGGCCTCAACGTACCTGCTAAATTTGTTCCACTCATAGACTTGTCTGAAATATCCAGGTATAAATAAGCATCTGTCACATTTACAAAGGTTTCACAAATAGTGGTCAGTTTACAGTTTGTTTCAACTTCCAGTTATAGACGTGCGATTAATGTAATCAAAATGATTTTATACAAATACGAAGGTAACTATTGTAAA